GCCCCACAGGACATGATTATCAGAGATATCCCACAGTTCCCTCCCACTCTCCCAGCCAGCCTTATCTCAATATCTGTAGTTAAAAACATTTTACTGTCGGAACGTCTACTCAGTAAACAGTTTGTGCAGCAGGTTGTCAACAGTGTGCATCAATAGTGCGTGTGTGTTCTGCATCATTTAAATAGCCTTTTGAGGGCTTTGGTTACATGTATACTGTCTCATACATTTCTATATGGTTAATTGTTTGTTACACAGTACTGTAGACTGTTAAATATTCCCAGTGGTTTTACATATGTGGTGTATCACCCTTAATATTAACATAAATAAGTCCTTGCAAACTTACATCAATTTACGGTACCAAATGTCACATTTTATATCACTTGTTCTTGATTATGTTACAGCACTAAGTCTTGTTTAATAGACTGTCATCGGTATTGTAGATTTGATACAGGAGCTGAACAGAGGTCAGATCTGCCTAACCCTTTTTTTTGTCCTAAAGTGCAGTTTGAAATGTCAGGTACATTATCTCAATTATACCGGGAGTTTGCCACAGTAACGTTGGCATTCTACTCAGCTTACCGGGATAAGCATTGGCAAAGTTACACTCAAGTGTGCAAATAGACCAAACGGCTGGGCTGCACTTGACCTTTTACCAGGCATTATCCAAATGGGAAAGTTGGAAGCTGCCCAAAGACGGATGGATGCAGAAATGGTTTATCCGAAATCTGAGATCTTGTTAGAAGAGGTAGTATCAGGTGCTTAGCTCTACATGTGTTTGGTAACTGAAACACTATCTACCAGTATGTGAGATTTTTCATAGCATTTTTCAATGAACCAATTTATTTTTCAGTCAGAAAGGCATTTTGCATCTTTGGACCTCAACTGTAACAGTAGGAGTGCCAGCACTGCTCTAGATATTTAAAAATTATGAATACCAGGTGTGTATTTCTATAGTTCCTACTTGAAATTTGTCTCTCTTTCAGGTAATGTCCCTCATTTTGAATCTAGATACTACTTTTATAACCGCCCCTCCTAAATGGAATAGTCCAGCGTACATACTTTTCCCTTTCCGAGAAAAAGCTTGAAGACACAGGAGGAGAGAGTGCAGTCATTTGCATGTATGTATGCCTGCCTAATGCTCCTGGATGAGGGCAATGAGGGTAGGGGCACTAGGAGGATCAAGGACCCATTTCCTGACAATTACCACCACTAATGGATGATGAGAATGTCACATGGCTCCGAGTCAAGCAGATTACCTTAGCACTTGTTTGATTTATGGAGTATGACTTGCCGGTGGCTGTCATGTAAAATATACATGCATCCTCCCATCGCATGGATAAAGAAGGAACAGTCTTGGTCTGTATCTGTATCTGTATAGCCGGTATGACTGCCTTTCGGCATAACACACCAGCTTCAAAGGTTTGTAAAGGTTTTTACTTCTAAAGGTATGGAAGTATTGTTTTGGGGGGCTGAACTGTGCGTTTGTGTATCTGTTTGTCAGGACAGAGTAGGTTGACAGCACATGGGTAGGGAAGATTAACGCAAAATGACAGCAGGTTAAAGGTCTTAGAATCTGGCATATGGGGATTGAGGAAGCCAAGAATTGCATACTTCCCGGAAGTCCGAAATCATTGGTTTCCTGTAGTTATTGCCAAGAAAAGATGGGGAAAAAATGATAAAAATTCACAATTAGGGTCAAGAAGTATAAACTATGACAGTGTGTTTTGTCAGAAAATATCACTATGAAACACTCCTAAAATCATGTTTTGGAATAGTTGTAATGTAAACAGTTTATTTGGACATTAAATTGACATGTGCATGTACATGTATTATTACAAGAACCAAAGAAATTGGCTGCTAAAATTCTATTGAATTTGAAGAGCCTTCTTTACAAAGTGCATTATCCTTGCCAGAGTCAAGGTACAGGTTTTGTTTCTTGTGGTCTTGCAAATGAGGTAGGATTAGAAGGTTAGGCGATGATGGCTTGCATGATATGTAGAATCCTCGGGAGAGGCTAAATGGAAACCTGTGCTCTACATGGGACTTCAGGGGGTTGTGTGCGTACAGCTGTATATAAAGTGCTCTATGATCCATTGTTTTACCTTTCCTGCAGATTTTTCAGGTATGATATGTTGCCTATACATTACGTAAGCCTGATACTGTCACAAAATAGATGAATTATAATCCTCAGGCTACAGGGTTTTCCCTGAATAGTTTGGGACACACCACTTAAAATTTCTTGGTACTTGGATTCGCTTACTTCATTTTTTTTCAGATTTGAAAAAAAAAGATAGTTGTACACTACCATTCAGGTCCTGATTTGTACTAACTTGTAAATTTAATACTCATTTGACTAATGGCTAGCTATGTGACAAGAAAGAATGGATAGCTTGGAGTAGAGGGAAGTACTAATACATTACACCCGCATTTAAATATCAGATGTGTTTGATGATGTCTGAAAATGGGTCTATAGAAGGTTGGTAAAGATGGGGCAGGTCAGAAGTTCAATGTTGAGTTATTGCAAGGACTGTGCCGGCAGTCCCCAAAGTATTTCCTGATGGGAGAGCGTGATGTAAGGCTGCCGTCTCAAGGAGCTGGGATGCTTCTATGACATAAATCGTACCTTGTTGATGAGCGCATTGGTCTCTTTTGATTCCATTAGAGACAACCGTCAGTTTCACAACTCTGTAGGGATTAGGCGTCCATCCTCTGATCAGTTTTAAGGACGTGCTCAGTTTTCCCAGATACCCCAGAATGCCATCTATCCGCCATAACTCCTGCAGTGTTCTTAGAATTTGTTAGGGAATTTCGTAAATCCCGTCCCTGCATCTTGAACGTCCAATTAGGGGCGGGTCATCACATGCGCGTCACGTTTTCCCACGCAAACGAGACTCCCGTAAACTTGACTGTTGATTGTCTGGGTGCGGATCCCCCGTCTCTTCTTCAGCACGGGAAGTACAATTAAGCCGAGTTTTACGGTGGAAGGACTGGAAGCTATGCATCCTCGGGAACTGTCTTGGGGCTCATACGCGTAAATTTACATTTTGTATGCTGTATGATGTATGTGGCTTGTTTAAAAACAACCTTGAAGATATGCTGAACTTTTCCAGATGGAATTCTACGTGTCCTCTGTGGTTGCAGCTGATAAAAATGGCTCCATGCATTTGCCAGCTGATGATTTGCTATGTTTTCTTGAGACTTTGCATTTCAGTGAATACCATTAGCTTTTAGGAAAAGCAAAGTCTCAAGATACTATTCAGGCAATGTTCTAAATTGCCTTTTTTTCCATCATCTCAATTTGTTTGACGTAACACCATGTCTAGTGTTAAAGGTGTGAAGTATCGTGCCAGAGGTGAGACTATCCCAGGGAAGGTTCCCCGGAAAACTCGGATGCTGACTAGAACACTGCATTGTGATGTTAAAACTTTGTCAGAGACTTACATGTACCACACACTATACAGGCTATGCAGAATTGTGAAATTTGGATCTGAGAACACGAAATATGGACCTCAGCGTGTGTGTATTATAATACTACATCAGAGATAACGTCATGCTTTGTTCATCACTTAAACTGCCATCTCTGCAGGTTGTTAATGCAAATTTTACGGCCATTCCAATTTAGAACAGAAATGGAGAGCTAGCGAGGGCTGATGCCAAAGCGATGTTCAGGATTAGAAACCCATCGCGCTACCAGGGTCCTTATTACGGGATGGCTTCCCGGGAGCTCACAAGGGCCATCGGAAGGCCAGCTGGTGGAAAATAAATATTCATCACCTCCTCTTCTGCCATTTAGTGTCGTAGGGAGGGTTGTTGTGAAAGTGGGAATAAAACAGGCATATGACCTAGATGTTGTAGTCTCCGCCTATCCACTGTACTTGATATTTATTTTAGTGGTAACTCAACCCTCAATCCCTGCCCGGCTTCTGCCCGGAATCTCCTCTGACGTAACCCAATTGTTTCATGAAAACCGAAAATACTGACTAGAAGTCTGAAATCCCCCATTTCTTGTTGCCTGTCCATTATATAGCTCAGTCTGGACTTCTGTACAGTAATTTTGCCAGTGTAACTAAGTTTTCATGAAGATACACAACATTGGTATCAAAATGGTACAACAAAATGATGGGAAACATATTACCAAGATTAATAAACCAGAGCCCAGGACTAGAAATGCATCCTTTTTACAATGTGTAGTGTGCTTTTATGGATCAGCTAAAATGTCTATTAGATAGATACTAGTCTTTTGCATTAAGGTTTTATGGTGCCATGGGAAATTTCCTTCATTGCAAGGGCATCTATAAAATGTGTGGGTCATATTCAAAATGACTAGAAGGCACAGGAAGGCAAGGGCTTTTTCCCAGTCAGTACTGATAACTTGTTACTTCAGTATCATATTAAGTATGATAACATATGTGGTTCAAAGATGAAGATTTCTTGCAGAAGAGAAAGCAATATTGTTACAAGCAATATTGTTACAATCTATAATTGCATGTATGACCAACATAATATTAGTTTTTTTTACCACATACAAAGACAGCTATATCTACTAGTAATACCGGTATGTTTTTACCATACCGAGTATTCATACAATGTATCATCTAATCATGTAGACCAATTTATGGGTAATTCTCTGCAAAACCGAGACAGTGTTGATGCAGCATACAGTTATGAACACGAGTTATTAGGTTATTAGCATATCAAGAGTGTCGTCACTGTATTTTGTTATTTATGAAAGTAGATTAGTTTTCAGAATTGTTAGATACCACCCGTAGTTCAACTTCCATATATAATTTTTATACAAGTTTATGAGAAATGTACCTGCTATAAAAATAATTGATGTGCAAGAAAGTTGTGGTATTAAAAATTCCATTACAGCTGACTACAGTATGTTGTGTTTGATTGTGATACTTTTGTGTCAAATATTATTGGGCTAGTTGTGATAGGTTATATGTTGATACCTGTATTTAATGATGACTGATGATCTGTGTTTATTTTTGTCACAGGGTCGGAGTGAAGGTGACCTTGGAAAGTCACTGCAGATATCTACAGAAGTGTCTTCCCTCCAGGTAAACACCAATGCTGTTTCCTTTGATGTGAAAATAACTTTTCTCCAAGTCATAAGGAGAAAAGGAATTTCTTGTCGGTTATTTCTAACTTAGGCCATACCAATTTGATTTGTTGGTTCTCAGTTTTTCAGGATAAAAAAAGGCATCCTATCATAGCCCAAAATGCCCAATGAACGCAACATATACCAGGCTGGTTTAAAATTTAAACAATGAATTTTTAAACTTTCAATCAAATCACTTCATTGATAGATGGAAAAATGGTAACAACTAGGAAGAAAAGGACTGTCTTCAACTGTTTGAGATAAACTATGTCATTTTTCAGTTGATTCTAAACTGAATCTTTTCTCTTTTTTTTTTCAAATCAGAAAAAGTTGAACTGGGCAAATCCGTGAACCAACAAATTAAATTGGTGTGGCCCTACAGTAATGAAATATACGTTCCTGAAATATGCTTAGGTACACAGCTCTGTATTTATGATCCCCCTCTCTAAAGTTTCCAAATGGTATCTCCCTCACAAGTCAGCTCAGGTTCCATTATCTTTACCTGGAGGTGCTTTACAGGTGTCTGTGACTCTGCACTCCCATCCTAATGGCCTGACCTAAGATTGCCTTAAAAGGCTGAGGGACAGAAAGCTACTTTTCCTGACAATTGAATAAGCATTAAAAGCATTCCCAACTGTGTTGCCAAAGAGAGTGGTCACCGCGGTGGTCGGTCACTCATTCTGTAGTTCACACGGAGATAAAGTAAAAGGGAGCCTGACTACATCAGCCTTCTAGCTGTCCTTCCACTGGTCAGCCCCCTAAAAGCTATAGATAGCCAACACCTCTAAGTCAGGAGAATTGGGAACATCTTACATGTATTCCTGTTGATTTATGCATATGTGCTTAACACGTAGACAATTATTGTCAAACTGTCTGTTACCATAGTGTTAGAGGCTGTGGTGATGGGTTTGTTTCCATAGTGACAGAGAATCCTTATCTGCTATTGGACAGATTTTCATAGTGATAAAAAATTCTTAGCTGCTATTGGACAGATTTTCATAGTGACAAAGAATCCTAAGCTGCTGTTGGACAGATTTTCATAGTGATAAAGAATCCTGAGCTGCTATTGGACAGATTTTCATAATGATAAAGGATCCCGAGCTGCTATTGGCAGTTCTTTGAGAATGAGAATGGTTCTTTCAGACCACAAGCTTTCAGGGAGGATGCCCATTCAGGATGTCCTGACAGCGAGAGATTGTGTAACACAGGCTAAGCCGAAGGGATGGAAGGTTGGAATCTATATAGGGAATAATGTGTTAAGCGCTGCTGGACTTTGATGAATGGTACAGATGAAGGAGATTTTGTGGAAGAAGCTCCGGTGATGAGGCAGTGCAGCTGGATGGAGTGTACGTGTACATGTGGTGTGGACAGGTTCATTACCATCAAGACTGATGCTGCCTGAAAGAGAGTTGTTGCCTGCCTCCCCGGTAGAAATTGGAAACCATCCATCGAAAGGAGCATCCCTGACTTCCCATTTTTGGTACTTGGCAGATCCCATCTTTCTCTGGATGTCTGCGGAAATGGAAGGTGCAAGGAACATGGAGATCTCTCCGTGCTGATTAAAGTGGGTATGGCCTGGGTTTGGCAGTCGCGGAAGTGAGCATGGCTGTTCCAGAGCCTGAGAATTCATGGCAAAAAGTCATGTTTTTGGAAACGTATGTTCCCCCCGTGTGTAGTAAAAACACAAGAAGAATTGGTTTGCTTGTCATGAAATCAGATGAAACGGACATGATTTTAATGCAATGTTTACCTACAATCTGGGCCTGTACCTGAATCTATATACCTGCATCTATATACCTGCATGTACCTGTACACCTAATAAGGTACGTCGTTCTAGCAAGGACCATTATATCTACAAAACCACTGCACGCATTCATTATACATGGTTGTACAAAGTTATGTAGGGATATTCATCATCATCTGACCTCGATCCAGAAGGTAGGCCATCAGGTCGGCGACCCCTCATTGTTATCAGCCATGTTTGATGAGCACGATGAATAATCAGTATTCTGCAGGGGCAGGAGTAATCATGTTTAACAGAGGGTCATCGTTTTTCTTCATGTCTAATCAGCCAACAGCTAACTCATATAGACTAGGGCTGATTGCATACCCATGGTGAAATCCATAGGGACATGTTAGCAGCCTAAATACGCTGCATTCAGAAGTCAGGAGCTGTTAAGGTGCATTGTACGATAATCAGATTTGTAAAAACAGTCAAACTGTTAGTTACAATTGATTGCAGTGAATTTGTCGTGATGTGTCAACTACGCACATAATGATATCATTATCCTTAGTCTTGTTAAAGTTGAACTGGTCTCATTAAAAGTGAACACCCTCTAATTTGGCAGAGCTAGATTAAAGCAATTTGGAGAAAAGGCATGTCTTTAACGTGTAGAAAGGGAAACACGCATTTTGAGTCTAGCGACATGAATGTGATATCACATTAATTATGACTGGAATGACATACCAAAATATAACGTCCATGACATTTCACATGGAAAATATGTCCATACTGTGCTGTCCAATTCTATAACATATTCTATATAATTTTATGTATACTGCACCAGGTTTTCCTTGTCAAAGTACAAAAGAAATGGTCATAAAATTACGGAAGGTCATCTCTGTCACAAGTGTCTCGATCAACAGAAACTCGGTCAATGTTTGACATTTTTGCTGACTCTCATTGTGCTTCTCTAGTCGTGGAAGACCACAAGTTACTTTGTCAAATTGTTCAGGTATGAGCACTGGCAACATTTATGTATGCAGCCCTAGTCACATACTAGATCCCATGATTTATGCCATCTGACGGATGTCAAGTGGCAGTCACGCTGTAGTGCTCCATCGCTCCAAACTCTTGACCACTGTCCTTCAAGAAACCTTGTCCCTAGGCAGGAGTCACCAACCCGGCATGCGGAGTTGAAGTTGTCCTAAATGCCTTTGGAATGTTTAAGAGCTCGGTAGGTCATTTGTTTTTCAATGAGTATAGATCTTTAGGATAATCTGTGCCCACTTGACTGTTGAAAGTATAAGAGTGAAGTGGTGTTGTGGCAGGTGCTCTAACAGGGCGAGGCTCCAAACTACGGATTTCCTGCTGCAGGCTGTAGTCTCGGTAGTGTGGTAACTACCCGGTCTGATTTGTACGCCATCTCTGGTGATCTCTCCCCGCTGATTTATGAGCCTGAGGAATCGTCAGCGCCGCTCCAGGACGGGTCGGCAGCTGTGTTCTGTGTAATTTCCACGTTGGAGGGAGGCCTGGGTGGCTTAGTACAGGTGCCCGTGATTACCAACATTACATACCAGCCAGGAGTACATGTAGGTATGTAATAACATGTTGGGTCTTGTCCTATGGTTGTACTCTAAAACTGGTCCATGAATATGGTAAACCTACCGGGCTGGGTCTTAAACATAGCCTTTTCCATCTTACCTGTCCCAAGGAAATTTGCGCCGCAGTGTTAACCAATGCATGTAAAAGGAATCCTTCTAAGTCCGCCTTAGCTGGTGTTCCTTTAAACATTGCGAAGTCGTTTTTATCATATATTCATAGGCCATCCTGGGTTAATCCCTGTGTCACTGTATCATATCTGAAGTAATGCATAAATGTCTGTAGGCAACTCTGAAAATCTCCGAAACATTTTCATTCTTATCATTTCCATACAGTCCTTTACCTGTATCATGTCTAATTCATGAAAGTATTGCACTTACAGAACATCCCAGTAAGGTTTGGGGAACTATCCTGGTACTTAGGATGAAGTTTTGTCTTACATTATTGGTAGGGGTTAAAGGATAAAGGTTATCCAACATGGCTGCCACAAAGAGAGATTATCTTCAGACCAGAGTATGGTGGTTGTCTTCTTTACATGTACAATGTATGTTGTGCTAGGTGTGTGAGTTGTCACTAATGGTGTTGATAGGTTTAACATACATGTAAGGCAATGGTGAAACCAGTACCTTTGAATATGTTCTAGTTTTCAAACATCATGACTGTTTTCATCACCATTTTCTTATTGACTTTGCAGTACTTTGTGTAAAACCTTGTCAAATCAAATTTGCATGTTCATCTATTCAGATTCAAAATGCTCATATTTTGACACCAACCGTACTGTTGAAGAAAGCCCTGCCTTCCTGTATGAGCTTATTAATGCAGTGATTTCTTCAAAAATCAAAATTATGAATTATTATACTGCAGTATAGATTTATTGCTATTTTCACATGCTTGGCCTACATGTACCTATTTCCTTAATTCCAAGCATTAAGTAATTATAGATTACTGTCTACATGTTCCACCATGTTCCATCTTTTCCACAGAATCCATATTGACACAAATGCACTGAAAGTGTTGTTTATAAACTGTGGCTTAAAAGCGAACAAGCTGATTGGCAATATAGATTATGGCAGTTCCACCGGTAAAAGGCACTTTTGATAGCGCACATTGCTGGGAGTCGCCTGAGTGCTACACCTGTATGGAGACCATAATTGGGTTAGGGCAGATCTTAATCAATTTAATATTTGACCACAGATGGTAATCAGGTTAATACTTACTGGGTTGGGATTGGTGCAAGGCAGATTTTTATGATAAGTATATTGCAAAGGCACCCAGGCTAATGCTGCTGCACACCATGCAAGGAGGAGAAATGACTTGTAACGTTGCCAAAACTGTTACATAAGGAAAGGTTATACCAAGTCCTTGTTATTTTCCCGGTATATTTGATCAGCTGTAGTTCCTCCCAAACCTCAATCAGGACGTGGGACACAATGGCGGAGGTATGAAAACAGGAGCTTATTTTCCCAGGTGGCCAGAGGTATATATGTGTATATGATGTATTACATAAGGGTACTAGACTAGTAAGGAAAAATTGGCTTGGACGCTAATCCATGTTTATTGACTGCTTGTCCCGATCACCTGACACAAAATACACAATGTGTACGGTCTCCTGTGTCTTAGTTGGAGGAGAAACCATTTTCTTTGTGCTTGGCTTATTGTAACTGTTGGAGTAAGAGCATGGAAGGTGCAGGTGTCATGTTGCTACTATTATGTAATTAGAGCCGTCTCTGTTTTTGTCCAACCCAATCATTAGAATGCATGGGTTTCCGTCTAAACAGTGGTTGGGTGGTGTCCACTTTGTCTGGCCATTGTTTCCCGCAGAAGGTTGGTATTCCATGCATTGCAAGGTACTCCGTTTCGCCTTGTTTTATACAGTCCTCGGCCTGCCATGGGCCAGTGGCAAGAGTATCATGAGTTCTGTCAAGTTAGTTAAGGTTTGAATGTCTCACAGAATTTAAAGGTAAGGTTTTCTATGTGTTGTATATACATGTATGAGAATATGCTTTGTTCATGGACTATTTCCACAGGTTGCTTGAGGCTACCATATGATGGAAGTATATTAGGCTTATAGCATCATGTTAATGTTGCCAATGTGTTTTTGAAATGTTTCTTCAGTTACATTGTATCTAGGAAACTTAGATATACCTACTAGTATATAGTAACTAGATATCTAGCCAATATTTGTGAAACTTATGATATTATGTGTACCTGTATTGCCTGCATAATGTTGTGAAGATTGTTACCTTCCTGTGCATAATCAAGGTAACATACATGTACATGTACATAGACAGTGTTTCTAATGTATTGTTGTTGTTTTTTTCAATATGTTACAGGAAGAACAGCTTCTAACAAGGCAATCATCATCAAGAACTTCTCAACCCTTCCTGTGACCTGAGATAGACGTCAGACACTGTTTCGGAAAGAAGAAAAATCCGCAGAACCTCAGAAAGCTAACATCCTCTATTGTCTCCCTGACTTAATCCTTGATCGAGAACAAATCCCTTCTGTCAGCGTTTCCTCACAGAGGGCTTAGTAAACATATCAGCCGGCACATGACGGTAGTGTGAAGCACGTGAAGGTGAATAACCCTCCAACACACACAAACAGAGCCGTGCCCGGGGAGGATGTCTGACTTCAGGACTATCTAGCTTGACAAAGCGCCGCTCTGAGGAGGTTTCACCGTAAGGTCAGATAAGACAGATCGTTGAAAAGGATCATCCACCACTAATTCCCAACGGACCTGTCCTGCTTTCACAAAGTGGCCACCTGACCTGATTGGACCAACTCTTGGGCCATTCCTTTAGAAGCTTTACTCATTAAAATAGGATCTGATGGAGGAATACAGCAGTTTCCAGGTTGACCCCGGTTAGAGCATTTTTTCCATTTTTTGTTTGCAAGAATGACGACGAGAGGTGGACCAAGTATGAAGTGGGCGCTGCGAATCCCGCAGCCTTACATCAAGCGAGCGATTATCCTGGCCTTGGGGTTCAGCTTGTTATCTATCTGGATTCTGGCCTACTACGTCTCTCAAACCAAACAGAATCCCAGATGGGAGCCACCTCAGGCTAACTGTAAACTTGCTGACTCCAAAGCCAACCCGTTTTTCCCCGTACGGCCCCAGCCAATGCGCGATGCGGCAAAGAACTCTAGAACTCAACCTGCCGCCCTCGTATTCGTTGAGAGTGCCTATTCCAAACTGGGCCAAGAAATCGCCGCTCTCCTTGAAGCCAACCGCTTAAAGTACAAGACAGAAATCGTCAGTGGAAAGAGTTTCCCTTCCCTGACCGAGGTGGGCCACGGAAAATATTCCCTGGTCATCTTTGAAAACTTGAACAAGTACCTCCTCATGGACAAATGGAATCGAGACATTCTGGACAGGTACTGTTTAGAATTCAACGTCGGAATTATCAGCTTCGTAGGAAAATCCGAAGACAACCTTTTAAATAAAAGGGTTGGCGACTTCCCCTTGTTCATGCACAGTAACCTCAGACTGAAGGACTGTTCGCTAAATCCCGACTGCCCGCTCCTGTATCTCACACGAGCCGGGGAAACGTGGCGTGGGAACCTGCCTGGGGAGGACTGGACGATATTTCAGTCCAACCACACGACCTACGAGCCTGTGGCGTACGCCAAAACGTCCAGTCTTGAATATGTACATATGAATGAGAATGTGGACAGGTCGTTCCATGTAACAGTTATGCAGGACCTTGGGCTTTATGACGGAATCCAGAGGGTGTTCTTTGGAAACGACCTGAACTTCTGGCTCCATAGGTAAGCATTATGTAATACTAGTGATAAATACTTCACAATAAATAAATGTACTAAGGAACACTAAGAATAATATTTTCATGCATGTGAAAAGGCTCTGTGTCAACCACCTGCTGAAATGCTTTATTTCAGGATCATGTTTGTTTTGTTCCCTGTAGAAAAACACTGCAGTTATTTCAGGTGGAAGCTCTGTCAACTTTCCTATCAGTAAAACTGATAAAATGGTAATTGATTTGCATAGCCAAAGGCTGTAGCTGAAGGGTTGGTTCTAGAGTGCTATGGGACTGGCACCAGGGCATTTGTGTGGTCTCAACTCTGAACACTCAAGCTACAAGTAGTACGATGTAGTATGATGTTATATACTATGTCTGCATACCAGTCTGCATAAAGTGCAATCTACGTAAAATTACAGTTATTCACATTCACGTATATACTTATTTTGCAACAAAAAAATTTACCATTTCGCACTGAAAAAAGTCAAAACAGACTCTGTGCCATCTTTGATTTCAGATCCTCATGATGTTCTTTGCATCACATATTGAAAGTTCAAATTAACCTTTTGTTGATTGTTTCAATCATTGATAGTGGGCTGTTTTAATGAAATTGTTCAGATACAGGCCTGTACCAGTACCTGATGTTACGTTTAGGTATGCGGCCGTGCTATATTGTACATCACCTGCACGTAGATGTAGCAAATCTGTCACAGGTGCGAAACACAGTCATTAGTAGCCCCTGGAGCAGTATGGGAATAATACCATGGAATAGAGATTGATAAGCAATCTATGCACGCCACGCTGGTATGGTGTTTGACAAATCAGGTCTTCTCCCACAATCCCAGCACATAGCAATCCACATCTCCTACACAACTGTCATTATGGATCTACCCAATCTCCAGCAACAATTGGGCAATTTTGTCGTAAATGGGACTTTTGTAGAGTGGTTAGAAAGTGCGTCAGGTGATATGTGACCCGCTCTTAGCGTAGAATTGACCTGACATCTCAACTGTGTCAAGTGCTGTTTGCCCCCTGCTTGTTTGGCTATTTGTCAGGGGGGCGCTCCAATATCAGCTGACCTGATTGTTTCAGTGATAGAAATGCATCAACTTCAATTCTAGGTCACCAAGACATAGATGTAGTGGCCAATTTGGAGTTTTATCATGTATACAAATCAAATCAAGCTTTGTTGCACTGTAGTCCCCCTTAAGGCATCCCTAGTGTGAGATCGCAAGGCTTTTGACAATATTCTCATACAAAAGTCAGCTCAATCTTATAAATATTTCTCTTTTCCATCATCTCTTGCTTGTTCGTTGCCACTATGTGTTCCCACCAACTTTCAGGTGGTCCAATAATATTGTGGGCAATAAAAACAAGCGAATTTGAACACCAATTGGCAAATTTCACCACGATTTGCCCTGTTATTGTTTTATAATTTGTAATTTGTAGAAAATATTACCAGGACTGCACTGTGACTACTGGTACTACCTGTATTCTACAGGCAATGTACACCACATGTATTACATGGGATCCCAATAGTTAAATGTAAAAGATTGCTGCTAAGGTCAATTTACTGGCTGTATGTGACTTTCACCTGGAAGAGTAACATGTATGGAGATAGTGATAAACCCAGAATGGGATCTGGTCTGATCCCGGCATGTAGTCATCAGATCACATGGCCCCCCGGTCAGCCAAGGTTGATGGAGAACGTGACGTTTGTGTGATTACCTCAGGATGGTTTATGACCAGTTAGAATTCACCCAAAGGAGTGCACCGCCACAGGAATGAAGAACATGTGTGTAGGGTGTTGTTATGCTGTGGACTATGGACTGAATAGTTTTATGACTCACAGAATTTAGATGTAGTCAGTGAATGAAATTCATCAGATTTTAAGTCCCTGGACAGAAGCATCTGAGGATCATTACTAGGTGTAAATACAGGTACCTCCTTGATAAATCAAGCAGAAGACTTTTAGGCTATTTCCCAGAGTTGGTACCACTGGAAAATTTTATTTCCATTAATATCCTTGGGTGAAAACAAATTCCTAGCTAGAGACTTGATGTAAAGCTGGAGGTCCCGTTTTTAGAGTAGAGCCACATCTCAAGCATGTTAAGACCACATTTATACTAGTACAGCTGTAGTAGGAGTCCTTTCTGATGTTAGCAGATCAAACCTAATGGTCCCGTATTATGCAGCTTGTACTTACTGTACAGAACTGGTGTCTTAACTGGTTATGTGAAATAGACAAGCAACAGAGTACAGATATTGCCTAACGTTGTGTTCTCCCAGGTTGTTGTTTCTGGACAGTGCCACATACCTGAGCCAGGGGAAGCTGAGCTTGTCCCTGGAGCGCTTCATCCTTGTGGACATCGATGACATCTTCGTGGGGAAGGTGGGCACAAGGATGCAGACAAGTGATGTGAAGGTTGGTAACAGTGCTGTTTTCCCATTCATTCATTTATTTTCCCATCCATCCATCCATCCATCCATATATCCATCCATCCATTCATTCATTCCATCTCACACACAAATCTATAACTTACAGGAGAACACCTCAAAAATAAAACTCCTACAGTTCTAAATTTGCAGTAGCAAATCTCCCAGTCCTGTCATCCATCCTCCACCTCGAGGCAGATTCCTCTCTAACTTGTGATGGATATGTTTCTGTATTGTAGTAGATTTGAGGCAACGTGATGGACAACCCCCTCGGAACAATCTCCGACCATGACCATGTATAACTGTCAGTACAGATGGACTGGGGAACACCCAGCTGACCTCAACGATCTAATATTGGACATGGGGATTAAATCAGTGCATCTTTATGAACCGCTATCCCCGAGCTGGTTGGCCCTCAGCATGCCTGCGGGTATCCATCACATCCCCTCTCCTATCCTCCACGACTTGTTAGGAGCCTCGATGGCCCGGTCTTGTCGGAAGTCGTTCACAGGCTCGTATGTTTGGGAAATAAGTACTTGAAAAGTTGGAGCCAGGTTGGTGGTCGGGGCGAGAGGTCGCTTCGTTTGCTGCGCCACCGTGTGCTCCTCGCTAAGCCGTGTCTGAGCTGGTGCATCATCCGGACTCACCACAGTGCACATACATGAGCTCCAAAAGCCAGAATAATTCACCGTGTGGTATCAAAGACTGCTGATGCAAGCACTATGACTGGTTCCTGGAAGTTCAGATGATTTTGCTGCATTTATTATAGGAAGGAAGGTTATAAAAGGACGTTTTATGCTGGAGCTGTTTTAAATTGGTGGTTGGAAAAATTCTGTATAACAATAGTAAACATTGGAAATGCTCATCCTTGGTGTTGTGAATTCAGTGTGAAAGGCCACCACAAAAACAGAGAAATCAAACCACTGCAAACCACTTCGAAATTTACAGTACTGCTTGGTGTTTCTCATTTGCTCTTGGCTAACAACAGTCTGTGCGATTCTTTGTTTCACCTCATTTTGTGTCACGCTTTTCCAGCTCATTTTGTTGCATCACCTTTTAGTAAAGTCACAGGAAGGTGACACGATCGATTCAACCAAGGAAACAATAAGCCATTCTCTGCACAGACAGACGGCTTCATGAGACGTGCGTCATTCATAAAACATTTGCTATTCTCTGTGGTATGTGGTTCCAAGGCAAATACGGTTATTCATTCATATCAAAGTAATTATACATCTATCAGGTTCTTATCAACAACATACTTTAAGTTTATAGAACACTGAGCCCTGATTTCCCAATTAGATACGCATTGAAAAGGAAACCTCTGCACATTCAGGTAACAAATAATAATATTCATCACTCGCAGGTCTTTCCAAAAATCTTTAAAATCCAGTTCTCCAGTCAGGCTACCTTCAAGTTTTGTTCAGGGAGTGAAAAGTGTCATAATCTTAGCAAACAGAACGTTTAAAAAAAACAAGACAAATGATTGAAGATAAGTACATAGTGTAATACTTACACTACATGTACCAAGCTACAACTTGACATGGATGCCTGTAGCTTTATTTTATGGTACCGGTATATCCTTCTTGATTCACAATTTGACTTCACCACTACAAGGTTAAGCTTTCGGCCAATTGTAAATCAAAAACCGCTCGTCTTGCGTCACATTTTGCGAAGAGATGGCAGCTATCACCTGTCCCATGTGGGTGGCCCGTTTCTATGCTAGATTGGTTTGAGCAGGTACATTACTCACTCTAAAAGGTTTGTCAACTTCGCCTCTCAGTGTAATCTGTCTAGCCTAGTAGACAATTCCCTGGGTAACTGGGAATCCTCCCCTTGGCCCTCTCCGTATGAATGCACGGCCCTGTGTACAGAGCCATGTGTTCTCATTATCACACCACTGCCTGACTCCTGTCAGATATGACCACTAACTGTAACAGTCAGCCTCATCGCCCAAGCAGCTTTTACAACCACTTGTCTGGGATTTGATGATGTCTCCCTGTAAAGCTGGGATACTTATTGTGTTTCGTTGTCTGACGGACATCAGTTGAACTGTTGGATTTGAAAGTCTTAGGTTAAGCCTGTCTTGATATAAGAACGTCTGACAGGTATTTGCACATCATGTAAGTTTGACAACTTGTACAATGATACATTACTATATAGTTACCACTCGAGTGAGAATGTATGACATGTATGTCTTATTGTCTGTATAGACAGACTTAGGGACAACATACAAGTCCCAAGTTCAACACACTGAACTTGCACATGTACTTGAGTGATATGAAGCAAAGACTCTAGTGTAGATGATCTTGAAGTCTACTTCCGATATTGTCAACAGAGTAGCCACACAGTCTGTCAGCACCAGTATTAGCTGTTAGTTGCCTGCAAAAGCATTTTATAATCCTGTCTAATGCTTCATTTGTCAAAGTCAAAGGCTCAGTTTCAAAGATTACCCAAACGCAAATGTGTGCAGTCCAAATGGTGATCTTCAGACCAGATACGGCCTCCGCAGTATTGACTAAGTGGTTCAGGGAATCTTAAAATCAAGATATATGTCTGTTTACGGCACGGTGTGTAGAATTTACATGCGTTGTGACGTGGGGAGACTTATGTTTATGGACCCTGGCAATCCTGCGGACTCCTGGACCAGCTGATAGGGATCCCAGGTAGGATTCACAGCTGCCTGCATACGTACAGCTCTGCACTAACGATCCTGAACAAGCTATTTTTGCCACGTTTGGTTTTGCGGCCTGCGATAACCTAAATCTTTAAGTCCCCCCGAAGCCAGGAAGAAAAGCTGACCAAAGGCATTCCAATCCTGCAGGGATCACACAAATGATATTGGGTGCTTCAGTTTGGCACGATACGCTCGCTGGGAACATTTCTCCACATTACTGCCCCCGTATTTCATGCCATATCTACTCCCTACCTTCATTTCCGGAAGTGTAATGATCCATTTGATAAGACAAATCACCTGGCTAGGAGGAAAAAGGAAGCAGGGCTCATCCTTCAATTTACGACCCTATATGTACCAAACCCCATAAACCTGATAATTAGGAGATACCTAAAGATGAACTATGGATAAAGGGCCTAATGGAGTTTCATTTATCTTAAGGTATAAAGTCACATCTGGCTGTACGTGGATCATCAGTGGTTCGGAGGCTGTGATCATAATTAGTTCATTAGTCAGTTCTTCAACTGTGTACTGAGAGAATAGATGGCATCAGGTGGTTGTTCAGCAATGCCCTAGCCTGAGGATCAGGCTGTTTATGTTAGTACCTACCAGTAATACAAACAAATCTTTCTTGATATGTTGCACTTGACAACACCTACTCAAGTTGTGACCATTCAAAGTCTCAAACAGACTTGGCCCCTGCAGTTAAAAAAAGCTGCTAGGGGGCCAACACCACTCCTTCACGAGGATGAAAGTGACCTGCCATCCAAAAACCATCATCCGAGCATGTCTAGAACACGATACTGTATGTCTGCTGCAGTACCATAGAAAGTTGCCAGGAGCCAAAAAGCCATCTGAAGATTCTATAACTTTATAAATGCACACACAAAAAAACGTATGTTTCCAAGTCCATGAAAACAGTGTAATGACCCTTGCCCTTATAACTTAGACTCTTGACCATTCCAACCCATTTCCCCATAGACTTACATGTAGCAGTAGTGTCTTGCTATTTTACCACTCCTTCCACTTGTGCAGTTTTCATTTTCTCAGGTGGTTACCCAGCTTCAAAGCAATCATCATCAAGTTACCTCCTCAAATGAAAGTTTTATGAAAACTTCTCATTGACATTCCAGACATGTGGACTGGCCTAGCGTTGGTGTAGGTGTGCAGCAGAGTGTGGCACGCGTGCTTCAGGCTCCAAGTCATTCCACCTTTCATATTCATGAAACATTTACAGCAGAAAGGTTGTCGCTCAGGCATGTAATGGCTGACTGATGAAGTTTTGATACTGTTTTGTTGCCAGTCTGTCTGGAGTAATTTGCAGCCGTTGCTTATTGCCTTTCCCAACAGCAATCCCAGTGGAGCAGTAATACATTCATTTAGTCGATTGATTAGTGGTGTGATTAAAGAATGAAGTCCAATAAATTCAGGAGGCACTTTTGGGCAGAAAGTACTGCACAGTCATTTGTTTGGGAGCAGTGCAGCCAGTTGATTATGCTGCCCAGAACAAGCCGTAGATGGCACTGAGTTAATGGAGCATGTTCATTTCCATTCTGTGCCCTTGCTGAAGTGAAGAGGGTGAATGAGTTCTGCAGGGGCGGACGTACAGTCTGTATTGGAAACTTGTTGGCTCTCAGGCAGTAAAACGTAATCACTGCAGCCAAAGTGTAGTTTGTACAGTTGTTCTGAATGTCTTCATTATTGTGAATTTCTCGCTGATCTTGTGACTATACCACTGTGACGCACATGCAGTTCATTACAGTTCCTCCGCCATACCATTCACTTCCTCTTACTAGACCATTTTATCCTCCAATTTGACCTTCCTGTCAGTCTGCAGTTGCACCATTTCCCGACTCACCTCCTGCGACTTTCCAATTTTCAAATACATGTAACTATGGACACACAAGCAAAAAACAGACTAACACACTGAAACAAAAACTCAGTACACAGAGATGAAAATCACAGTTATGACAGACAGTTATGTGTACTTAGTTGAGGATAACATACAGTGCTGCATTCCCATACAAAACCATGTGTGACATACATGTACACTGTACTGCTCAAACAACTGTATATGAAACATTTTTTTGGAAGGATGGGTGTAACTTTAAGCTGATATTGATAAGACATGGAACAACTGGTATAATGAAAAGGTGTATTTTCTGTTGTATGTTTCTTACAATGTCCTATGATTTCCTGTAGGCTCTGATCAGTGCCCAGTCCAGGCTGGGGGCCTTAGTTCCCGGGTTCCGCTTCAACTTGGGGTTCTCTGGTTACTTCTACCACTCAGGTGAGACATGGTCATGAATATATTCATCAGTTTACTATACATGTAGTCACTTTGTACCAGCAAAATTTGTCCCTCAAAATGCAGGAAATACCATTTCAGAAGGTCAAAATTTTCATAGGGGAGCATGTCCCTGGATGGCACCACACCGTATCCCTGCAGTGCTCGACTAGTCATGACGTTACATCAGACAAAATTGAGATGACAAAACAAAATTTTAGGCTGGTTAGAACACTCTTCAGGACATTTGTCTTAGAATGATGTCTCTATGTTAGTGAATGTGATTGTTGATGGTTCCTTGCTGTGTTTTCAGGAGATGATGTAGAGGATGTAGGAGATGATGTCCTGCTGGCCAACGCCCATGAGTTCTGGTGGTTCCCCCACATGTGGGCCCACACACAGCCCCACACCTTCACCAACGAGTCCTCACTACGGGAACAGATGATCCTCAACAAGAGATTTGCCAAAGTAGGTGCTAGCTGGAAAATACTGTGCTGTAGTTTTCATTCAGTTCTATTCTATCTGCCGTAAGTTGTACCTATAGTTTTACAAAAGTTTTAAAAATGTTACAATAGATTGGTGATTTCAAACTTCCCGGCAGTAATTTTCTTGAAGAAACAGTAAATTTTTAGTTGCAAAGATTGGTGTGCATACTCAATGATTTAAAAATGACTCAATGGCATCTGTTTTGTGGAAACCAGGAGCACGGAATTCCCACGGATGGAGGGTACGCGGTGGCGCCGCACCACTCCGGAGTGTACCCCGTCCACGTGCCGCTGTACGAGGCCTGGAGGAAGGTGTGGGGAATCAAGGTCACAAGCACAGAGGAGTACCCTCACCTGCGACCTCCCAGGCACCGCAGGGGCTTCATCTACAAGAACATCATGGTTAGTATCAGCTAGGGGGAGTCTACTCTGTCTACTGGCTACAGCTCTATCTCACAGTTCATGTTCTGCCTGCCTGCCTAAATGCTTTGGCAACTGGCCCCTTGCTCCCTCCATGAGTAGTCTCCAGGCTTTATGGCCCCTGGCCCTTTTACATGTATCTGCATTTCACAGACTAAGACCCGAGTCCTTCTCAATTTGGTCAATTTGGCTTATCTAAGATCAGGGTGCAGGGCAATGTAATGTGTCTGGGTGCATTGTGGTTTTACCGCATGTAGTTTGTATAGAAGTCAAAAGGGGGCACTACTGACCACATAGATACAGAATTTGGGCAGATCATGCATATCTTGTATCTCTATAATTGAACTCTACATCCATCCAGACGTCATGTGAGACAGGAAGGGATAAACAAGTGTCTGTTTGTTTATTTGTTTGTTTGTTTGAGCCTTTCTTGATCGGTGTTGTTTTTCTTGTAGGTCCTGCCGAGGCAAACCTGTGGTCTCTTCACCCACACGATCTTCATAGACAAGTACCCCGGCGGGCGCTCGCGGCTGGAGGAGAGTATACACGGCGGGGAGTTGTTCCAAACCTTCATCAACAGTAGGGTAAGGGCTGGCTTTATTCTATACTCTTCAAATTCTGAGCAAATATTCAAATGACAGACCGATATGATACAGAGTATTGCGGGCCCAGTGTTTTTGGCAGATAAGTGATGGAGAGAGCATACTAATTATGGTAAAATTACTAAAAAGGCGGGTATCCAGGCTATACTTAAAAAAAGTCAGCTGACAACAGACTTCTTTCTTAAGTTCATGTTATCATGCTCTGTTCTAATCAAAATTGGTACTACAAAACTGTTGAATGGCATCCAAAACTTAAGACATAAAGTAGTAATATAGATGTAGTTACGCCAAAAAACAGTTACTCAAAATGTAGTTATGTGATTGCTGAATATTGTTTGTCCAATTATTTTTCATGATCAAGAGAAATAAGGTATAAGATGTCTGATGAGATGAGGTGACAAGGTAAACAATGTTCTGTCTCCTCCTACAGGTGAACATCTTCATGACACACCTGTCCAACTACGGTAACGACCGTCTGGCCCTGTACACCTTTGAGAGCGTCATCAAGTTTGTGCAGTGTTGGACCAACCTGCAGCTGAAGACTGTGCCGCCCCTGGAACTGGGCAAGAAGTACTTTGATCTGTACCCTGAGGAAGTCAACCCTGTGTGGCAGGTAGGAAAATTGTCCATATTGTGTCTGACATGGACGACTTTGATCTACTGGACAATGATTTTGTTTATGTTGCATCGGATTTTATTTGTTTCCTGAATGTTGTGTACTTTTTGTTGCCTGATGAAATGTAATTTTGTCTTGTCCATCGGAAAGCCGCTCCTACAAGCTAAGTGGGCTGCCCAGCTGTATTCTGATGAAATAGATAATAGATAAATTTGATGATCCCAGTTAATTTTCTAAGGTCCAGACAATTTGTACATCTCTTTTTATCTAGTCTACTAGTTGGAATATGATGATTCTGATCTAAGCTTACCTATTAAGCTCATGGCTGTTTGCATTGACTGTTTCCCCTTTACAGAACCCATGTGACGACAAGAGGCATTTGGCCATCTGGTCAAAGTACAAGACATGTGACAGGTTACCACGCTTCCTGGTCATCGGCCCACAGAAAACTGGTCAGTAGCACTTAAATGTGTCATACACACATCTAGAGCTTTGTACCTAACAAATTTGCATTTGTTGTTATACTTGGCCGGGCCGGGTTCAGATTAGACAATTTTCTAAGTTGTAGACATGTTGTCGGTCCTAATTTCTTTCTGCTGTGATCTTCTTTCCTCAGGCACCACTGCGCTGTACGCCTTCCTATCCATGCACCCCAACATCCTCAGTAACTTCCCCAGCAGCAAGACGTTTGAGGAGGTCCAGTTCTTCAATGGAGCCAATTATTACAGAGGAATTGACTGGTGAGTCCATAGTAAACTTTGCAACAAGAAATCAAAAACATCATGCCTCTGTGAAACATGAAGAGTTTTTGTGAATTTCTTGTTTGTTCACTTTTTTATTTCTCCTCCGATTACACACAGGTACATGGAGTTCTTCCCCACGCCCAGTAACTCCAGTCTACAGTACCTGTTTGAGAAGAGTGCCACATACTTTGATAACGAGCTTGTTCCCAAGCGTGCCCATGCCTTGCTTCCCCGTGCCAAGATAGTCACCATTCTTATAAACCCAGCCAGGAGGGCGTACTCGTGGTACCAGGTGAGCGGCATGTTTGTTTGTTTGTTTGTTTGTTTGGTATAACCAGTAAACTGCCTTTAGACACATGTATTTAGTTTTTTGGGGTAGATTAGTTGTGGGTCTATGTTTGTCCTAATAACTTCTGTTGCATGGTGGGTGGCAGGTGATTTTGACAGTTAATTGATAGGGCATTCAAGCCTAAAGGTTACCCAATTGATTGGGAGTAAGTGGGTTGGAATCTTCAGGAATTAAGTAAATGGTGTAGTAACCAGTCAAACTACAGCATCATACAATCCTCTCCATAGTTCAAGTACATTCTGTTAATTCAAAACCCCAAAGTACTACTACAAAGTATCTGATTTCTTGTAGACTTTGGAAGGGTCATTTCTAAAACACGTGTGTTGTGTCTGTCCCCAGCACATGCGTGCCCATGCGGACGCCGTGGCGCTGAACCACAGCTTCTACCAGGTGGTGACGGCGACAGACGAGGCGCCGCGGTCGCTGCGTGACCTCAAGAACCGGTGTCTGAGCCCCGGCAAGTACGCCGTTCACCTGGAGATGTGGCTGAACCATTATCCTGCCAGCCAGGTGAGATACATGTACAGGGTAGTACACAACTCCAGACCACAGGACATAGCACACATAGAACACAATTCAGAAGTTTTGTGAAATTAACAAGTGGTGGTGTTTGTCAGAACACAGTCACTAATTGTAATCATTATCTCTGGGTACAGAGGTATTGTTTTGGGTGGGTTTGTCTGCGAGTTTGTATATATGCTTGTCCAGGAGAGCTGGCTGCAGTGAGAATGGATGTTTGGTTACATGATTGACCCAGAATGCACCTGGTGGGTAGTGCATGGAAGAATTCAGGAAGTGGTGGACAATGTTGAGTACCTGATAAAATCCCCTCCACTGGTTCCAATACATAATACAAACACCCAAAACACTTCCCAGAGGTCTGAAATCTCTAATTTCTTGTTGTCCTGGTTTGACCTGGTGAACTTGTGTTTTGGCAGTTGTTGATCTTGGACGGTGACCAGCTGAGGACGGACCCCGTATCCACCATGTGGAAGACTCAGAAGTTCCTCAAGGTCAAGCCGCACTTCGACTATGACAGCCATCTCAGGTCAGTACTGTCAATTCAGTTGCTGTTGAGTTAGTTTTGCAGGACAAGGTTGGTAGGGTAGTTCACCTGTTCCTTTAAGCTAGTAACTGGTTTGATGCGGTCACGTCAATGAAGGTTAGACATCCAGGTAATGAGATAGACTAGAGAATTTTCACTTTCAAGTCAGTTATTTTCACAGGGACTTAGTTTTGCAGGACAAGGTTGGTAGGGTAGCTCCACTGTTCATTTTAGATTAACTGCTTTGACTCACGTGGATGAGGTTAGACATCCAGGTAAAGTTAGAGGTACACAAGGAAATTGTTACTCAAGCAACTGGATAGGTTTTAAAAACTGTAAGACCTTTCAAGTACAATGTAGCATCTGCTACTTTTCGTCAGTGAACTGCTTTTTGGTTTGAGATCAGTTTCACCTGACTAATTTGTACATTTCTCTCTGCTTGTCTGTGCAGGTATGATCCCTCGAAAGGGTTCTACTGCCAAGTCATGCCGAGCGGGAAGACAAAGTGCCTGGGGAGGAGCAAGGGGAGACACTACCCTCCCATGGAGAACGACACAGAGAAGTTCCTGAGTAACTACTACCTTCCCTACAACGTGGAACTGTCCAAACTGTTGACCAGGTTAGGACAGCAGCTTCCTGATTGGCTGAGAGAGGAGCTCCGGGGAAGATGATGTCAGTGGAACAAGGCCATAGGTCACCTAAGGTCATCAGAGACTTATAATTGCACATAAAAAAAAAAGAAATTTGGAAAATATTGATTGCAAAAAGTGTGAATGGTATAATGTTTGATTTATCATATCCTTGTAGATAGAAAATACATGTAAGCACTGCTTTGTAATTTTTATGCTATAAAGAGCTTGCGTCCTTATAATTTGTATTTTCAAGGAAGTCTTGATAAAGAGAGAGAGAGAACTGTGATAATGAACAGAATACTGCCTATCTCTCTCCAATTTGCCACCAATCAACTTTGTGATCTAACTGCTACTTTTGAGATATCGAAAACCAACAGACAAAGTGCCATGGTGACAGTTATATAGCAGCACTGCAATGTACTAATGCCAGCCATGATGTCTCCACTCCAAGTTGCCTGTAGTTATGTACCCTGAACTGTGCTTCTTTAGAACCTCTGGTAGCTGAGCTCCCGTGGATTTAGTACAATGTAGAAAGTATTGGTAAAGGTGAATGCAGGCTCATTCTAGCATGCACAGTAATCAGTCTTTCATACAAAGTTTTCTCTGACTTTGATGATTGTTATCAATAGTAAATTTGCATAACCTGGCCGCCATAATAAGAACAAAAATTCACACACTTAAAAACCCAGTTTACCTCATTCAGTGTTAGTGTTATGTGAAACATAGTACTCCAGAAAAAACACCCTGGGCTAAGAAAAACCACATACCAGTAGGTTTCAAAGAATCCAAGAGAGAAATCCCACCTTGGAATATGAATAAAGTTGCTGTATACCAGAGACACATACATGTATAAGCAGATAAGGAAAAATTTGTCACATACATCTGTATAGATACCAATAGCTTAGTGAAGCCTGGACTAAAGTAGTAGGTTTCAAAATGGCAAGTTTGATGAGTTGAAATGACAAAAGTTCAGCTTCACAATTGTGTGAGAGAAAGTGTGTCCCCCAACCCTCTCATGAGCTGATCTCAGGAAGTGTAATTGCTGTCAAGGCATACTCCATGGGAGGGGAGGGGGGTTAGAGGGTCTGATTCATGTTATGGTATCAGAAGTGGTGATGTATAGAAAAGTTGTATCCACCTTTTTATCCCTTTTGTGAAGGAGCGCCACCCTCTCCTTATCAGGAGAACTGCAGCACCAAGATTTAAGTCTTAAAACAGCATTTAGTTGACTTTGTTAGTAGTGTACCATTGCGGTTGCAGAACACAGTATTTACCCTTGACCTCCGTGGTCAACAGTAAATTGGGCATGAAGGAGGTGGCACAGTACTTGAAAAAGTCATAAATATTGTTGAGGAAGCCAACCACTCTGGCATATATGAGAAGCCAACCACTCTGGGTCCTTAACCATGTGAATGAATCCCTGTAGGCAGAATACTGTGTTCTGCTGCCTTGTTATAGTGCTTTCCCGTTATTTTAGCTTTCTGGATCTGCATAGAGGCTCTGAAGGACAACTTCTAAGAAGTTTGTACAAGATAAGAATGGAGCTCAGAAGTTGTGTTTTATTAAAAAAAAAACTGTAATCTTTTTCCTTACACTAGCCATGCCATTCACCAGTTTTAACTGTAAATTTTGGGGTGAGGTGAATACTAATGTAATATATAAAATAATTAACAATTATAAAAAAAGCATTTCTAACTGAGACTTTCACACCTGGTTGCTTCTGATCTGAAACATTGCACTCAGAAAGGCAGACCTAAAATGCAACTGATTGTCTTATCTCCAAAAGTACATTATCCTGGTGTCTTGGATTCCATACACAAGTTGATTTCCATACATAAGTTGTTTTCTATGTAAACAGCAAAGACCAAAAGGATGGACACTCTATGGTTGTTTGGAACGGGAAAATTGGTCACTATGCCATAACATGCTATGATAAACAAGTGTTTACAAGTAAACAGTTCTTATGTTTGGATGCCGCCAGGTGCGTGACTGTCTCGGGACCGGGAATGTCTAGAGGAATATATTTTGTAATTCTACAGATAGAATTATCATTCATACTGAATGTTTTAGAGAAGTGAATGGAGAGACTGTTCTTTCCCACCTGCCAAGTCCCCGTCTGGTCATGTCAGCTTTTCACACCTGTTCTGTTGCCTGTGCTATGCCAAGTGTTATTTAGGGCCCAGCCACCTTCATCATATGATCGTCGCACAATCACAAGCTAAAGACATTGTTGGGAAAGTCGTGCAAGTATCAAACAAAATTCAGATGTCTTGTTACAGAAAAGGCTGTCTGAAATCCCTGTTGGCAGTTGTTACTGTCACAGCCTGATACAAAATTCCATGACGTCAAAATTTTGCGACGACCTACGATGAGCGTGGCAGCTCTGTTGGAACCCCGTGACGGGACCTTACTTAATCCACTTTTGTTTTTAGTATATCAGTACCAAAGAAACATATGAAAGCCAAGTTGATGTTGAAAGATTGGAACATGAAGATTATGGAGTAACTCAATCTTTAGGATAATACAATTTGGACAAAAGGCGGTACAACATCTGAAGAAGTAGACATGGCACAGACGTAAGCAAGGCAGCTTTAAAGCAAGCTTAGCCAGAAAATTGCCAGGATGAAAAATCCAAAGATGCATTCTTTAAGTAAAGTGCATTCTTTAAGTAAACATCGTCCACACCCCACACATCTCAATGTTAAGGCAGGCATTGTCAAATGATCAACATCATTGTTAAAATTGCATTATAAAGTGAAGAATAGGCCCTACTAGTGTCAAGACTGATGAGTACTGAATGTCCTACCCAGCCTGTAACACTGTGAGGGTTTATGATACATGTGCACCTCACTCCGTATACCTTGCGATCGTCCTTACATTGTGGGATTGAAGTATGATTTTATGTTTGATAGAGTTTCCACATGACATGGTAGAAATCCCAAATGTCTGCAGAAGACTACAGAATGTTACAGTGGTCCTTCTGGCACCTTCTCAACTCAACAGTATCTACCACAGAATAGTTTTACTCAACAAGTTATGTATCATTTGTGTTCACAAGTACTTACATGTAGACCAACCATTGAGTCCATTGCCAAACTCTACTACAGTAATATAACTATTATTATCATTATTGTACCTGTCATGACAAGTGATGGAAGAATATTCCATATTGTGACATAGAATATGGTGTGTTCTTCACACATATCTGTGACTTAGTTAGAAAATATTCTTTGTAACATGACTGGATGTTTACTAGGTTAATCTGTAGACGAACACAGTATTATTTTTAAGGTTGCAGAGAAAGTTGATGTTTGAGAAATTTGCTAAGAAAGGAGTCGAAATCCTCTTAATTTGACATGTCTCCATGACGGTACTAAAAGGACAGTAACTGTAATCCCATGACCAGTGTTTCTTTACTTTCGTACCCAGAGCCCAGTTTACACTCTGTTCTGTTAAAAGGCTCTGGGTAGGAGAGTGATGTTTTGAAACACCCTGCCTTAAAGCACCACTGTAACGTTGTAACCTTGACTGGCAATATTTCTGGCAGTTGTACAGTGGCGATAGCTTCTCCCAGATGGACATATTTTCATGACAACTGATTGAGAATTCAGCTAGTTGTATGATGACCAGAAGATCAATTTGAGTTATCACTGTAGTCAATATTTCAGCAGAACTTGAATAAATACATGAGAACAGAAATGTTGTACGTGGTACTTTTTACTAACGGATCCTGGCAGTGAGTAGAGGAACATATACTGTGTTCTGTGTCGCGCGTTTGGTCCTGACTAAGTCTGCGCTACTAGCGGCCGGCCCGGTATGACCAGGGCGGCTGGTGTAATACCGGGCCGGTCGCTAGGAGCGCAGACTTAGTCAGGCTAGCGCGTTTCCGTGTCGTAAACGGTCGTTGTCACCAGAAACGGTCGTTGGCGGTATGAATTGTCACCACTTTTGTACGTGTTTGGCTTTTGAGATGAGAAAAAGAGATTACAAAGAAAATGGTAATGTAACAAGACATGACATCCTGTCATTCCTGTAAACGAGAGGCAAGTACCTATCTGTTGATGTTCTTCGTTATGAATGGAAGTATAAGGATCTTTCTTCAATTTCAAAAGTACTAAACATGGTAATGTAATGTCACCTCTGAAAGTGACCACAGTGGAAAGTGACCAACTATGAAATAGGGGGTTGATGTAATGTTTCCAATATTCCTCTTTTATTCCTTCCGCCATGTGTTTGTTACGCAAAGACATATTTTAGACGATAAATCTGAAAACGTCTGTCTGCCGAATTGAGCTTTCGGAGCATGCCGCCATGCGTAAAAGGCACGAGAATTCACTGATTCAGTAAATGAGTCTGAGTCTGCAGAAAAACAAAATACCACCCGCAACAACTCATACCACGTCATTTGTCCTGAAAAGGGCAAATGTGACTTTACTTGGCCAGACTAATTAAGGTATTTTTTGCTATATTCATATATTGTTTCACCATTATACATTGCGCAACGATTGTTCCCACGGCACTCGGTCGAAATGAACGAGCAGGAGAGGCTGTCCTGTCAGCTCCCTCGGGCTCCGGCCGCGGTCAGACCAGCGGGCCGCCGCCTCAACCCCGTCCCGTCCATCAGAGTGGTTCACGCGGGCGTGTCCGCCACGGAAAAAGGTGCTTCTGACAAGCTGCAAGAAGAGCAAGACACGTCTTCCGTCTCTGTAGTCCTGCGCTCCCGCGGCAGCTGTCTGACAGACGGCATCGCCGTGCTGCTGAGCCTGATCTCTGTGTGACTCGCCTCTTTGACGTTCGTCTTTGACGCCAGCCTTTCACCGCAAAGCTATTTTTTCTAAATATTGATTTTATTGTGGTTTTTGAGAGACTATCAAGCCAAAAGTTGCTGCTTTCATGCGTATTGTTTCTTACGTTTCGTTTTCTTATGTGGCTATATTTGTAGGAAATGACCTGTATGTCCACTATTGTTGACGTGTTGAAGCGCGACCTGTCCAAGACTGTTGACGCCTTAAAGCGCGACATAGACGACATGTCACATGCGTCAGCAGCCGTGGCCAGTTGGTGCATGTTGTCCTTGAAACGCCATCAAGACGACGCGCTCCGACTGTCCATGGCTGCCGACGCCTCGCAACGCCACATGCGTCAACTGTCCACGACTGTTGACGCCTTAAAGCGTGACCAAGACGACATGCGCCAACTGTCCACGACACGACTGTTGACGCCTTAAAACGCGACCAAGACGCCTTAAAACGCGACCAAGACAACATACGCCAACTATTCACGACTGTTGACACCTTAAAACGCAACTTGGGCCACTAGCGAGGCCGGCCGGCTGCGTTGGAGCAGCTTTCTCAGGAGATGAGTAAAATTTTACCCAAAGTAAAGAATAGCAGAACTATTCGCCTCTAAAACTTGAAAACGCTTGAGCTACGACCCATTGAAGTACAAATACATGTATAGGTGCCACATAGTATACGGCATTTAGTATTAGGACACGTAGAATCTTGATTCCGACTATAGTCAAACCTGTCCAAGCCGGCCACCCAGGGGACCAACGAAAAGTGGTACTAGTAACCTTGAACAGGTGGTCTTCTTGAAGAGGGTCGCCTCACAACATGGCTGAGGCATAAATGATATCCAAGTCGAGATGTTTTAATGTCAAATGCTGTAAGCATCTTTAGTTTTGTAGTGAATGCATGTGGGGAGGGTGGCACATGGAACAATTTACTTCATACAAAAACATCATCCAGCAGTTGAGGCAAACTGGCTGGTATTCTCCATGAATTTTCATTCGTTATCATCAATAATCAACATGGGGAAGTATCGGGCCTTGAGCGGACCCACCTCTGTGCGGTAGCGGTCGCGTTGGCCAGGTGGCCACGTTGGACAGGTTGCTTAATGCCTGCGTCCATGGGAATTTTTTTTGGGACCGAGAAAAAGCGGTCCCCACTCCAGGTGACCAGCTTGAAAAGGTGCTCACCTTGGCAGGTTTGACTGTATATCAGGATTACAGTAAAAAGTACTACTAAGGCTTATAAATAACTACAGACTATCTTTCATCTGTGACTTTTCAGCTGACTATTCCATACCGAGGGTAAACATAATGGCTCATTGGCTTTCCTATGCAACGTAACTGTACCAATAACTAATAACCTCAACTTCTTCAATCGTCTTTCCGATATGGCCGTGACCTCACCATTGAACATGAAAATTTAATTTCAATCTCTTCCACCGCTTCATCTCATCACTACTATGGCCTCTCCAATCCAATTTGAAGGCGGATACTGTCACAGGTCGATACATACAAGTTGTGGGAATGGCTCAGTGTCTTATCAAATTAAAGTGACGATATCAAAAGTCTTTTTATGAATAACCTTTTTTCATGGAGGTTGTCCGTGGTTTGGATTGCACGGGACGCCGTGTGTCGGGGTATAGATGTCGTTTGAGTTTTGCTGCCGTTGGGAAATACGGGAAAAGTTTTAACGACAAAATGAAAGAACGCATCACTGTTATGGTATAACTGGTATAAACAAACAAACAAACTGTCAGAAACCTCTGCTGTTAGACCAATCCCAGAGCCCCACCCGTACCTATCTCAATCAAAACGTAACCATTTGACGTTTGAATGAACCTGCATATTTGGTAACATTCTCGGCTGTAGTAACGGCAGACGTGGTTGGACGCTCCAAGTACGGCTGTAGTAACGCCACACGTGGTTGGACGCTCTATGTACGGCTTTTGTCTTGTAACGGCACACGTGTTTGGACGTTTCAAGCAGATGCCTTTATGGCAGCGAAGAAGTCTAATTGTAACCACCAAGTTCTTGTCACGCAGACGTTTAAGACTCTAAAAGGCCCCGTTACTATACCAGACACCTCCAAAACATCATAACGGTTGAACTAGTGATCTCCAGCGATTTGAAAGCATTAGAAACAGGTGCATAGTATCACTCCGCCACCCCACCACAGTCTATGGCGTCCCTCATTCTGGGCGGGAAATTTGACCCGCCATACGTAGTATTTTCCACATTCCCTAAATCATCAACCTACTTTTAAAAGATTCCGCCTGCGCTTTTGGAAGATGAGTCCTGTCATTTTTTTTGGTCAGTAACAGCCGTTAAACGATCTGTAATTATACCGCAGAGCTTCAGAGAATAAACATTATCATAGGCAACGCCGGAACACGAATGTCATATGGTTTTCACATGAAGTCGTCTGTTATATCTGAATGTTGGTGACCGGGTCTCTCTGAAACGTGACAGTTATTTTTGATTTTGGCAGACTCGGATGAATAGCAGATTGTAATCAATCTGTTCATAGGTCAACCCTGTATAGGGCAAGGGACGGAACTATTTGGGTGTTCCAACGTCTCATCTAGGATCTTATTCTGTATCTATCAGTCAGTCTTCTTAAACATATCATGTCTTTAAAACATTCTTCGTAACTTAACAGTGTGAGATAGACAACAGTTCAACAAAAATGCATATCGTTTGCCATATATATTTTACTCTGTTAGGCAAGGGCCTGTTACGGGATTAAAAATGTCCTTTTTCATTCCCTTGTAAAACACAGACTTCCCTGAGTAACTTTTCGAGGTACATTTCTTCACATCTTTCTTAAATACACGTATAGCTGATAATCAATAACATATTTACCGCCTAGACCTATGTGACATAACTTTATATGTATGTAGAAAATGTACATTGATACCCCAGCCCTTCGCTAACGCAGGCCCCCACTGTATAGCAATGGTCACACCACTGAACTGGGACACCCTGGTTAAAGACGGCAAAAATAGATAAATATAAATTAATAAATTATTTTTTCTAAATCTCCACACGGTGGATATAGCATACAATGTTCTAATAGTCCCCGACCCTCAGACATGAGGATGGGACTAGGTAAAGGTAAAGGTTCTAATCCATGAAACCATTTACATCACATGCTGAGTTAGAGCGCTCCGTATACTTGAGCCGTGTGACCGATTAATCACACATATGCATGAAAGTAATTATAATTATATATATATATATATAATTATCACTAATGACTATACTATCGTTTCTTTAGTGGTGGGAGCTTCTGATGACAGAGTTTCATCTTCTGAGTCTTCTTCCACGTCTTCCTCCTCTTCTTCATCTTCGTTGTCCTTTTCCGTTTGTCTGTCGTACAGTTCGTCAAACTTTGTGACAATGACGGGTACGGGTAGAGCTATAGTCAGGATACCCGCTAAAGCACAAATACTGCCCAAGAATTTCCCGCCACCAGTGGTAGGGTAGTGATCGCCGTATCCTACCGTTACCATGGTGATGAGAGCCCACCAAAACGCGTCTGGGATGCTCTCAAAGTGGGTCGATTCGTATCCAGTCTCGATGAAGTAGATGGCGGAGGAGAATAAGATGATGCAGATGCCCATGAAGACCCCGAGCATTCCGATGTCGGGCAGGCTGGCAGTCAGGGCCAGACCGATCATTCGGAGCCCGCGCGAATACCGGGCTAGTTTCAGGGCGCGAGTGGCGCGAAGCAGGCGGGTGATGCGCATGGCCCAGCCGGAGTACATGTACATCGGGTTCACCATCATCGTCACGATAGTGATGAACCAGGGAGTCACGGCGATCATATCGTACATGTTCAGCGTACTCTTGAAGTACCGTTTCCTGTTCGGACACGTCAGAAACCGCAGCAATAATTCCAGAACAAACCACGCACTGCAGACGGTCTCGATGATGAAATACGTGTCCTCGAAAGGAGATTTCTCATTACGAGAGTACTGCAGCATAGGCAGGGTTTCAGCCGACACTGCCGCAACGGACAGGAGAATCGCAAAACAAAGAGAAGAAAGCGAACAGCATAGCCCAGCGCGAACTCATGGGTTTAGTCGTTAAAACCCACAGGTCTTTGACTAGTTTGCTTCTCGGCAATGGTTGCTCGGCTGCCCTGTGGAACCCCTCTTTTTCTCGATATCTTTGAATGACGTCGTCCCCCAACTTGAAGAACTTGACCTCGTCAGTGAAGACGTCTACGGGTACTTCATCAGGCCGGTCTAGACGCCCTCCTGTTTGGTAAAACGCAATGATTGCTTCTGCACTCGGTCGGTGTCGATCAAAAAAGTACTCGTCTCTGTAAGGATCGTAGAATTTCTTTCTGTTCTCCGCGCTTCCCAGTAAGGTGTTGGGGAACCTGGCCAAGGTTTCCGGCTCCAGCTCGAACCTGAGTCCCGCCACGTTGATGACCACTCTCCGGCGGAGATGAGCGAGGGCTGCCCGGGCGCGGTCTGCCGTCATGTCCCGGTCGAACTCCCGCCAGCGGTACTGGCGCTGGACCATGCCGAACAACATTCGGCGTTGGGTCCGAGGGGTGGCGAGCTCCCCCGTGGCCGTGTACGCTCCGATTATCCATGCCGACTCCATGGTGGCTACAGGACAAGTGCCCAAACACAAGCGTTAGAGTGTGGTGCACTACAAGAACTGCTGCCCTTCCTATGGCCTGCTGTCGAATGGCTCTCTCTTGAGTTATAAATAAAGCAGTGTTTTACATACTTTGCACATACTCCGGTGTCCTGTCTACGTAATTGATACCCGCGAGGGCAGACCTACTGTAGCTTCTTTCAGATCAAAAATCTTGTGCCCAATTTCTGATGTTCATGGTTTAACGACATGACGCTACTATTTGGCACGTCGCCCCCTGCCCTTTGTACAAATGTTGTCACGATGTATTTGCCTATTGCGCATTCCTTTCCTATTTCCTTGTATAGAAAATAGAACCGAATGTGGAAGGATGTCAGACGATTTGTGTAATTGCAATATGTAAGATGTCTCTCGTTGTTGGGTCAGTGTTTTGCTTCTAAAGCATGTGTTGTTGCCATATGCGTGGCCTGCCAATGTGACTCCCTATGGGCGATCCTTACAGTTTACAGAGATAGCCTCCGGCGTTGGCTGCTTAATTTAGCGTTGGATCTAAATCGCTTTACGGTTACGTTAGGTGATGACAGATAAGACATGCCAACACCAGGTCGCGCGGTACAGAAGTAACCCATCCCCAAGATTGCCTTTCTGGTATAGACTGGACCGGGAAACAGATTGAGATTGGCCCGTGACCAGGCCAGTTACTTTAAGGATAAATTCACCCGTTGCTCCTGATAAAAATGTGCCGCTGGCCAGGGCAGTTAAGCTCTCAAATGATAACAAACCCCCGTATATAGAGCCAAGTTGTTTAACAAGCTCACGAATGGGTGCAAAAGGACCGCACGGGAAGAGTAGAGGCATTTTCGGAATGTTTGGAAATACAACACCCAGTAGAACATCAACGATCGAATGGTAACCATTCTCTACAGACCAGCAAAGGGCACAGTCCTACTGAACATAAGTCTTTCTTTCGAATTCTGACAGCCTATATTTCCAGGATTACTACCAACCTTCAATACATGTAATTGAAACCCGGGGGTGCGCTAATGGTTAAGTTCAGTCTTAATCATTGTCATAAATCAACTATTGAACTAATTAATCGCTGAATCACAATTGAAAAAAATAATGCCTGGATAGCAATATAAAGGATTGGTTGCCGGGGGCTCTTACACCTACGTATTTGATTGTTGATGGTGTAGATTTTTGGTCCTAGTTTTCTCATCCAGGAAATCTCCGGACATCTGCTTGGAGAATCGCGATGAATAATTGCGACACCTGGCGGTGCTCCGAATTATGCATGGCCACATTCTTACTCTCCAAGCAGAGGTTGGTACTAATGGTAGGGAAGATTGTGACCTTTCTAATGTGCTCTTTATCTGTCACTACCCCCACCAGGTTTTAATATCTTATTCGGGGATAAATTGCACTTTCGTGCCCTCACTCACAAAGAGGAACCAGCTTTTCATCTTCCCTTTTCAGTGAAAATGGAATGTTCCTATGTCAAAGGTCACCCAACATGGCTGCGTTCTAGTCGTAAAATTGAAGATCGCTGTGAATTTCTTACTTTTGCGTTCGAAATCAAACCTTTTCACCACCAATTGTGCACAGATCAACGTGAGTATCTTCTGCTCTTTAGAAAGAAACCGTTCAAAGTCTGGCGTAGACAGCCAGAGGTTAGCTTAACGCCTTTTCAAAAATGTTGTGGGGAGGGGGGCGAGCACCATGTGGACAAAAACGGTGGTCTTTAAACTTAAAGAGATATCCATAGATGTCAGCCGCTCATGACGCTAAAGTAACTATCTATGATACTTTATCATCAACCATACGTTAACTGAACTTACGTCAACGTTAACAAGTTAGGTAGTAACGTTACTACAAGTGAATGCACTTGGCTTTTGTGAAACTGTATGCCAAATTATACCTGTTCGTAAAGAAGTTTGGCAAAGAAAATTATCATCTGTAAGTCGATAACTTTTTTAGTGGCTAATTGTTGTATTTGTGTAAAGCATTACCTTTTTAAGCCAAAACGAATTGAACATGTTACTGTAAGTGTGTTACTGTTTCTATACCTAAATAATTCTAAAGGTACAGGTATGATACTATTACCGGTAGGCACACAGCCTTCTCTTAAATGAACTTTTTTCTGAATATGTTTCCAGGACTGTGTCAAGTGTAGTTTATAAACTATGGGTCGGCTAAAGAAAAGACACAACTGGAAGGCTCGTCAGGGAGCAGACATTAAGATTGACAACACTGAGACTGAGGGCATCCAGATTGAACTACAGGGTAAGTCAGATGATTCAAGTCATTGAAAAAGCAATGAAGGGTACTTGTACTTTGAAGCATCAAAGTACATGTATGATGTTTTCTGTCACTATTTGTAAAAATATTGCATTCAATGTATGAAAGTGCTGTGTACATCAAGTACTGGTACAGAGGTTTAGATACAGGTTAGGACTTGTACCTGAACAATTTGACAAAGTAACCTGTGGTCATAAATGATTAATAAAATGTTTTTATAGACTTCAGGTCAGGTAACAGATGTCACATATCATAAATATTGTTCTTAATTTTTATGCTACTTGCAATTAGCCTACAGATATGAATTTACAACATTCTTATTATTATAAAGACAACAGGCTGCAAACGATGAAAAATATCTTTATTTGTATTGTAGATAATTGAATGAAAAACATATTTTCGTTCAGACAAAGAAGAGGTATCCGGGATTGATGCTTGCAATGCCCTGGTGCTACCATCTCAGAAGAGGAAGGTGAAAAACGTAGAAAAGTCAAAACAACTGCAGCAGAAACCTCTCAGCAAGAAACAGAAGAAACTACTCCAGAGGAAAATTGAGCAAAAGGAAAAGAAAGCAAAGGTAGGAATTTGTTTGTCTCCCAACAGTGTAGTTCAACCTTCAGCCTGCTAAGGTTACCTGGTAGCCAGATCTGTGTTGGTTATGGGGTTAGGCAGCAGGAGAAGGTTAAGCTATTTGTAGAGTTGGTCTGATTTGAGCTTAAAAAATGTTCAGTTTCAGGTTCTTGTAACTGTATGCTAGAGTTATAAGAGGAGCATCTGAAACTACCAGGTGAAGAAAAAATATTTCTATTTTCATCAAGGACGTTTCACATTGGAGGAGCAGATTGCAACGTGTTTGCTGTGCTGGTCACCTCAGTTATACTGGTATTACAATTTGCTGACTCTTACATTCCTCCCCACACTATGCATTATACCTGCTTTCTTACTTACAGAGAGCAGACTTGCTGGAGTCTTTATCACAAGTCCAAGTTCCTGCCGAGGAATTAAAACTCCTGCAGTCCACTCAGACCATACATGGCAAGCTCACCAAACGACCTCACCCTGACCCTGATACCTCAGCCACGGGGTCGTGTAAGGTCAACAGCATCAGCGGCAGTAAAAAGAGGAAGATGACAGTGGAGGATGAGGAGGAAAGTGAGAGTGAAAGCTCCAGTAGTGACAGTGACCTCGAGAGTGACAATGAAACAGAAGTCGAAAACAGCGAAGAAACTAACACTCAAGATACTAGTACAGGCATGGAGAGAGAACAAGTAAAAAAGACAGATAGTGATACTGTGAAAAGCGATGAAAAAACTGCAGGACAATGTGATACAGAAGGAAAGGGAAACGATGAAGCAACGGATACACAAAGGGAGAAGAATCAGAAGGCAGAGTCAATAGGAAAGAGAGAGAGGAAGGACAGCACCCCTGCCGTGTATGTCCCTGTGGAGAGGAGACCTGAGATACAAGAGTCCAGACTACAGCTGCCTATTCTGGCTGAAGAACAGGTAAAATGTCTCCGTAAATCATTTTGCCAGTTTAGTTTGTTTTTGTTTGAATTTGTCTATTATGCATTACATTGTATGCGCCGTCTTAAGGCATAACACAAGACTGGACTGTAAAGTTTGATCAACTCAACAATGACATGAACCCCTACTAAATGTATCAGTAGTACTCTTTTTGATAAGTGTGGTGTGAGTTTATCACACCTCACAGTCTGGCCTTGAAAACTTTCTGTTGAAAACTTCAGGTTATAGTCACCTGTTATGTCAATCCTTCCACAAACGTGGTAAATCTGAATTAAAAAGATAAAGCAATGTTGTTTGCTGGCAGGTTTTGATGGAAGCTATCCGGGAGAACCCAGTAGTGGTGGTGTGTGGAGAGACAGGCAGTGGGAAAACTACACAGATCCCACAGTTCCTGTATGAGGCTGGATATGGAAAGGATGCCATGATTGGTGGGTTTGTTACCATCCTTGTATTATAAGCCAATCTCATTCACTGTTGCAGTATGTTATATTTCTTGTTATATTTCTCACAGATTCTGTCTTTGCATTTTCCCGCTGGCTCCCATAAGACATGCATATGCCAGAAGATTGAAGGCAGAAAATAAGATAACCTTTTCTGAAACATTTCTAGACCTTTGACCTAACTTCCTGTCAGTGTCCCCAACATGCCTAGCATGTGGAAATGAAAACAAGCAAACAGTCACAACGAAAACAAAACCTCATTACATAATGGAAGTATAACACTATACACACCTAGGGGGATTGAAAGTCTAAATTTACCACATGTATTTTCTCCCCTCCAGGCATCACGGAGCCTCGCCGTGTAGCTGCCGTCAGCATGTCTCACCGTGTTGCCCATGAAATGAACCTGTCGCAGCGCACCGTGTCGTACCAAATCCGGTATGAGGGTAACGTCACCCCGGAAACAAAGGTCAAGTTCATGACCGACGGCGTTCTACTCAAGGAAATGCAGAAAGACCTCCTCCTGTCCAAATACTCTGTTCTTGTCATAGACGAGGCTCACGAGAGAAGTGTGTACACGGACATTCTGATTGGTCTGCTCTCACGGGTGGTGCCCCTGAGGACCAAGAAGGGAAACCCCTTGAAGCTTGTCATCATGTCCGCCACGCTTCGTGTGGAGGACTTCACGCAGAATCAGAGGTTGTTTAAGATCCCCCCGCCTGTGATAAAAGTAGACACGAGACAATTCCCGGTGACGGTGCACTTCAACAAGAGGACGCCAGGGGGAGAGTACCTACAGGAAACGTACAGGAAGGTGTGTAAGATCCACCGTATGTTACCCGCTGGAGGCATCCTGGTGTTCCTGACAGGGCAGGCAGAGGTGCACGCCCTGTGTAGGAAGCTCCAGAGGACTTTTCCAAGCGCAAGTGGCGCACAGGTGAAGAACACAACAGAGACCAAAGGTAAAAACAAACATCTTTTTCCCCAGGATTCTTTAGTACAGATGATGTGATATACATTGTATGTCACCATGCTTTTTACTCATTCACTTTTGTGGCAGAAAATGGCATGCTTTTCGATACCTAAATAGAAATACGTATAACAATATAATAGAATGACAATATATTGATGTTGCATTAAAGTTATGCCCATTGCATACAATTGCTTAAAAACTGACCTGAATTTTAACATATACAAATGAAATCATAGTCATAACACTGAGTGGATACAAACTGGATACTAATGTCCAGTCCTGTTGATGTGTTCTAGAAACTAAGAAGACAAAGAAGGACCAGAAGCTGCCTCAGATCAACCTGGATAACTACACGATCGAGGGAGATGCTGACCAGGCTGATGATGGGATACTGGAGGAAGACATCGATCTAGATGCACATATTGTTGGTGAGATGTCGCTTCAAAATAATAAAAAAAATGGATGAATTTGTTTGAATGTTTTTTTTGTAGAACTGGTAAGCCACCTTTAGCCATAACACACCAGTTCTGTACAGTAGGTACAAGTCCATCCACACTGGGAAGGACCCCTTCTACCCCTACCCCTACACCATTAAGTGCGGTAGGATCTTTAACATGCTTGAGGTGTGGCATCCAAGAGAACATCTCTAACTCTGGCTCTAACCACTCATTTTCACCTGATTGATACTGGTAGGTGTAAAAGGGCCTTTTCCAAGAGCAAAGCACTGGGTCTCCAAGGGGCTTCTGCATTTCAGGTAGGAGTTACCACCCAGAGGTCTCCCAGTGATTCGAACCCAGTACAACATTTCAATGATATCAGTCAGCTCATCAACAAGCCCAACCATAAGACCATCATGTTACCCAAATCAATCTTTCAAACGACAGTCTCTGAAGTCATTGCATTGATTAAAGATCTTATCTACCTATCATTCACCTGGTGCTACACAATGCTCACTCTGTTTATCCCTGTACAGGAGTTGATGATGAGGATGACATGGATGACAGTGCTGCCACGGCCACGTCTGACTCAGAACTCCCCATGCACGTCCTCCCCCTGTACTCCCTCCTCCCCCCGGACAGGCAGCAGCGGGTGTTCCTGCCACCCCCTGAAGGGTCCCGGCTGGTCGTCATAGCAACCAATGTGGCGGAGACCTCCCTGACCATCCCGCATATCAAGTATGTGGTGGACACTGGGAAGGTGAAAAAACGCTTCTATGACAAGGTCACGGGGGCTTCTGCATTTCAGGTAGGATTTACAGCAAAAATGTTTTAATGTTAATCTTTACAGAAAGGTACTAATGCACACTGATACAGCATAATCAAAAAATGATAAAAGTTTAAAACCTGAAATTTTACTTCTTTAGAATCAGCTAATAACAGTATGGAATTTCATATTTAAGCTCTGAATAGAGGCAGTACATGTCAGGCAAACCTTGCAATTAGATTTTGCTGACATTCTTGTTTACTAATATTCTATGTTGTGCACACAAATGTTTTCTGTGCTGCCAATTTTTTAGGTAAGATGCACCAGTGCACCTTTGCTAATAATGAATTTTAAGCCTTAACCATTCACAGAGTGTAGTAAAAGACTTAGTGTTTTTTAGTCTTTTGATATATCAAATTTTCGGTCTAAAACATCAGGTGACCTGGGTATCCAAGGCGTCTGCTGACCAGCGTGCAGGCCGTGCAGGGAGAACAGAACCCGGACACTGCTACAGACTCTACTCCTCCGCTGTCTTCTCTGACTTCCAGACGTTCTCACCACCAGAGATAGCCAGACGTCCTGTGGAAGACTTGGTCTTACAGATGAAGGACATGAGCATTGACAAGGTGAGGATGGCAGGCATAGGAAAATCACGCATACATAAGAAAGAATCTTTCAGAAGTCGTCTGAGTTTTAAGTCCATAAAAAAAGCAGAGCACACTGGTAGAGTTGTTAAACTTCTAAAATGTCCATCTAGTGCATATATCGTTAATCATTTCCATACAGTAGAAAACCTCCATTATAACCTCAAATAGTATTGGTGATTCCTTGACAATTCCAAGAACAAAGTTTAGTTCTGTAACACTGATAAACATTTTTGCAGATGTATAAGTCTCCAAGATATTTTTGCTGTAGTCCATTGTCCAATGTTTTTGAATGAAACAATAATTTGTTATAATTGTATGAGATGTTGTGTTGTCCCAGGTGGTGAACTTCCCCTTCCCAACACCCCCTGATGTAGAGGCAGTCAAAGCTGCAGAGCAGCTCCTGGTCCAGTTGGGGGCACTGCAGCACACAGCAAAACCCAAGGTTTTACCTCAGGTTTATTTGTTTTGCATAAGGCCATGTTGATTTGATAATATGGATGACATCCGCGTGCGCATAAATTTTCGGCCGTTTCCAAAAAAAAAAAGTTTTCAGTCATACTGTAAATCGTACAAAACGGTTGCAAAATGAGCAAAAATATACCGTAAGTTACAAAAAAAACATACCAATGTCGTAGAATGCCGAAATGAAACGGAAAAAGACGAAATTATAAAGAAGTGAACTTGAAGACTAGATTATTCGCCATACCATATTCTGTCCCATTTGTTCAACCCTCATGACCACGTAGATTTCATAATGAAAACAACTTTTTTTTTTGCAAAACTTTTTTTTTATTTGCACGCGCGCATCAATTTTGGGGCTCCCGGAGGATGTCATCCATATAATCAAATCAACATGGCCTAAGTGGTAAATCAGTGTTGTGCAGTAAGTATGGTAAGCTGCGTGGAACCAGACTGTAGATGAATATCTAAGTGCACAAGTTTACAATAACAAGGTTGTTAGACCCCTGACAATTTGAGTAGATATCGATTAGCCTATTTGTAGGTGTGATATTTTGTCATCATGGTTATTTTACTGTTGTACCATCTTCAGAACCCTAAAGTGACCCCATCTCCTGTTGTCACCCCACTGGGCCGTGCCATGGCGAGGTTCCCCGTGTCTCCTCGCTTCTCCAAGATGCTGGCCCTGGGAGAACAGCACGGCCTGCTCCCATATGTCATCAGTATTGTCGCTGCCCTGACTGTCCAAGTAAGGTTTGCAGTTTTAGGTTCTAGACCCCAGTATGAAGCCCCCTACTGGGCTGCAGGTGAATTGCAACACTAGGCCACAGCAAGTAATTTTTATGGATGACATCACCTGATTTTCACCTAATTTTGAAAAAGAAATTTTGTTGCCCTCTGAAAGTGGTCAATATGCCGAAAATGGGCAAAGATATCTGTTGCCATGCTGGAACGTGGATGGCAAATGAATATGAGGAGAGGAGACAAGACAAGGCTCTGATTTATTGTTTTGTCTTTTACTTTGATGCATTGATGCATATCTTGATGTACAATGATTAAAAACTTTGATGGCCTTACAAAGGCAATATCATGTGGACTGGTTGATGCCTCCACAGGAAGTCTTCCTCCCGAGTAGCGGACCAGCCGTACAGACGGAGGAACAGCAGGAGCTGAAGGACGCCCAGCGCCGAGTCGCCCAGCTGAAGAAGACGTGGGCGGGGCAAGGACAGTCCCTGTTGCTAGGTGACATCATGGTGCTCCTGCGGGCCGTGGGAGCGTGTGAGTTCGCAGGCTGCACCAAGACATTCTGTGAAGAGAATGGACTGAGATATAAGGTATATGTACATGGGACGTGATATCCCATCTGTTATGTTTAAAAACAGTTCATCCTTACATAGATGTAGGTACACAATGCAAGATTTTAGGGGCTACAACTGAAAATATTTTGGGTAAAAAAAACCCAGCAAGTTGCTGATATTTAAATCACTTTTCAACACATGTAGTATGTTATTACATGAACCTGTTTTGAACTATTGTAAATAAAGCAATAAACATATCCTCACTCATATCTCTGGCATGAAGTTTATTGAGATACTTTTTATGACGGATTTATCCATTGTTGCTTAAATCTAAATGCACAAAATTTTGTAAACTGTCATTTCACATCAAGTTGGAATTGTTTCCATATTTTGCAGGCAATGACTGAGATTCGAAGCCTGCGTGCATTACTGACTAATGCCATCAACACAGTGTGTCCAGGGGCCAAGGTGTATGTAGACCCTAACATGAGGCCCCCTACTGAGCTGCAGGTGAATTGCAACACTACTCTAAATTGCTGTTTACCTATGGTCTAAGCCTAAGAAAACCATGGCAAAATGCTTATTATAGAGATTTAATTCCCCAAGAGTCCCTGTATTGTTTCAATAGCAAGGTTCAGTTGTACATCTTTGCTGCACAATAATACTTAGTTAAAGATGCGCCTAATTGCATAGATGTCACTGACGTCAACCATAAAACACCACGGTGCTTTTATTTTCATGAATCCATGACACCACAAATACACATGTTTTGTATGATTACTGTATTACAGACTTGTTTCAACCATGAATTTAAAACAAAGGGAAAACCTCTCTTTCCCTCCTACTATGAAATAAAACCACAGTAGAAGTGAATGTACAGTATGTAACATGTTCAATCTTCCTTCTATAAGGCCAAGCTGCTGAGACAGATCATGCTATCAGGGTTAGGGGACCGAATCGCCCGCCGTGTTCCTGCAGAGCAAATCTCAGACAAGGCCCACAGGTTTGCCTACCAGTCCACCTCCATGGAGGAGTATGTCTTCATCCACCCCTCCTCCGTTCTCCTCAAAATTCGCCCAGAGTACGTCATATTTCACGAGATCATTGAGACAGGGAAGCCCTACATGCACTGTGTGGCGGCGGTGGAGCCAGAGTGGGTCCCGTTACTGGTGCCCAACCTGTGCACGTTCTCGGAGCCGGTGCAGGATACGCCACCGACGTACGACAAGGACACGGGTCGGGTCAGGTGTCACCGGACCAGCACATTCTCCAAACTGGGATGGCAGATGCCTTCTGTGGAGTGCGACTATCCGGAGGGCCTGGAGAGGTAACCTCCCCCTGTATACTGTTAGAAGTGGTAAATCCCCACCTACTACACACCTGTGCTCTAATATCCTAATGTTCCAACAACTCAACCTATTATCCAACTTCCCTAAACCTATTCTCTGGCAGGGATGTCCGTTGGATAGGACATTAAATGTGTAAGGACAGCCACGCTTGGAGCATTTTAAAGAGCTTGCCACTCTTATAGAAAAGACGGGTCCTTGCCAGTATGAGTGGATCAAACCTTACAGTTTTGTGTCTTACATGTCATGCTTGGAGCCTCTGCCTTATGAGGTTTTAGATAGCATGTAGTAATGAAGAAAAAGAATATTGTCTAAGACTCTAAAGAATATTTCTAATCCCTTTATATTTTGTTTTGTTCGGAACAGGTACAAATGGTTTGCAAAGTTCCTCCTGGAGGGAGCAGTTTTCCCACGACTGAAGAAGCTGACCCCCCTCCTCCTGTCTCCCCCCGCCATCATGGTCAAACCTTGGGCCAACCTGCAGCCTCGCACACAGACACTCCTCAAGGCTCTGGTGTCTGAAGGAGCAGACAACAGAGATAGCCTCCAGCAGGCTTGGCAGAAGAACAACAAGTTTCTCCTATCAGCGTTTACAGAGTGGGTGCCACAGAGTATATACACAGACCTGACAGAGATGTGGCCACCTGTGTAGGATTGGAATTTTTGGCGGCACCAATTTGATTTCTTCTTTTTTTTCTCAGATTCTTGCAGGAAATAAATGTGGACATACTGTGATATCTGATAATTTCAGATTGCAGATTTTAAAATATAATTTAGAACAACTTCAAATGTGGCAAATTACATGTAAAAGAAGAGAGGATTCAGTATTGTGAAGCACTTTTTTGTAAACACATAAAAGAGAAATTTTTAACTATTTCAAGCCCTGTTTGTCTAATAAGGACAGCTAAAAACAGCTTCTGTTCCTCTAGTTATTGTATTAATTAGGAAGATTATGATGAAGCTGGAACTATGCGATACTTACAATGTAAATGTAATACTTCATGCACTTGTCTTCACTCATTCTCAGTCACTGATGAAGTATGGCAGATGCACAATTATATATTTTAAGATGTGTATTAAGTTGTGTATTAAGATGTGTATTACTTTTATTGCTGTATCATTATGCAAGCATTGCTTAAGTCCTCTGGTCATGTATTTTGCTACCCAATGTACCATATTGCATTATAGATACTGAAACAAACATTATATTCCATTAAAAAATTCATAGTTGAACATTGCTATTGACAAGGAATATTTCATGAATACATGTATTCCGTAAGATATTGAACTGAGAGGGAATTACAGTCAATGCAACATGGTTGTTACATTAAAGATTTATTTTGAATCAAACCAAACTGAAGAGAACTTTCATCTATCATGCAATGTGAGGTCATTCATTTTCACGATTTATGTCTGATGATGTTCATTGTATTAAACTTCCAAACACTACAAGTGTAAACTTCCTGTCATTTACCACTGTGACAGTGCATGACCACATGTATTTCTTATAGGACCTCTCTTGATGATTCTACAAAATTTCTTGAAACATTGAAGGTCCTATCATGGAAGGTAGAGGATATAATGTTATAGAATTTGTAACATTGTTACATTGATTATGCAAATTTGTGTAATTAGCCTCTTATTATCTCAATTAATCACTTATGCTATCAACATACAGAAAATCACGACGATCCCTAAACCCCAAAAATCAGTCCCTGCAGTGCAAATAAAGCTGCTAGAGGGCGCCAACCCGCCCAAATGCTAGCACCCAGACAACACCATAAACGTACTATCCCCAGGACCAAGATGGCGTCGCTAGCAGACGACCATGTTCACAGCGCTGGGCGAATGCAGGCATACAGCGATGCCATCTTCTCCATCGTGGCAACCATCATGGTAAGATTGTCACAGTGCAACGCGATGAAGTTTTCCAGTTCTTTCCTTTCGATGTCCTTTTCTTCGGGTCATTTTCTGACGGGGTTAAAAAAAGGCGCGAACCCGGAAGTAGGAGTGGTGCACGCACTCTTGATATTTTCACGTGAGAAAAAATAAAGAGACGACCAAAAAAATCAGCTGCAGTCTCGTGTTTTCCACAGATCCTGCCAGTAGCCCACACCGAGATACCAGAAGACAAGGTAAGACAAATTTATGACACCGTATTTTTGCGTCCAATGCATCTCTTATGGTAACAGCCATGTGCCAATCTTCAAGCAGATGTTTGGAAAGCAATGAGGTTTAGATGAGACTTTGTGAAAGCAACGTTTTCAACTGTTAATTACGGTTGTGCCTTTTATTTATCGTTATAAACCTCACATTCAGCCGTAAACGACCGCTGTTCATGGATATAAAGGATGAAAATAGGGGGACTGTTGTTCAGAAAACAGCGTCATCCATACATCTGCTTGGAGTCTTCGATTAGTCATGTGCCGCTGACTCGCGTACTGTTATGGGGGACAGAACTTTGTATGGTAGGGTAGGAGGAGTATGGAAGGGCATCTCTGCTAATGATTACTTTTGCCAAGAAATTTATGTTTTGGTGTTTGTGTGTGTGACTGTGTATGTCTGTAGACTGTGACGTTATACTCCAGAAGTTGTGGATGGATCCATATAATTATATGATACAGCATGGCTAATTGGTAACGTTACATGTATATTGGTATCTGATATGAAGCACATGAAGCGCCAAATGAAGCACCAGTTGAAATTATGGATGTGTGATATCTTTGAGATATGCTATTTAAATGTTATCATTTCTTCAATTTATTTTTGACAGAACTTGAGGGAGGTCATCTTCTATCGGCTCCTACCCAAAATACTCATCTACATTTTGACATTCTTTGTGGTGGCCATATCATGGACTGCACATGTTTGGTAAGTAAGCCAGCACCAAATCTGTGACATATACAATTCAACGATAGCTCAATTTTCCTGTGCATTGAAGTACATATCTTGATAAATTTCTTTGAGGTCCAATTATCACCAATGTTCCAGGCTGTTCCAGATTGTACGACGTGCTGATGATGTGACCACACTTCTCAATCTCTTCATCATGATGATCATCACATTTCTACCTTTTACGGTGAGTCAGCACTTGGACCAAAATACACTCTAAGAATCTTGCATCATCCCACGCCTGAGTGAACTTACTAGTACCATCACAAATGGGTTGGTGAAAAAACCGGTCCAGTCTGGACCAGTTAGGGGACACCACAAACCCCTCTCCATGTATAGATTAATGGCATCAAATGAAAAGTCAAAGTAGACACTATCACCTGACTAGTACCATGTACCACGCAAATTGTAATTTAGAGAAGTCTGCTGATCTTGTAGCAGTCTTTTGGCCACCTTCCTAATAGGGATATTAGAGTCCAGTCACGTTTGGGAACATCATCATGTCATTGTGACAATGTGACAAGATCGGAAGTGAATACTTCATTAAGCTCTGAGGAAGGTAGACAAAAGGTTAAATGTCGGAAGAGAAAATTACACGTAGAAAAGAAGCTATGATGTTTATATGATATTGCTTCCTTTTTCAGTTCACCTTGATGGGAACATTTCCTGAATATGTCCTGGCCATTGTGCTGTTCAGTGTGTGTATCATTGTCCTGGGTGTAGCACAGGTAAGAGCTGATTATACCATACAAGAAAAAAAAATTGTACTAAATATCATCTTTCAATTGCAAGCAAATGTAACCCCACATCTGTCATTATTGCAGGGTAAATTGAAGGCATAATTTACTGTAACCCCTAAGGCATTAGAATTGTTTGCTACAGAGTGAGAAACAGATTAAACATGAAAAAAGATGGGGGAAATGGTGTAACCACAGACTGACAGGAAGGTTGATTTAGAAGCCCAAAATGGTCTCCCTGCAGGCTAGGAGGTGATAAATAATGAGTAAGACAAGAAATTTAATTGATCCAAATACATTCTACTTCATGGAAATCTTTAGTTTCTTGTTGTTTGTTTGTGAAGTTGACCTGTTGTATTGTACATGCTTCCCCAGTACAAAATGTAGTAAGTTGTGCTTTTTTTCTTTCTTTATAAAAATGTATCTACAGGCCTTAGTAGTTCTGCATGTGTTCCGCAACCCTCAAATCATGGAGGAGTCCATCAAGAACTCTGAGAACAAGGTGAGATATTCCTGCTCTTGCATTACAACAGCCAGCTGCCTGTCAAGGCCATACCAATTCTATGCTCAGACACCTCTATGTTCTGATATGTTCCGACACACCCCTATGTCCCAACACCCCTACGTCCTGACAGTCCCTATGTCCCGACACAATATGTTCTGATAACCCTATGTTCTGACACCCCTATGTCCCGACACAATATGTTCTGATAACCCTATGTTCTGACACCCCTATGTCCCAACACCCCTACGTCCTGACAGTCCCTATGTCCCGACACAATATGTTCTGATAACCCTATGTTCTGACACCCCTATGTCCCAACACCCCTACGTCCCGACACCCTATCTCCCGACACAATATGTTCTGATAACTCTATGTTCTGACACCCCTATGTCCCGACACCTATGGGTTTCAGAACACGGCTGTCCCCATTATAAACCCTAATAACTAAAAATCCAAACTTGTCCTAAACTCTAGAATATACTTCTTCTTTGCAGGTAGCCGTGAGGAATGCCCTCCTTCTGCGTGTGTTGGTAAACCCCATCCTCTGTACACTTGCTGCTGTGTTCTCACCTGCCAGCAATGTTATAGTAAGTCTTTAGAATCTTAAACAGTATTATGTAATGTATCTATGTATGTACTTGGCAAGTACTTTCTGATCTTGAAAAATGTAACAATAAAGAACCTTGATATGATGATACCTGATACATGTATGCAGAAATGCAGGTCTGATATTTGTTTGCTTTCTTCATTTCAGTCTTACATATTCCTGGTGATGATTCTGTTCAGTCCTAACATTGCTGTCCAACTGTCCAAGCTGATCAGCAAATGTTCAGGTATTCAGTTCTTTCCATTCAGGATGTCACAGACATGCTACCATTGCCAGTGTGTTCATTTTGCATGCAAAGGTTTTGGAGGCTTGACGGTGACTACTTGAGGCTCTCTCCTACACAAGGCTGCTGGCATTAAATCACCATTTGAAACAATTTTAACAAATGTATGCCTGCATGGGATTGAACCATGGATATACAGAATTATGATCCATATTGTAAAATAACAGGATTGTGTCACCCCTTGTGCCAGGGGTAATATATTATACAATGAAAGTGTTCATTTTGTTGTGTTTCTCCATACTTTTTAAACCAACAGGAAGTGTGCAGGTGTCTCAAGAGGTTATCCGGAGAGGGAAATCTTACGAGATGGAAGTCAATAAGGAGAGAGTGGAATGTAAGTGATGCTATCTTGAAACATAGAATGTTTCAAACATAAGTAAAACAGAGGGATAGGTTTACTAGTAATGTATATGCAACAAATCTGCCATACCTTGCCATACTGTCATGATCCAACCTGAGACCACGACTTTTATGAAAACGTTATTTTCAAATCCTTTTCAAGAATGTCAGAATATAGTTGAATGTTACATGTTTAGCAGAAGTGGGTGATAGTAATTATTTTTCTCCTATGTACGTACAGGTTACAGTGATGGTGTGTTTGCCATTGTGGCCACTCTCATTATCCTGGATATCTGGTAAGAAATTTCAAAAGGGTTATGCCATGTCTCACACCCCTATCTTTTTAAGCTTTTTTTTTTTTAACTTTACGATTTATTTCAATGGCAATTTGTGATGGATTTTTAAAGGTCCGAAAATGCTTGACCAAAATGCAAATAAGGACACCAACATGGCAGCTGACACAGGTATACCGTCATGTGAACACACTCTATAGTCGACTATCTTGGTCTATCCTTGACATCTTTCCCTGGTTGTTCTTATCATCCTGTCCCTCAGTGAAAAAGACATTCCCTCTGTGGCAGACTTGGAGATCAAGTACAAGAATGACCTGGCGGCTGCCCTGAACCATGACAGCTCTGTCTTCCTGGCCTACTTTGGCACGTTTGCTACAGTGGGACTGTTATGGTACATTCACCACTCACTGTACCATGTAAGTAAAGATACATACAGTGGTGAAGTGAAGTTGAACATCATTCAACAAAGATTATGCAAATCAGGACCTCATGTGAATAATGCATAAGAAAATGTTAGAATTCCATTCTTGGTCAAAATAAGACCGTAAGGCATTACATGACCTAAGTATGTACTACACGACTGTGTGTTTTTGTTTCTTTCACAGCACCTCAAGAGAACAAGTCGACTGATGGCCATGTTCAATAACTTTGTAAGTATGTTGTTGTCCAGCTAAAGCAAAGCAGCAAAATCCATTGCTAACTTATTATAAGAATTTTAAGTAAGTGATACAGCAACAGTTATATTACTAGTATACATTTCCCCACACTTCAATGTCAAGAATATGCTTTATGCTATTGTACAATAATTATAGTACCTTTACGTACATAACTACATGTATGTACAAATATCTATGTGCACAGCACCAATTTTTAGGGTCACATTCACCCAATATTTGAGCCCAGATGCTCATTTCATATACTATTAGATGGTAAGATTGCACTTTTTGTGTCCATCTTAGTTGTTAGTTGTTTTTGTTGCCTAAAATACTCATTTGAGGAAATTAGGATTGGTTTCATGTATGGCATACTAGTAGTCTGTGTACAACTAGAAACTTTTCAGTACCAAGGGCATGACCCAGTGCATGACAAAACTTGTCTGTACTACATGACATTTTGTTCTTTCATACAGTCCCTGGCCATGATTGGAGGGATGCCTCTGGCTTTCCAGCTAACAAGCATGTACAAAGATACAGTAAGTTCAGAATGAGTGAATGAACTTTAAAGTTTATTGCTGGACTATTATACGTGGTACAAAAACAACAATACTATAAGGCTAATCTAGTCTATGTTTATACATGTATACTACAAAATTTTGGCACTAACGGTGTATGATTTACATTACTGTCATGTGTGGATGTTTTGGTCTCACTTTTAAATTGAAGTACATGCCTCCTCTTTCCTTTCAGGACTTCTACAATAACGAGAGAGTAGCCATCCAGCTGTCTTGTGTCATCATATTCCTGGCGAGCATCTCTCAACTGGCCATCTTTGTTACTGCACTCTTCAGACCGTATGTATAAGGATTTCACCACTTTGTTTTTAGTAGCATAAGAGAGAATCTCGGTCACCTTACCACACAAAATAAAAACTGGCAGATGTATTTAATGTATGTACATGTAGTGGTGTTAACACCACAATGTTTTATTCTACACTGTTACGTACATTAAACAGAGATACATGGTCAGGTATAACAGGGTACTTGGTGTAATATAGCCAGCTGCCGCTGCGCCTGGTACTTGCAAAGTTGGTGTGTTGTATGGAAGAGCAGTTATACCGGTTTATAGACATGTGAGAATTTAAAACCGTTGATATGCTTTGTTGTTTCACTCTGTAACAGAGACCAGGACCTGACAGATAGTGCCAGAGTGGGAGGGCGCAGTCACTATTACCTACTGGTAAAACTTCTCGTCTACCCTACTGTCAGGTATGTTAGACCATCACACTTTTACAATATACGAGGGTTCCTGAATAAGCTAAATCATATATTATGTCTGAATCAAATCATTGTGCCACTCCAGTGTCTAGTGTCCAATAATCATTCTTTTCCAAAACTGTGATTGCCTAAGTGGGTTGTGGGTGAGGTAAAAATGACTGTGTTTTGCCATACTTACAGTATGACCATCTATGTCATCAGCCTGACTTCAGATGTCCTGTCTGTGGAAGCATTCCATGTGGTGAGTACTCTGTACTCCCTCCATACAAAACAGAACATAAACCTCACCAGTACTAGTGTTAACGTTATAGCTAGATCTCTAGCAAGATGCATATATTTCTCTCATGTCTCATCTCGATACAACAATGGATTAAGCTTCTTCACCTTGGTTTCTTTGACTCTTGTTTCTTTTTATATAGGCTCAGCTTGGAACACCTGTACTCTTCTTCATCCTTTGGCTGATTGTGATCCAAATACAGGTAGGATTCAGACCTTCTGAAAATATTAACAGCAGCATGCAACTTTTGGGGAAAGAGGTTCGAAAGTCCCTCCTAAATATTCTGCTGAGGACAATGTAACTTTTTTGCTCCTTACAGAGAAATGTGCAAGATGTACTGAATCCTGAAGAGAATTCGACTCAAGAGGGCAGCAATAATGAAGAACAAGGTATGTAGTTTCCTATAGTATGTAGTTGGTAGTAAATTGGCACTGCTGGAATACGTACAAGTATTTCATTTCCCTTCATATGCCTTTAAAGATAAAAGAAAAACCCATCACAAGTAAAGTAGTGGCTGGATAAACTTAAGAGTACATGTATATTTGCTGTATGTTATGTATGTATACGTTTATTGCTTTGGGCATGGATTTTCCATATGATTATTGTTAAAACAATTAGCTGATCAATGTCAAGTACAGATGTGATGGACTACATGTATCTGTACATTCTTATTTTTCAGCTCTTCTGACTGCACCTCCAGAAAACATTGCCTGCTGAGCAAAGATATCATCAGCTAATAAGCTTGTGTTTCATATTATGGAATACATGTAGTTACTCCCCTATGTTCCAACAGCTCAACCTGTGTTAGGACACCCTAACCCTATGCTGAAAAATACTGGTGTCAGAACATAAGGCTGTCCCCTTATTGACACTTATTGAGGAAATTTGGTCAGTGGAGCTGAAGTCCTAACTTACTTTGTTGCCAAAGATTTGTCTGCACAAGAAGAGACCAAGACTCAACCACATACACTAGAGATATGTGTATTCAAGTTTGTTATCTTACACTTAAAATGGTCGCAAAGTTTTTGAATTGCAAGAATACAAGTTGCTGTCAGACATGTAGTCAGCAGTAGTTGATAGGAGGCTATGGTGATTTCAGCATGCTAGTCAGGTTCAAGATCATTACTATATGTGTGCGGTAACAACTGCTTGTAGCTCTCTTGTCAAGCAAAGTGGCCTGTCCTTGGTGCTGAAAATGTTTTGTTGTACATAGACTATGCCGTGTATGAAATCTAAACCAGCATCAAACATTTCTGTTGTATCAATGGTATCTTTTACACTCTTTTAATTGAATTAGTAATAATGGAGTTTAAATGTTCTGTATTGTTTGTTAGCCGTCACCAAATATTTTTGTTTGAGCCTGAGAAAATGTGACAAAGTTTTGCTGCTGCTACAAGAATTTGTGGCTTTATTTTCGTACAAAAAAAGCATAATTGTTATTAAAGAAAAAACATTACAGACATTTATTATATGTAGTCTATTACTGAGGAATCATATGACTGCTGCTTAATGTTATTTTCCAAGGATGTATTTCACACATATTCATGATAATTACTCGGTAAATTTCGAAATAAGCAGCTTTTTTTTCCAATAAATGCATGAATAAATGTACACAATAAACCTTCAAGGTTTTTTCTGTAAAGCAGCTACATTTCAATGATTCAGAAATTCTCAAGGTTTTTTATGATTTGTTGGAAGTGTTCAAAGCCTGACCTTTTCTCTCGCCTGAGTTTTAGTAATTTAGAAGTAGAAATATCTTGCTGGACTTTTGAGCCTAATTTACACCACCAAGCACCCTCCCTGGTGTAGGACAATCATGTTTTTTGCTATCCGGAAAGCTGACAAGTGCCACGTTGAGGAAGCAGCTACATGCCCAGACTTCAGATACTGGAGGTAACTTTTTGTCTTTTTCTTTTCTTTATATCTTTTTATTCATAAACTGAACATACACTGAACCATCTATGGGAGGAAACAGGAAGCCTGGAGGGAAAACTTAAGTTGGAATTAATTAATAGGAAGATGATTTCTGACTGTTCTTGTTATCAAGGTTTGCAATGATAGTAAGATGAATAAGCTATTTGTAATTCTTGTGAAACAAACTGAGCATTAAGCATGTTATTTAATCTTTACAATGATGTTTTCTTATAATGTTAAGAGTTTTACAAGTTTTATGTTCTAAGTAAATAGGGGAAAAAACTGGAAATGATTGTAAAAAGGACCACGACAAAGCTAATTTTTAACGTTTTCCTTCCAATGAACTTTGTTCAAATGAACTCAAAAGGAAATGAACTTGCAAATTCAATATAATGTTACATGTACATATTTTTGAATATATCGTTATTACATCTCATGATTTCACTTCTGTAGACATTGTGCAATGCTCTTTGGATTTCATATACCACTGCCCACTGTGTCAAGTGTTTAATTTGCATAACATGACATTGCCAAGTACTTATTAGTAGTTGATTTTGTCTGGTCATTTTGTCTGGTCAAAATGAGCTCTAGTGGGACTTCTTCCCTTGGTTTCAACTGCATCATTATATATACAATAAGGTTCAACTGCATGCTTAATACAATCAAAGAATCTCCTGAACATTACAGTGGTCAGATGAGAATAAACAGGAACTGAAATTGTGACTTCAGAATGTTTTGGTCTGCGTTCTAAGTCTTTCTGCGAGTGATGTGGTCATAGATGACCACTTGAGTGTACTGCGGGCTTTCGATCACGGTTCGAGTGGAGTTATCCCCAGGAGATGCTGCCTTGGGATCCACGTTCAAGATCTTACGATCTCGTTTGTTCTTAAACAGCAGGCCGGAGGCACTTTCCGCGATGACCTGGTAGTTTGGGGTGGGGTTGGACGTGGATGTCTGCGTTTCCCAATTATAGAAGCTGAGATCGGAGGGCCGGGGAAGGAGTCTTTTCTTCCCAGAAAAGTATGGCTCGAAGTCCTCTGTCTTTAAACGGTGGGCGTAGTCGATGTAGCCAGATATCTCCTGACCGCGAGCATTGTAGTCACGGATGAATATGATGGTTGTCATCTTGCCACTGCGGTTGGCCTCTTCTCTCTGAGCTAGACACTTCAGGAAAGGGTTCTTCAAGTCCTTTCCAGAGCTAGCCAAGGCCTGTGGACATGAAAATGGTATCTGTTAATAGATATCATCATTCATGAAAATAGGAACTTTTTAGACGTTATATTGTATGTCAAAAGTCAGCATTAATCACTGAATAGAGATGAATAGGCTGCTTTTGAAAAATTTTCCAACACTAACGTTAATACACTATTGAGGATATTGATATATGATATGGGGAATGAGATATCCAGAGCCAAACACATGTTTTGTGCTTCTATCCTTGAATTTACGAAGGCTTTTTATAAAGAAAGCAATCTACAGAATCAAAATAACTTCAACGAAAACGTTAGCGTTACCTTTTGCTGGCTGCGTTTGGACAGTCTGCTAGCTTCGGCTGCCTGTTTTCTAGCCTCGAACTCCTCTCTCTTGAGGACCTCCCCGCTGCCGCGGTAGCCTAGCTCCACCAATTGCCTCGCTAGCTCTTCATCCTCCAGGTAATAAAGATCTAGAGACGTAATTTGGGAGTCTAGGAAGTCCTCGTACGTGTTATATTCGGTCACTATGTTGTCCGTTCCTGACGGCAGTTCTTCCTCCATCTTGGACTTTTGCGGTAGTGGTGAAGGGATCGTTGTTTACACAATAGGATTGGTAGCCTAGCAACGATCCGGAATGGTCCATTGTTTGTAAAATAAGGAATCTTGTATCACGCTTGATAGCAACATCGACAATTTTATAGCGAATATTATGACTATCTGTGCTGATTATAACTTTTTTTGCTGAAGAGTGTTGATTTTAATAAATATCAAACTTAGTATTAAACTTAGAACTTTCGATAGACAATTACCCACTGTGAAGTAGTGGTATCGTCTAAGGGCAAAGCGTGATGGGATATATTTACTAACTTTAACCTTTGAACTCCACAGCTGGACTTGCTTTGGCAAACACCAAAATGTACAGTTTAACGAGACATTTCCCCTGTTTTTCCCGGTCCTTTCGGGCACTAGAAAGGTTAATGACGTTACCCAACAATAGGAGGCTGTGTCGAGAAACATCAACGTACGTCCATAACATCAGGGCCGTTCAAAAACTCAAGGAAAACGACGATCTGTGCAAAGATGCGCTGGAGCGCGCTGTGTTCACAGTTCTGTACGATTTGAAGCCGCTTTTGGTGAAGGCAACTGGGAGGAGAGGTCTAACTATACCGTGGTGGGAGACAAACGGTAAGGCTTGTGTGATATTGATTGAAAAATATGATCACTATGATCTGTTCTTAGTTATTTCTTCAGTGACCTAAAATAAATGTGGAAGGAATGTGGTGTCACGTGGGGCGGGGCGAAATTCCTAGACATTAGGCTTGATTGATGGCCCAATCCCAACACCATGGGGATATGGGGTCAGGAGGCAGTGGGCATCCTACAAAACTTTTGGCAACGGCCCAGGGGCGAGCCTAACAGCACATGGTATGTAAACAGTCTGCAAGCATTCTAGGTCACATTGGCCAGGTGGTCGTTGTGAGTGGTCACTTGTACAGGTTTGACTCTATTTCATGCGTCTGCCTTTCTTCATAGTTGAATTTCTCTCTTTCCTAGAGTTGATGCACAAGCTGTTTCAACTTAGAATGGATCCAGAAGCTATCCTACCACAATGTATCTTGCTGAACGGGTGTAGCGAACAGCCCACAGCAAGGTTTGCCTTCAACATTTCCAGCAAGAAGCTCGCTGGGACAAAAGACGTGTCCTCTGACCTTCAGACACAAGTAGAGGAGACTTTTGGTGCTTCTGTTTTCAACATCCGTAAAGCATTGTTTGTGGTATCACCTGCAGAGGGGCAAGTGATGTCACAGGTAAAAGATTGTAGGCAGTGGTCGCATCATTTTCTGTTGTCAGTTTCGTGCTACTTTCGTGCTTAGATAATAATCTAATCATTTTGAGGTACACGTATTTTTCAGTTTCAGTTTTTTCAGTTTTATTCAGATCCACAATTAGCCTCATAAGAGGCTATTCTTCCTGTGGTCTGCACATTCATATTTACATACTTATATTACAAACGTACAAAACATTACAAATCATCAACACCTACCCACCTGACACCTGACGTATCATCAACACCTACCCACCTACCAAATGTGAAGACAGTCATTTCTAAGTCTTCTTGAGTTATCATGTTGACAGACAGACAAATACAAATGCTCTTGAAAAACATATCCTTCTGGGCAAAGGTAATAAATTGTGATACTGTACACATTTTGTAGGTGTTACATCTTTGATTTCTTGATGTCTGTTCAGGCTCATTCTCTCCTATCGTGGCACGCCTCCCACCAGTTCTGTTCACAATGTGGGGGAAACACCACCAAGAACCTGGCAGGCAGCAAACGTAGATGCTCAGGGTGTGAGGCAGAACACTACCCTCAGGTACATAGATTCTTTAATTTTTTGAAGACTTGTCATGGAGTAGAATTCATTACCAAGTACAGTACTAGGGGCATACTGACAAGATGGCTGTAGACAGTATGTAATATGTATCATAGAAGTCACATTTGTCAGTGTTGTCTTATGATTTTGACACCATTTTTAAGCAGACTGTTGATAGAACCAACATCACAAATTTCCTTAACAAGATATCTGAATTTTGTAGGTCCCATGCACAACTATCCTATGAATATCCTGTTTGCAATTGTACTGAAGTCATTAAATGTAGCCTTGAAATTTATGTACCGTAGTATTTACTGTTTACTGTGTAATACTCATCTATTTTGTACATCTGTGTAGATGGCCCCAGTGGGTATTGTCCTGGTGACCCACGAGGATAACTGTCTGTTAGCCAGACAGAAACAGTTTGCACCTGGCATGTACAGTGCACTAGCAGGCTTCTGTGACATAGGTATGTATAATTATATATTACTGCATGTAAGTTCTTCAACTACATTGTGGAATGTCTTGTACGTGTGCAAAATATTGTATACATACAAGGCATAAAAAAGTTCCAATGACTTTTTGACTGTTCTAGAAATCTTGAAGAATTGTTCAGTTTTTCTACAGTATTGTGACAAGTCTGACTTCGTTTCTCCATCAGGAGAGTCCTTGGAAGACACGGTGAGGAGGGAGGTAGCTGAGGAGGTTGGACTGGAGGTGGACTCTGTTTCCTACATGTCCTCCCAACACTGGCCCTTCCCAGCAAGCTCCATTATGTTTGGCTGTTATGCATCTGTCAAGTCTATGGAGGTATAAAATAACTCTTACAATCCTGCCAGGTAGCCCAAGGCCACCACATTAAAAATTTTGTGTTTGTCTGCAATGACTGACAAGAAGTACTGGAAGCAGAACTTCACTTGCTGCACCTCGAGGAAGACCAATGATGATGATGATTTTGTTTCACTTATATACATTTATATGTATGATGTTAACAATAAGGTTAACAGTCTTCAATGTGAGGGGAATATATCACACAGTTTTTTTATGCAGAGGCTTTTTGGCACCAAATTTGTATAGGTTACCAGGTTAGGCAGCATGGATAATTTGGTTAACTTAGCTTTTAAATAACAAAAATGACTATAGAATATTTTGTCACTAAGTGTCACCATCCTCTACTTTGGTTCCAGTGGAATATAGACCTGGACAAAAATGAGCTGGAGGATGCCAAGTGGTTCAGTCTGCCGGCGGTTCAGGTTGGCTTGTTGGCAGGTCCCCTGGGATTCAACAAGTCAAAGGACACCTCCGAGTCCGTCCCGCTGTGGCTACCACCCCGCGAAGCCATCGCTCATCAACTCATTAAGAACTGGGTAGAGTTTAAGATAAATAAGAGAAAATTTCCTTGAATGATGACTAGACATCAGGATAGGGCATTACATAGGAAGAAATATAACCAGCAACTGGGTAAGTTCTAAGAGAGGAGACTCAAAGTGTGAGGAGTCTGACTGTAGCAGCAGCACAGACATTGGAGAAGCCAGGATTGGTGGCTCGAGAACAGATACAAACAACATTGTATGGCCTGCAGTAGAGACTACTACTCCTCAGGCATATACGACCACTAACAACATAACAAAGGGTGCTTGTTGCATCCAGATCCATGATTTATCATGGATACAATAGCACTCTTTTGACCTCAAATACTTGAGTTGAAAAAGTTCCCTTTATACTTGATTTACTTTTACAGCATATTTTGAGCATGGAAAGTGATCAATGCATAGCTGAACTTTTAACCCCAGCTTACTTTGGGTATCCATTCTAGGCTGCCCACCATCTCTTGCAGGAAAAAATTAAGTACATAATAATAATACAGATAACTGTGTTTGGGAATCTAGCTATAAGAACAACCAAATTTCAAGTTTCATCAACCTCTCAAATTTTTGTAAATTCTACCTCAAGAAATATTGAATACTAAATGAAGGTGTGAGAGCACAAGGCAATCATGGTTTGTAATTGTGCCATTTGTTGACATGTACATGTACATGTGTAAAAACAGGATTTGATGAACTCCTAGCAGTCATGGACATGGACACTGGACATGCCAGCAGTCATCTCATTTGCTCAATCATGATGACTACTATATAAGTCATGATGATAACTTTATTTACTCCATAACATTGCTCTATATAAATAACTTACTCCACTCTGCTCTGTTTTAGTATACCAGTTAATCATATTAAATTGATGTAATGAAATTCAACATTATTCATTACACAAATACTACTACGAATTTTGTATGTACTTTTTTGCATCTCGGATATTGTAATCACCAGCTATCGCAGATGAAATTTGGATTGCACACAATTTACATTTTGTAGTGAAACAGGTAACAAACACATTTTTAGTCTCATAACTTAGTAAGTTTGGATAAAAAGATGCAAGTTCTGGTAGCAAACACATTGTCATTACCTGTTTATCAAAGTTTTGGAAGTTTATAAACTGCTCCACCCAGGACAGTTACTCACTTATAATGGCTTACTCACAACAATGTCTCTGTTCGAGTACTAGGCCCATTGGAAGTAAGTACGTCAGATCAGCTCTTTGACAGTGCCAAAAGTTCCCAGAAACTCTAAAATACTTACCGGATGTTTGAAATTCCCGATGTCTTTCTTGTTTTGGAGTGCATCCATCTCGTACACTATAATATTTTGTGACGTCATGATAGTTCTCGTTCTCAGGATCATACTCACAAGTCATAATGACGACAAACAAAGCGGAACAATTGCCCTTTAGAATGCTTTTTGAGTAACAATCACATAATTTTGATACACACATTTCACCACGCCACGAAGGGGCCCTGGCCTCTTCTGTCTGTAAATTTCACAATTATTTTGATCTACATCTCGTTTAGCTTGGTGATCGCTGAAGTCATGTCGAAGGTCAATGTAGGAGACGAGTGCTCGCAGGAGAAATTCCAAAGTGGAGACCCCGTGTAAGTCCCGGTCATGTTTAACGAATTTACTAAGGATGAATGTGAATATTTATGGCGGGGAGGGGCGTAGAATTTTTTTTAAAAGAAGTTTACAAAGCTGCACTTGAAGTTAAAGCTCGTTTTGACTGCTCTCTGAGTTCTGGTAGAGGTAACGGATAAACGTGATACTTTACTTGCATGTACGCAGTCTGTTGGTTGCTTTCACTTGCCACCCTGTTCTAGAACGTACATGTACTTAGGAATCTGAATAAGTTAGTGGTCAAGGGTTAAAGAATGTGAGTAACAAGTAAAGGTTATTAAGGAATACAAGCCTCACTTTATGGAGGTGTATAATCTATTTTTTCACTCCTCATCCAGCGCTGGTTTTATTGCTCACCACAAAATATGTGGCGTAAATTTTGTACGCTCGTCCACGTAACATTGCCTGCACTGTGCGCGTGTTTTAAATATGATTTACTATGATCGTCCCCCGCGCAGCAAAAGTGGCGTAGAAAGACAGTGTGTCTACTGTCTAGCCTAGCGGATATGAGTGGTCACGGGTTCGCCCTTGCATTCCTGGATAGACGTTTTATCCGTATCTGTATTCTTTGGAGTAACACACCTGACAGCTTGGCAGGCACGCGGCGCGGCGGGCTACATTGGGAAAGCGTACTTGTGTCCTTGGGAAAGCGTACCTGACTTCGATTGGGGAGGTAAAAGGCGGTAAGGAGGGGGATGAGCTTGGCCTTCCAATATACTGTGCCCTAGATACAGTGGAATAACAACCCACAGCCCATACGGCTTCAATAAGGCTATGGAGCCTTTACCTTTACATTACAGCAGACTGAACCGTAAACGTGCGGTACTGAGTCTGGGTCATGACGGCAAGCCGCTGACCAAGAGTCCCTCAGACACGCTTGTGGAAGTCAAGTCGAGTGAGAAGCTGGTAGACAAGGACAGCGGCATCTCCATGTCTGAGATGACCAGCCCGGACGACGGGTGTATGTCAGTATCCAACTTTTCTTTTGGCTCTCAAGTGTACGTTTGTTTAGTTGGTTTTATTTGAATATTCCATTATTTTTGCCTCGCGTATATCAACATGCGGCATGCGTACAGGATCGATTCTACTTCCAACATGAAAAGAATGACCAGAAAATTGACTTTGAAACTTTTTGCCGCCATGAAAGTACATTGGATGTCTTTGATGACAACGGCGTTCTCTATTTCAGCCCACCAAGAACAGTCAAGGCGAATCACTGTCTTACTTTGGAAGGGATTCCTGCTTTCGAGTTTGGTAAGGCTTTTCTTACATGTAACGAGGCTATCCATGCCAAGCTCGCCTATTGTACATGTGATGCAAGCGGTGGGCAAGCATGTCAGGATTGGTAGTCATTATATAAATTTACTAGCTAAGATCAAGATCTAATCTAATGATAAATCAAAATTCAATCAATAGATCAATGATTTTTTAAAATGTAGATTAAGGTTGATGTTTACTCCCCCATGTCTTCATATTTTAGCCATCTTGGATCGTGAAAGACAGAGAGACAGCGAACAGAAGAAGGTCAACATGAGAGCTGTGAAGAACGTGTACCACCTGGACTAACACCGTGGGACTAATGCTGGGGTCACAATTCCCATACGGGGCCCGACCGGGCAGCTTTTGGGAACGAACACTACGATACAGAAGACAACAAAACATCGAAAAGTTCTTAATAACAATCATGGGCTCCATTTCTCTATATTCTTGATAAGAATAGTTAACTTTTCATTCGTACAAACAGCCCGGCCGGGCCCCGGTTTGGAAATGTGACCTAAGCATAACCCGTCCGGCTAGCTAGGATTCACGTTTTTTCTGTCGGGAGACGTTCAGATATCACCTGTTTCGCATTTCTGTGGGTTCTGGCTCTAAATAAACAAGAAAACGGAGATTCCAGACTTGCGCGAAGTATTTTGCGATTTCGTGACCATTAAGTTCGCCCCATTTCCCGTGTCTGAATGTTTCACTTCTTGATTCTGCCTGACCATTTTCCCTGTCGATGTTCCCCTGTGCTCTCAACCAATTCGTCCTATTTCCTGTGCCTGGTCTTTTAATGCCATCGACCCATGTGCTGTCAACCTACTCTGTTCGGACAAACATACACACAAACATACAGCTCAGCCACCCAAGACAATACTTCCGTACCCTGAAGCAAAATGTATTCTTAAGCTTTATTGTGTACATGGGTTTGGACTTTCTGTATTTCTGCATAATGATGAGTGTCTGGGATAGAAAAATGAATACTGAAATTACACGAAGTGTACGTAGGTACCATTTGTACATTACATGTCAATTAATGAATCCATCATAGCTTGGAACGTTTGTTACGTTACAAAAAAGGAACAAAATTGCTTCAACAAAATGTGCATAAATGTTATGTGAAGATTGCATCCTTATGCTTGGATTTTAGACAGGTACGACAAAGATTAGCCTAAGACATATTCTCTGGATCTTCAGCAAGTCTTTCTTCTGCGTACTGCACCAGCACCTGGGCCATCTCATAGTGCAGCTGCTGCAACCTGCAAGGTAAACGGCAGGAGGCGTCATTTCATTGATCTCAGTAAATTGCTCATTGCATTTAAATGTGTTGTTTGCATTTATTCAGTAAACTGGTTTTAAATAGCAAACTGGAAGGTCATCGTTGTGATGAAAAGCTTGAGCAATGGGCTAAAAACTAATCTTTCATGCACTTAAACAAAACTATGTAAAGTTTTCCCTATATACTTGAGCCATGAAATAAAAATTAACACTTGTAGATGACAATAATTGATTCAAGAGGCTGTATATGGAAAGGACACTGCCATATTGGTGTCCCGTAGGTGACTGATTTAACTTAACATTCTCTATATTTGTACTGGACACCATCATGTCGGAAGATGTGTCAAGTTGTCAGGAGTGGGGTTGGCGGGAGCACTTGGGCAGTAACCTGTCGTGGGTAGCTTGACACATCTTTTTTTCTGTCTCCCTTCCTCAGTCTAAGCCTCTGTACCGTTGAAAAAGTTTTTAAAAAAGAAGTACTGATGTATAAATACCTGTACAGGGTGTTCTCCTGGTGGTCTAGTGACGTCAGGTAAGTCTCTATCCACATCAGGTCAGCACACATCTCCTCCATGATGACGTAATCCTCGTGACGGAGGGTCTTCTCAAACTGGGCCGCCATCTCCGTGAAATTTGCATAACGGCTTCCTTTCTAATGTAGTGTGTGTGGGTGGGGGGGGGGTAAATAAAGTTGGGAACTACTATATGTAGACAATACTAGTATTGTTGTTGCTCTGTTTCTTCTTCTTCTCCAAACAAATGAGGTCATGGTTGCAATAATATAGCAGGAGGGATTTAGACTGTCTGATCATATATATGAATGTGATTGATTAAGAATTAACAGAGCAGACCATATGCATTTGCTTTGCAAATGTTACCTTTCTAGTCAATTCATTCATCTGTCCATTCATTCATTTATAGTAATTTGGGTGAAAATAATAGACAGGAGAGATGTTTATGTTGAGAATGTTAAGTAGTGTACTTACCTGTTTCTCCATGAGTTTTTGAATCTCCTCGTGTTGGCGCTGTAGCATGTACTCCTTCTTTTGCGCGACGACTGCTTCTTTCTCATCCATTTTCTCCTGGATACGGTAAAGCAATGCCGATGAGTCAACTAAACCCGACTTGCCTTTTGCGTTCAAATGTCATTACAATCCAGCCATAGCTTCTTAAGTTATTCTTGGCCAAAATACCTGGCTAAATCATTCGTAGATAGATAACGTTAAGATCTAACCACCGAAGAATCCCCTACCTGCTGATAGGCCTCTGTTGCCTCATGAATATTCATGATGATAACGGCGATGAAGACGTTTGTGAAGATGAAGTGTCCCAGGAAGATGAAAATGATGGAATAGATCGCGCTGGACGACGGTAGTTTCTCCTGTAAGTCTGTCCAACCATCCACCTAGAAGGTAACAAAACCTTTCTTTTAGACCTTCCTGTTAGTCTGCGGTTACACCATTCCCCCTCACTTTCTGTGACTCTGCTGCATCCAAGTTACGTGCGGACACACAAGCGAGAAACAAAGGCACACCGAAAGCAAAACCTCCGTACACAGAGGTAACAACGGTCCAAGCAATTGCAACTCACAGTAACATAGGCGAACAGCGTCAGCATGGCTCTGCCCAGGTTCCCCCAGTACTGCTTGTCTCCGTGGTTGGGGTAACCGAAGAAGTAGTATCCCATGATCCCGAAGAGAAACATCAGCAGGAGGAGCAGGAGGACGATGTTCACCACGGTTGACCTGATGGTCTCCACCAAGGCTGTCACCAGAACCTGGAATGATAAAGGTTTAGTACTCCGTGAAAAGGAGGTAAGTAGTGGCCTCTGACGGAGTATTGAAGTAAGATGTGTCCGTACGTGCGCAGCTATAACTTAGCCTCTAGCAGGCTTCAGGAGGTGGCTGGAAAGATTAGAAATTGCCAAATAGAGAGATAACATGCCGAGGGAGTTGGTCCGCTAAAGAGTACATTTTGCCGAACTCGGCCTGGTAGAGGCTAGCTGTGACCCACGATCCCTTTTCTGCGTTGGTATATGCAACGAATCCCGAAACAAACGTCTCCCCACCTGCAGCCCTCGCACAAATGAGATGGTTCGGAGCGTCCTGAGGGACCTCATGGCGCGGAGAACCCGCAGGATGGCGAAATAGTTCCCGCCCTCGGGGTCGTCCTGCACGGCCGTGACGATGTTCTGAACGTACGAGATCATCACGATCGCGAAGTCGAACAGATTGTAGCCGCTGAACCAGTAGTTCTTCGGCTCGGCGTAGATCTATGGGGAAAAAATGAATTCGAAGTAGACACTAGGTAGTTTCTTCGTAACAGGTCGAAGAGATTGTGGCTTCGAATTCTCTGTGACCCATCTATCAATTAACTCGATTAATATCGATTGATTTTTATAACAGCAAATATTTTTTTCCAGATAGTTTATAAGTTTTCACGTTTATCTGAAGAATGTTCGTACCTTTAGAACCATCTCAACACTGTATATGCTGAGGAAGATGTTGTCCATGGTTTCCAACATGGTACGGTGTGTCACCTTCATGGCACTGGTCTCCAGCGCCATGAACACGGCGTTCATAAAGATCACGAACATGATGAAACCGTTGAACCAGCCCGACTCCGTGATTTTCTGGAACAAAAGATGAAATATTGCACCACTTTAGCCAGGGAGAGAGAAGGCGAGGGGGGAAGTGACGTAAGAAAGAATTCAGTACCATGGACAGGTTCGGAATACGAGTATTGACACCAGAACTAACGTTAACTACCGACAATCTAGCCTTCGCATACATACACTTTTGTCATAAGCTTACACTTAGCTTTCTGCAGACTGCCACGTGTTTTGATTCCACATCTACAATTTTCTCCACCAATCTTAAACAAGAGCCGTCGGTGTACCTTTATAATTTGCTGGAAACGATGGTCGCACCGCTTTCTCTCTTCCTCATCATCTTCTAACTCGGGACCGAAATTGCTCGGTACAGCCGCCATGTTTCTCTTTTGTCTTCAAATGTCGAATCAACTCACAAGTTTTAATTCGCCCGTCCGCATTTAGTTAGCCGTTAATATTGTAGGCAGAGCGAACAAGTTTACAACATCTACTGATCCGCAAGCTTTAGGATAGATTACGTTTGTTTGTTGTTCTTATTTTCCTGGGGTACCGGGTAACTGGTCATGTCGTAATAAAAGTTCTATATACAACGTTTGTCTTGTTCTGGAACAAGAAGTATAATGATGTTATTGGAGTGATTAAGGACAGTATAAGATATACAACATGTATTACTATAAAGTCATGTTGATTTGAATATATGGATGACATCCGATGGCACGCGCGCATGAATTTTCGGATTCTCAGCGCTAGCGATAGAGCAGAAAATTATTGTCTCAGCAAGGCACTCCCTCGACTTGCAGTCTTATATGTTAATAAAGGATGCAGGCTGAATATGTACTCAATGGTGACTTTCAACAAGTGATATACCCTACCACAATGAAGAAGAATCTACTAGTATGCTGATATAAATTGACAATAAAAGAGTCAATTTTTGTTAACATTTTAAAACATTTTACCTCTTTGAAAATTCAGCGGGCGAACTTCAGCATATGCTTGCAAGAACATTTTAAAAACTTTTGTTAGCCAGTAGACAGAACAGATATGTGTTTTTCTAAATAAACCAATATCCCAGCTATTCTCATAACTTCGCGTTGTATGTTTGAATTAGAACCACGCGCCCTCGTCTGACGCCCGTTCTGGAGATGGGAAGTTTGGAATGTTCGACTATATATAAACGGACAAGAAAGGGGTGTTGTCCCTGACCAATAGTACCCTTCCATTTCTTGAGATACAGAATTAACGCGTAGTTTCACCATTGACATCACAAATGATATCCTTAAGAACGGTTCTCTTTCATACCTCCATTAATTGATATCACCTGATGATGTTGTCGTTTGCTTGTTACATCAAAAGGGAGGCTATATGACGGTTTGCGCTAAAATCCTCCTTACCCCCCTCTCCTTGTCCCTCGGTCGAACATTCCAGACGTCCCCATCAGTTGTGACGTTGACGTGTTGCCAAGCTGCGTTTAGAACAACAACGTTCCACTGAGAAGTCCCATTCCACTGATCAGAGTCGTGACGACTAGACGTACACGCACGATGTGGGACTTTCTGATTTCCGTAACAAGCTGCCTTTGCTGCTTTAAAACCCCGAACAAAGTGTCTCCGGCAGAGGAGGAACATGTAGAGGAGGTAAGAGCGCCGGGAGAAGAGGAGATGGACCGCGGGACCACCGGTGAGTCCGTGCGTGCGTGAGAGGACGCTGGGTGAACTAATGTTTGTTGTACTTGTTCAGTAGTCGTAGCGTAAGGCGCTGTCGCTGTGTCAAGCTTTCTTCCTTTTCTTTCAAAATGATATGGGTCTATGATGACTTTGGTGAAGAGAGAGAGAGAGAGGGAGAGATAATTTTAAAACTCTATACTAGTAAAGAATCCTATAGCTTTCTTTTACGACGTCTTATTCATCTCTGTGAGATATGGTATCGTCACCTTTAACTACATTTTTCTAACTACATTTCAACACATTCCATATTATTCCAGAATGCAAGCTGGTGACCACACAGCCCCCGATGTCCCAGCCGAGGCCGAGCAAGTCTGAGTCGGACGTTCTGGCTGAACTGCGGCAAGAGGGAGTGTTGCCGATCAAGGCCCGCGGGGACTCTGTCGCTTTCCAGGTGCTGGTCGTGCAGCCCGCCCCCGAGCCCGACGCGCCACCACGCCGCCCTGTCCGGCTGGAGAAACTGGAAGAGAACCTCCAGGAAAGGAGGAAAGCAGTGAAAAAGGCAACGGCGGGATCACGCCATAAACTGAGGCAAGAACTCAGCGAAGCCGCCAGTAGAAGACAGGTGGGTTATACGAAATCATTTCGAATCTAAAAAAAGCAATGATGAAGGAGTCAAAGGGAAGCCGAAACGGTGGGTGAAATCAAACGATTAAGGGCACAGGTGAATTGGAAGCGTTGAGCTAAACTTCGCTTTGTCTTTTATCTGTCTGAACAGGCCATGCTCGAGGAGAGGTCTCGCCGGCTGGCAGAGAGGGCCGCCAAGATCAAGGCCAAAACAGCGGCCAACAAGAGCACCGGGACGGTGTTTGTTATTTCTTCAGCCAGTGATACCGATGCCATTGCTGCCCGGGACCCTGCAAAGGCGCAGGCGCTGGAGAGAAGGTTGGATGAGCGGAGAGAGCGTGTGGCAAAACGTAAGACCACAGCGGCCGCCATGGAGAAGCGCCAGGCGTTAGCAGCTGAACGAAGGAGGGTAAGTTCTCTCTCTACTGTTCAATAACATGTAGAAGGGCAGCATTTAAGGCTTTATTGTAACTGGCTTCAATAAAGGGGAAAATGATGTCTTCTAATGATCTGCCGGCTTGTAATTTCTTTCCGGATCGATAATTTTGAAACGGATCAAAATGAAATCTTGGGTGATTCTTGACTTTTGTTTCATACCTGGTGCAGGATAAAATGGCCGAGACCGTATTCAAGGCCCGTATGTCGCGGATGACGAAAGGTCTTGGTTGGGAGGAGGCTGATCTGGCCATGGAGGAGCCACTGGAGACGTACCAGGCCTCAGACGGGGAGGACGAGGGAGCGTGGTGATTCAATCACACCGTGATAGTAGAGCACGACGCGAACGCGAAGTTTTAGAAATACCAGAGAAACAGAGAATGATTTCTACAAAAAAAAACATTTCTGTTCTAGTTTAAATACTGTTGTTAGACTGAAAAATGTTATGCAAAAGTCTGAAATAGTGCCCATAAGCAAACTTTCATACGCTGAACTTTGCATTAATTCTGAGTCTTCAAAGAGGTTGAATGTTTAAAAGGTTTAAAGCTGAATGTGTTATTGTCAGTTACCAGCTCACTGACGTGGTTCTAATTGTTAAGAAAAATGAAAAAGTAAAACATTTCAATCCCGGGGGTTTAAATCTGACGAGTTATGTCGAGGCCATGACTACGTTTATGCTGGGCTGGGTTTATCAAAGTCCACAGATGTGTTGATAAAAATACATATGTTTAACGTTACATGGGTTATCTACTGTTAAGTTTGAAACAGGTTGTTTGACTGGAAAAATGTACAAAAGTAAAAAAAAAAGATATGTTCCTTTTAACATGGTTTGTTGTGATCAAATGGTCAGTTGAAAAATTACAACATTGGCTTCTTTTTATTACCCGCACTGTTCTTCACACCAAGTTGTTCAGCAGATAAGAATAAAGCTGCTGTTGCAGCATTTTCCATAGCGAGCCCCATGTCGTCTTTTAGCTACTAGTATCTTAATTAATCGTTTTCTTTATGTAGACACATTTTTTTCGAGCGTTGCGGAGCAAAAATCCAGATGGTACCTAGGCTAGTCTTCATGGTGGTATCAAGTGCCAGTAACGTTAACACGTTACATGGTCGGGTCACATGGCCAGAACACGTAAACGTTACTGCGTATATTAACGTTAACGTTAGGATTATACGTAGCGTTAAATTTTTCAGCTTACACTGTTGGTTCAGTGACTCAGCACAACGTTTTCAGGCCCTTCTCAACTCAAAATTGCCCGGAAATTTGTTATGATTCCACAACGAACTGCAAGTGCAAAGTAAGTCTGCGTCTTCAGCTCGAGTATGCAAGTTACGTTTGAATCGTAGGGTGGCGCTGTTACAAGGCATAAGTCATTTGAACAATGGCGGCCACCACAAAACTGACGCTCGGAGTACAGTACCTCCTTTGGGGGACAAAATCATCCGTTTCGCTGGGTGCCAGGTAGGTGAAACGCTTACACCACCTTCCGAACAAGTTATAGAAAGCTGCCATGTGCCATTTTGGCGTGTTTGATGTAGATATAGTGGAAATCACTGCATTATTAGAGTCAGAATCTGACACGGTGACTCATGGCATGTGGGAAAGCCCGCGCTTTTTGTTTTTGTTTACAACCAATCGGTTCGTTGTATTTGCTTTCAAGGATGTAACGTTACTTTCCCCCCTCATTCATTGGAAACTTTACCTCTGAAGACATTCGTGTGTGTTATTTTTATGTAACGAGAGCCTTGGTTTCGGTGGAATTATCGGTGACTTGTCAAACTGCCATCCCAGCTGTCCATATCATGTGCCCCTCCCCCTTCCTTTTTAGTTTTCTGGGCCGGACTAAATTAAATTTTATGGATGTCATCATTTGCAGACCAAAATTTGATGGAATTGTTCCCATATGTGATGTTGTACAGCATTTTGTGCCAATTTTTCATTTGTTATTGTTATTCGTCCATGCATTTCTGCCTGTCTACAGATCTAAAGTCTTAGATGTGGAATTGTGGATGTTTGTTTTGGTGTGCAGTTTCTTTTTGTTCTGCCAGAGGCCATTTGTCATTGTGTCTGTCATCAATCAATCAATCAATCAATCAAACAACCATCATTTGTTTGTTGGAAGCAGCTTGTTTTGGATCATAATCACAATTCTATACAAGAGTCAATAGCATAGTGTACATTGCTATAATCTATATACTGTAGTTGCATACTACTTGTGTTCAATCATCATGAAATATATGACTGAAACCTGACATTCTACTTCAGACCTGCCGCACCTCTGCTCCAGTTCTCGCGCTGTTTCGTCCAGAGCTCCAGTAAGTTCCCCGTCCCGCCCAAGAGGCCGGCCAACGCCTACATCCGCTATGTCAACCAGAAGATGCCATCTGTCAGGTCACAGAACCCAGGTGGGATATAGTAACTATTGTCTCAGTACTACATATACACAACTTCTCAGGTACTGTATGAGAAGAACTTGAGCAATGCCCACACCCTTGAGGGATCACCAAATAAAAATTCATATAGATTTTTCTTCTAATATATATTCCTCATGTTCATGTTGATCACAGCTGCTTACCTATTTGGAACTGTAGTCGTTGATGTTGTGCTTGTGATGTAGGAGCTGGGCAGAACGAGATTGTACGCATCTGTGCCTCGCTGTGGAAACAGCTGTCAGACATCGAGAAACAGCCATACGTGACAGAAGCAGCCGCAGAGAGAGAGAAGTACAAGGTGGGGGAAGTAAACATTGATGATTGTGGACAAAAAAACTTAAATTGCATCTTCTGTACCAAATTGTAATTGAATTGACACTGTCACATTTTGTTTGCTATATAATTGCTTTATTCATTTGATTAAAGATCCAAGTGTTCACAGCAACTTGGTCGTATTTCTAGTGGAAATATGGGCATCACACCTGCATGTGTTGTTTTGACTTCTGCGAATGTGTCCTGTCTTTCCACAGTCTGAGTACGAGGATTTCAAGTCGGACTTTACCATTGAGGAGTGGGGGGAGTACCAGGACAGCAGGAGACAGCGAAGGCAGAAACTTAAGAACAGGAGGAGAAGGGAGGTCAGTCTTAAATACTTTCTTTAAATTATAAATCCTCAAGATCTTATTTTGCTAGATGATACAGCAAAGTGTCTTCTCAAGAAATTGCCCACTACATGTAACGTTGGGTGTTCTTACAACGTTCATACCTGCACTGAGGTTGGTATAGAACTATAAGAAGGGAGTGAAGTCTGCCATCTCTGATCGCCCTTTCCCCTGTACAGGAGCTTCACCAGTTGGGTAAACCCAAGCTGCCTCCTCATGGCTACGGGCTGTTTGTGAAGGACATGTTGTCTGGAGGTTCAGGAAACATGGCGGTAAGGATCTCAACTTTACAACCTGGCCTACTGTAGATTAGGAAACATTTGCAGTCTTCTTCTTCAGGTTGAGGAGGCCAACATCAGCCTACTGATGAATCTGCCTCGCTATGTCGCATGATTTCATGGTTATCTCTCTATCGCAAAATCATGACACTTCAAATATGCATTTCCATTGTATTACTACTGTACTACTGGTTCAACTGTGAACTGAAAACACTGAGAAAACCTTTCCCCCTCCTACTGCATAACGATTCAGGCTGCCCATGTTTTTCCCCCAAGCCATGTGATTTGGATGTTTGAATGGTTAAATGAATAGATTAGATTAGGACTATACTATTACTAGGACGTTTACTCATATTCTAATTCTTCTTCCCTACAGCAACAGATGAAGGACATGAAGGGACAGTGGAATAATCTAGCTGAAGCTGAGAAACAGGTGGGGAAGGCTTCCTTCTCAAAATCCTACACTAGCCTCAAGTTCTGCCTACCTCTCCTTGGTTAGGTTCCTCCATATTGCACAGTTCAGGGTCCTACACTCTGCTTTCTTTGACCTTATAAGTCCTGTATCTTTCACTATCTCATCTTTCCATGCAAAAGAATGAATTTACAGTATTTCCAGCTATGTAAATGTATGTCATGTGGCCATAATTCCAAATCTTAACTTATGACTAAACCACACCATTGTTCCTTACAGAAGTACATGTCTGAAGCAAGTAAGGCCAAAGAGAAGTACGACTCAGAGATGCAGGCCTGGGAGAAGAAAATGGTGGAACAGGGAAGACCGGAACTTGTCAGGGGCTACAGGCCTAAAAAAACTACAGCCAAGAAGAAGAAACCAAAAAAGAAGACAATAGCAACAAAGGCAGCCAAGAAGACAGCCAAGAGGACAACAGCAAAATTAGCAGCTAAGAAGAAGCCAGGAATGTTGTCATCTCCTAGGTGGCCATAGTGCCAATGTTTATGTCATTACCTAGTAAGATGTAACTCAAAGTAAACGATAGCCAACTGACATGACTGAAAAGCTTTCAGGAAGGGGTAGGGGGGGCATGAGAGTATTTTCTACTTGAGTGAAACTTGGGGCCAAACTAAACACCACAACTAAACAGTTGTCTATGTTATCATTAGCTCTAATGTTAAGTAGTGTCCAACATTGATTTGTACTGAGCTTTGTATATGTGCAAACTGTAACTATTCACGATAGACTTGCTTGACTACAACTGAAAAGGAGTCTACTTAAAAAGTGTGCCTCTTTGCATGTAACATTAGTATAGAGGATAGATTTATACCTCTTTATTCTAATTGTACTTGTAAAGGCAGACCAGTCCACTTCACTGTGTCCAATAAAACAAGAGGTCACATTAACTCATTGCTAATTAAGAAGGAACTGCCACATGAGTTCAACACTTGTTGATGTGTGTTGAACAAAAACCATTTAATAATGTAGTAACTAACATTAAGCTGACAGGACTCGTACATTTACCAAGTGTAGTGTTATGTCAAAGTATATCAAGAAAGAAGAAAAGCTGTTTGGAATAGTTATAGTCAAGAGCGAGCAGTGGATATTTCTATTATTTTTACAATCATTTTCAACTCTTGCTTCTCATATTTTGGCTTATAGGCATATTGATGCCACTCCTTGCTTCTAGGTGTGCAATGTTGTAGCCTTGGGGGCCAGTTAACAATTAAAATGTTGTAGGGAAAGTTTTTTAAGATTAAAGCTTAAACATCTGGATCTCAGGCAAGTGATCTTTCTACACAAAGCAGCTAGTGCAGCTCTGAAAACTAAATGGATCTACAATGTATTAAAATCTCGCATGTTTTGTCCTTTGCTGTTTTATGCTATGAGTATTGTTAAGCTTTAAACCAGATGAAGTAAAGACTTGTAATAAATGTGTGTTGTCTGCTTTTCTGTTTTCGAAGTACAAAAATGCATTTTGTACTGTTTCTAACTTTTTCCCTTCTTAAATTTCTCAGTCAACTCCTTGCTTACCAATGATGTAATGTATTTTAGTAGTGAAAAAAAAAAACTTAAATGCAACTCTTAAGTGATTGTTCCCATCTTTATAGAATGTCTCTTTTAAGCCCTCACTATAGTACACAAGATGTCAACATTTTACACAAGGTGTCATAACAAAGCAATCACCCCTTCAGGGTGATGGTTTCGTCCGTTACCATAGGTTTAACCCCTTGACCTCTCGAAACCAGACAGCCGCCGGATCTTCCGTCAGGACCAACAACAACAATCCAGACCAGTGCTGCCACCTCATCAAATTACACAGAGGTATGTTTCAATAGTAATACTCAAGTTTTAGAAGTAAGTCTAGCCGTAATCAGTCTGATTGTGTTACTTTTAATCATGCAAAAAGCCACTGGTACCTGTTTAATCATCGAAACCACAAATGACAGGTGACATTTGAAACCAGGCCGGTATGACACCTGTACACAAAAATAAAGGTCATCTCGCGTAAAACCTAGCCTTAATTCTGAGTCAGCGCAGTTTAAAACCCACAATGTTTACAGTATTATTGTCAGTTTCGTAGCAAGCTGAGAAAACTGCCACGTCAACATCATGACACGATGTTTACAAATAGTTGCGTGACAAGACTCTGAAAAATGAGGCGTGTGCAGGGCAAGGGTCGTGCATGCATGTGTACGTTCCGTCACAGTTCGTTTGCGCGCAATAAAAAGAATCTCAGAAATTGTCAACGTTACAGTTACAACGCTGCAAACTTTCAATTCTTAATTGCACTGTAAAAAAGCCTTTACTAAAGGCTTTAGTGAGCTAACTACACTGTATCCGGCTCAAAATTGGCATTTTGCCTAACTGACATGGGGTTCAATTGATTTGCCTGATAAGTCTACTTAAATACATGTAAGTTACATATGTTAACCGTTAAACATTTAACTAACGGAAAACCTCCAAAGTTGCCAGGCATCGATGAAAAAATATCCTTACACCCTATTACAGCTTTGAATTGGAGACCCAATGGGAAAAGAAAGAGGCAGACCAAAAATCACATGGAGAAGAACTGTGACTGGTGACCTGGCAGACATGGGACTATCCTGGCAATCAGCAAAGAAGGTGGCCAAGGACAGACCCAGATGGAAGGACAAAGTCATGGCCTCATGTCTCACAATTGATGAAGAGGATAAGTATTAAAGTAAGGACACCATATTACAGCTATTTTCGAATATGATGATGGGGGAAGGCCAGCGTGGAAAAGAAGACGCCCTGTGGCGAAAACTGAAGGCCCTGCCGACTCTGTTTCAGCTTGACATACCACAAATGCCAGAGACGAGCTTCAGCAAGGTCATCACCAAACTACGGTCGGAGAAACGCCAGGTTCCCGAGGAGTTTGATGAAGACGTGAGGTCGGAAAACCTGCTGGCATTCCTGCTGTTGTATATTGACAAGATCGAGGAGGCCAAGCCTCACATCGATTCTGTGCTAAAAAAAACTGAAGACAGCTCAAACCTGGTCGCTTTAGGGAATATATGCGCCTACTACCTCAAACAGTATAATGTTTCAGAAGCCAAGAAATACTTGCAGACAATTGACATGGTCATGAAGGAAAACGACCAAGTTGTGGAAGACATAAAGACGATAGCAATAGGAGAACAAGGATATTGTCTGTCCAGGCTTGGGCCTAAGTGTCACCTTATGGCTGCTGACAAGTTTTGCAAAGCCCTCAGTCGTGGATCTCCAAACTACCAGCTAAAAATCAAATGGAACTATGGGTTAGCTTTGTGCCTCGATCGGCTCCTTGATAGGGACAGTTTTGTGGAAGACCCTGAGTTTAAACCAGCCGAGGTTTATGAAGAAGCACAGCGATGTTTGGTGCTAGTAACTGGAAGTAACATACAAGCTTTCTGTGGAAAGGGATGGGTGGCATTAGGCGAGGTCCACAGCAAGTATGTGAAGATACATCACAAGTACTTTGAAGGCAACAGAAAACCTAAAGGTCTCAACACGTCTCAGATAGATGAATGTTTTGAAAATGGCTTAGCTGTTGCTCCAAATGATCACTTCGTACTAGAGAGGGTGGGTCGACGCCACAGACACATGCGCCGCATCGATGATGCGATAGAATGCCTGGAGAAAGCAAACGAAGTCCGCCCTTCTGCATTTTCTTGGCACCATCTCGGACTGGCTTACAGATCAAAGGCGCCACGTGGAAGAAGTAGTCAGGGATCATTCCGGGGAAGAGGAAGAAGCAGTCAGAGGAGGCCTAGAGGTAATCGATATAGAGGATCTTCAGCTGTTGACCAAAGTCAGTCTGCTCCATTTAGGGGGTGGAGAGGGGGTCGCAGGCGATCGGGTGGACAATACCGTGGCAGAAGCAATGTCAACCATGGCAACAGAAATACCAGCCATCATTATGTTAGACAGGAAGCTGAAAGTAGCTGCCACTGGTCTTCACACGGTCAGTGGAATCTGAATGGTAGAAATCAGAGAGGATGGCATAGTCAACAAGGCTACACAAACCAGTCACAGGCTGTTAGTTCATCATCAGTGAAAGGATTTGACACAATGGATGGACACAAAGATGTACCATACTCTACAAGAGGAGGTAGAAGTGGACAAAGGCGACCAAGAAGTAGAGGGTACCGTGGCAGACAAGAGCATTTTCAAAGATACAACGATGACGGTGCTAGGACTCAGTTGGGACTGACAGATCAAAGTCTAGAAAGTAAACCCTGTTCAGATGATGTTGACAATGTGCAAAGAGATTTTGGTCGGATGACATTAGATTCTCGAGACCAATCTGAGCAAAATGCAGTCCAAACACATCATCATGATACATTTTTAGAGAAGGCAATGCATTGTCTTGAAAGGGCTTATGAATTATCTGAAGGTACGGGTGTTGCCATCCCAGTAGGCCTAGCTGAGATTCACATGCAGATGGGACAATTTGACGAAGCTTTGCAGTATTTCCGAAAAGCCATCGACAAGGACAGTGTGTCAAGGTCTCTGGAGGCTGCTAGTTGCTACCAGAAATGGGGGGAATGTTTCCTTCAAATGGGACAAGAAGAGAACGGGAAAAACATGCTCCGAAAAGCTGTAGAAAGCGCTGCTAAAGTCAACGTTGAGAAGAGGGGAGCTTTCTCGAAATTGGTGACACTAATGCAGAAAGACTTGGGAAAAGAAGACCTGCAGGCTGACCACATCAATGAACTGGCTCAGTTGTACGAACTGGTTAAGCGTTATGGAGAGGCACTGGGCTTGAGAGAAACAGCTCTACGACTGAAAGCTGATGATCCAACAACGCTCTGTGGTTTGGTGGATAATCTTCGAGCACAGGGAGACTATGCCCAAGCAAGGATGTACCTGCCCATGTTACGCAATCTTACAGATGTGGAGGTCCCAATGGATGTAGTCATTGAGGTAAACCTTGGAGCTGCAGAACTTCAGATCCAACAGGACCCTCACCTTGCCAGCGGCATCTTCCTGGAGACGTTTGTCTCTGTATTCCCCACTGAACTTCACCCAAACCTCATGTACAATGTGTTTGTTTACAGTGACGAAGAGGACAAAGAGACAGCAGAAAGGCTGACAATGCTGTGCGAGGATCAGTACGATCTGTCCTGCCGTTGTGTACATCGGGACATCCCCTGTACGCAATCTGTAGTCGAGATGGTGGCAGATTTGATCAACAAAAGCACTTGCATCATCTTTGTTGTCTCTAAAGCAAGTTTGCAAAAGGGTATGATGAAACTCGTGATAGGACTGACCGTGCACTTGGTCAACACACGAGACTTTGGTAATCTGGTAGCCGTGAATGTGGATGATTGTGATCTTCTGCCAGTCATTTCTGTGTACCCAAGCATCAGGATGGAAGATTGTTTTGCTCTGCCAGGGGGCACAACCTTGTTCAGGAAAATGATCTCAACAAAAAGTTGCTCACACTAGCTTTTAACTTTGTTAATTCATCTTCAAGTATCAGTTCCAACAGGTCCTGAGTTCGAATCCATGCCACCAATCCTGTGCCCTCATGAAAGGCACTTTACACGACTTTCCTCACTTCACTCAAGTGAAAATGAGTATCGTCAATTGCCCTCTGCATTGGTGGCATAAAAGTGAGTTGAAAAAACTTAAGTCTGCCATCACCATGTCTTGTGTTAAACGTTGGAATAAAATAGTATCAGTTTAGAGGGACTATTTCATCAAATTCAAAATCCTTCACCCTTCCCAATATACACTCATCTATCCTTACAGCTAATCAACGTACTTATCAAGGAAGACACAAAGAGTAAAATGTCCACATTCATGTTTGTCAAACTCTACTTGGTTTATACGGATTAAACAGAGTACAGCAGGGTGACATGGTCATATACCCTGTACAAGGTACATATGTACAAGTAGGTTGAAACTTGAAAGTCATCATCTCGTTTGAGCATACCTTTCAAACAGTCCATGGTAGATATGGTAGAAGCCAATTTTCAATAAATCTAACAGATATAATATGCAACAATTTAACATAACCAGACCCATATCATAAATCCTATGTATCCTAGCTGTATGTGATGACATGCAAAAACATCACAGTAAAAAGGCATATGCGAACTTACTCCAGACCTGTAATTGTTATATTACTGTTGAAATGGTTTTCTTTCTAATAGTATATCACAAGCTGTACAGCGTGTAGATAGTTATTTTTGTTGTCCTGCTCACATCTGGACAGCACCAGGGGATATGTTAAACTTGGAGGGATCAAACTCTTGACCAGCAAATGGGGAGCCTGGTGCATCCCAGCCTTTCCTCAACATGTCGTGCACTTTCTGTGGAGAAAACGACAAGCTAGGTCAAGGATTATTAATAATTACATAGTTTGCAATGGCCACTCATTTTGCCAATGATGTACATAATTATATGACTTAGAAAAATTATGGAATCAAATGGTATGAAACCTTAAGTCTCAAAACCTATCTTGCTTCCAAACAGTAGGAATGTCTGTTGAAAAATCAAGACAAAAATGCCGACCAAAAACTCACTCCTATGCATCGGTATCTATCACCTTCTAAACCGATGCCCCATCAGTAAAGCTTACAGGCTTTCATTTTGCATTTTCTGGCTGGTCCCATAAGATACATATAGTTTAGGAAATGTGACTATAGCATGGCATGCAATGTTCCCCTGGCTTCAGAGCCTAGATTGGCTACAGGCCCTATAGAAATGTGACTTAAGGCATGAACTAAGTGAACTGACCATCTCATGGCTCTGTGGTTTCCCCATCATCTTCTGATGCTGATCAAACATCATCCTCTGTACCCCCGACTGCTCCTCATCGTCCATGTCGTGCATGTGTTTGATGGGTTCTATCTTCTGGATGTCGATCTCAGGCTCCCCCACCAGGACAGCCTTCCACCAGTACTCCTTCTCTTTCTCTAGATTCACCTGGAGAGGATAGAGTAGTAGCAGTAAAGACATCAAGTGGCTGCAAGCCAGTAATACAGCCAGTGTTCTCTCGACCTGAGCAGTCAAAATTTGTAGGCCCCATTAAATGTTCGCAAAATTTTTCCTACAAACCTACCTGCACACACTTCCCTGGTTCCAGACTCCACATACTCTCCTCACAGATGATCTTATTGGTCAGTTTTCCTTCCATCAGAACCTTCACCTGCCCTCCATCTTTGATGGCAACCTATAAGAATGTTATGGATCACTTTGTTTTGCAAGAAAAATGAAGAGAACATGTAGGAAAACAATTCTACAATGAAATTTCAACACTCATATGCCAGATAAAAGGTTTTATATCCCTTACCAGATTTCTACTGAAATAAACGACTAGGGTTGGCAGGCTTTTGCTAGGGTCATTTTTTTCCCTTGGCCTGACCAATATCACCTTTAAGAAGTTGTTCTTGATGTCTACCACACATTCCTTGGCTTTCTTGATGTTGGGAGGAACGTGGACTCTGATCTCCACCTCGTGTATGTGCTGTGCCCACTTGTAGTTCTCTCTCACAGCTCCATTCCAGCTCTCTGCATCCTGCTGAAACTCCTCTTGACTGGTAGGAAGGAATCATTTGGATTGAATGCAATGGCTACTACTAAAGCTGTAAAAATGCTGCTATAGAAAGTTCACAAATTGTACTAAAGAAATAAGAAAACTTTGCCAGGACTACTCAAGTACTACATGCCCCTAGATGAACCTTTAAGAAAAGTCTAAGAATAATTTTTACTGGTATACAAACTTTTGTTGGTGCCTCCAAACTGGCATTATACTGACAAATATGTATGCAAGCAAAAATGCTAATAGAATATGCATAATCAGCATGCAACTTACCTAGATGGTACTTTTGCAGTTGCCCCATCCTTTGCCTCTTTTTCCTCTACTGCCTTTTCCGCTGTCTCATCGGCATCCTTTGGTGCCTCTTTACTATCTACACTCTCTCCTCCTGTCCTTTCTTTCTTTTTTTCATCTTTTTGTCCATCACTTTTCTCCTCACTTTTAGGAGCAGTATCTACCTTGCTGGTTGCATCTTGAGCTTTGGCCTTTTCTGATGTGGAGGACTTGTCTGTTTTGTCTTCTGTGCTGTCTGATACTGCTGTTGTCTCAACCTCTACTTCTTCCACAACTGCTGATGCTGATAAGCAGGGAAAGAAAAGCATTAGATTACTTGAAGAAATCTCCAAGCAGATGTTGAGAGGCAAAATCATGACTTTTTTAAACATTACACTGCATTGAATAATGCTATACATACCTAAGTCATGATAATTTAATTGTGACAGACATACGGGTATTTTATGTTAGACCTGTGTAACAGGCCAGAATGTACCAGAGGCCATAACTTACCCCCGGGTCCATTTTGGCCAGGGGGTATAGTCTGGCCTGTTACACCCCTTACCTGCAGCAGCAGCCTGACGTTCCCTCTCTGCCTTCTCCTGTAGTTTCTTCATCATCCTCTCCTCATCCTGGGTGGCGTAGTGCTGCCACTTTTTGAAGATCTAACAAAATAAAACAGAACAATCAATAAATGGCCACAATTGCTTGGTACACAATGTACGGCCAAGGAGCTTATACAGTACGACTAAATGGCCATGATGTCAATACCAGTGTGAGTTGGGTGACTTGCCTACCAATAATTTGCATGTGGCTCCAAATAATTTGCATGTAACGTTACATGATGTAAACAAAAACAATGATGGCTCCTATCCCTTTGGTGACTTTATAAACTCCACAAAGGTTAAGATTGTTTGTTCGTTTCTTGTTCGTAAATAAACCTGTTTGTAAACAGGAAAAGCAATAAAACTCATGAATAGATCTTTCTCTTTTGGAGGTAAACCTTGGACAAAGGTGCTAACATTTCCATCGCCCCCTGGCAGCTTTACTTCGAACTGCATTCCTACAAATATTTTTCAGCAGCCCCGGGAGACAACATTATCAACACGTACCGAATACAGCATCTTCTCTTGGACCCCTGGTGGGAAACCCATCCGATCCTCCTTGGAGCGCATCGTCCGGAAAAAGTCCGTTCTGCGGTACAAAAAGCCGAACATCACGTCCAAGAAGTTCTCAATTTTCCCCTGATGCTGTAGGATGCCCAGAAGTGCCGTGTCGTACATCTCAGGGGACGCCATGGCCCTTGTTTTCCTCAAAAACTTCAGGAGTGTCTTCTTTCGTAGAATGTTGGAGAAAATGATGACCTGTCTGTTTTCATGTCCTAGAAATAAAAGGTTTTATATTCGATGCCTCCGATTCCTCACAAATAATGTTGTTTTTATCTAACTAAATTTTAGAATCCATATCAAATCACTGCTATTTGTCACTTAAAGTAATTTTGTGGTTAAATAACTATATTTTGGCATTTTATGAGGAGAATTAACAGTTATTTATACTGTAAGAGTCGTGTGTGGAATAGAAGTTTAGTTTTACGCTAAATGTGAGTTCAGATCAGGTCACGCCTGGTCACGGCGCATGTGCCCTGGGTCTGCGGGATAGCACGTTGTCGCACGCCGGTTTCAGGACTTTAAATCCCCGCCATGTCGTCTAACGCCGTCCCCAGCGTCATCTACCCCTACATCTACGGCTTTCTTAAGGACCACAAGTTCGATAAAGCGGCGCAATGGTTCCAGAAGCAGACCGGAATGGTAAGTCGCTTGGGGAGGGGGGTTTTAGCATCGGCATCCTGAAACTTGCGCAAGCCAAGATGGCGACTTTTCATCCGCGTCTCTTGTACAAAAACAATTTTACATGGTGCGATCCTTTGTATATGACAATGAACTAAAGGTCACACTATCTTCAGATATCGTTGTGAAGTCACTTTCTATTAGAAAAACGTCACTTCTATAAAGAATTGCCAAGAATCATTGTGGTTACATGTGTATTCACGAGTTGCACATTCCCAGGATCCTTTGCGCCCAGGGTAGCCGTGGCGACTCTTGACTCGGGCTTACATTGCATTACCCTCTGCAAGAGTCGTGGAAAGATCCATTGGCAGAACTGCACATTTCCCGTTGGCTGCTCGATGCTCCGTTTTTGACCCGGTTTTTTGCTGTCCCGAGCTTCCCTACAATATAACTCCACAATTGGCCGGGTTGCCGATGTTCAGATCGGCCTAAATATTCCACAGCGCGACGGGAAAGTACTAAAATAGCTAGTCGGTACATCCGCGCCGCCATTTTGGATATAGTCCGGAATGTCCGCTACCGCCGTCGGGAACGCTCGGTAGGCTTTCCGGTTATGATCGGAGAGTTTTCGGTCCCGCTTCGGTAATCGTGGCGCTACCGAGCGTTCCCGACGGCGGTAGCGGACATTCCGGACTATATCCAAAATGGCGGCGCGGATGTACCGACTAGCTATTTTAGTACTTTCCCGTCGCGCTGTGGAATATTTAGGCCGATCTGAACATCGGCAACCCGGCCAATTGTGGAGTTATATTGTAGGGAAGCTCGGGACAGCAAAAAACCGGGTCAAAAACGGAGCATCGAGCAGCCAACGGGAAATGTGCAGTTCTGCCAATGGATCTTTCCACGACTCTTGCAGAGGGTAATGCAATGTAAGCCCGAGTCAAGAGTCGCCACGGCTACGCCCAGGGTAGGTCACGTGGGCGTCAGGGTAGGGAAAGGTCGCGGTAAACCACGTGACTCATCCTCGGCTCTGGTCGGAAGAAGTCGGAAGTGTTCGCGAGCGCTCGGAAATTTCAAGAATGGCTGACACCACTGCCGGCGGCGGGAGGTACGTAGTTTTTCACGGCGTTCGTACGGCGTTCGTACGGCAAAGCGGCATCGAATTTTTGCTCCATGACTATCGGTATGGGATAGGATAGGGTTGATTCAACATACTACGTGAAAATGTGAATGCTCCCAGCCTACTATCGGCCAGATATCGCTTAGGGCACCTTCTTCCGACCAGAGCCGAGGATGAGTCACGTGGTTTACCGCGACCTTTCCCTACCCTGACGCCCACGTGACCTACCCTGGGCGCAAAGGATCCTGGGAATGTGCAACTCGTGAATACGTGTGTGCACGTGCACGGTGTTTGTGCACATGTTGGGGCCATGGGGGGGGGGGGCTAAGTGCAACAGGTAAAGCTACTTTAAGAGATGACTCTGAGAGCTTTGGGTAAGTTCTCAGTTTAACGACCGTAATTATCAGTTGTCAGAAGAAACAAAAGAAAATAAAACTGGTGAAATAATCTCACATTGCATAATTTTTTTAATTTAGTCATTTTGGAACACAATAACCATCACCTTTTTACCCCACAGAAACTTCAGGCCCCGGATGAAGAGCAGCCCACAGTGGAGGACTGGTTTGAAATGTGGCAAAAGTAAGTTATCAAAGTACACACATGTATAGACACTCTGGGAATCAGGCCTCATGTAACATGCAAAGAATCTCTGCCCTAAAAGTTTGATTACATATTGATCCTTGCAGTTGTCAAGCTATAACATTTTGAGAGCTAACACTTTTGTCCCAATAAGAGTAAAGCTAGCATGCTAAAGCTAGCATGCTCCTGTATTACTTAACTACTTTTAGCAAGATAAAGCATCCCTTGATAAAGTTTATTTGCCAACACCTGCTCTTTCACCTTTCACAGGTCACCTGACAGTGCCAAGAAGAGAAAAAGGACAGGCACACCCCAGGCCAAACCAGCCGTCAAACGACAGAAAAAGGACTCCTCCTCCTCCTCTAGTAGCTCAGATGACGAGGAGGACAAACCAGCTCCGCCCAAAACACCAACCCCTGTGAAGAAAGCAGAGAGCAGTTCAGGCTCTGAGTCTGATGACGAAAGTTCGGACAGCGAAGCAGAAGCCAAGAAAGTCACTCCTGCTCAAAAGAAGGCAACGCCAGCCAAGAAGAAGGCCACCCCTAAACAGAAGACAACCACTCCTGCAAAAAAAGCGACTCCTGCAAAAGTGACTCCTGCAAAGAAGACAGCTACTCCAGCAAAGAAGCAAGCGGCAAAGGAAGAAAGCTCTTCAGAATCTGATAGCAGTTCAGATGAAGAGGAAAAACCACAAGCTAAGGCAACCCCTACCCCAAAGAAGGAGACAGGAGTAAAGAGAAAAAAGGAAAGCTCTTCGGAGAGTAGTTCTTCATCAGAAAGTGAGGAAGAGCCTGCAAAACCTGCACAGTCCAAACCAAGCCCAAAACCACCAGCCAAGAAACAGGCCACACAAGAAAGCAGTAGCTCTGAATCAGACTCAAGCTCTGAGGAAGAAACTGCCAAAAAGCCTGCACCAGCTACAAAAGCTGCTGTTAAAAGACCAGCACCAAAGAAAGAGAGTTCATCTGAAGAATCTGACTCATCATCTGATGAAGAAGAATCCTCCAAGACAACAAAACCACCTCCTGCCAAGAAAGTTGTAACACAAGTTCAAAAGAAGGAAGAAAGTTCCTCTAGTGACTCAAGCTCAGGGAGCGAAGAAGAAGAAAAGCCATCTGGAAAAGTTGTTCAGAAGACAGCGGCAGGTAAGCAGAAGGTTGAATCTTCAAGCTCTGAGGAAAGTAGCTCAGAAAGTGAAGAAGAGTCCAAAGTCAAGGCAGTGACGGCCAAGACAGGAGCAGCAAAAACTGTCCCAAAGAAAAAAGATGACAGCTCAAGCTCCTCTGAATCAGAGAGTGAAGAAGAAAAGGCACCGGCTACGGCACCAGAAAAGACACAAGCAAATAAAAAGAAAGAATCCAGCTCAGAGGAATCAAGCTCAGAAGAGTCAAGTTCAGAGTCAGAAGATGAATCTGCCAAAAACAAAGGAAAACCGGCAGCTTCAAAGCCAGCCCCCACACCTGCCACAAAGAAAACACCAGTGAAGAAAGATGAGTCCAGTTCATCTGAGGACTCTTCAGAAGATGAAGAAACACAAGCAAAGACCACTCCTAAGGTTGCAACTAAAGCAGCGGCCAAGAAAGCAGAGTCAAATTCCTCAGAAGAAAGTTCTGACGACAGTAGTTCAGATGAAGAAACCAAAACACCAGCTACAAAAACACCTACAAAACCAGCTGTCAATAAAACACCTGTGAAAAAGGATGAGTCAAGTTCAGAGGAGTCTAGTGACTCAGAAGAGGAGGAAAAGAAACCTGCTGGAAAAACAGCACCAAAGGTAGCATGACCATGATCAGTATTTGGTTAGTCGATACTTTAAGCCAGGTTGAAAGGGACTTTTTCTCACCACCATGTTCTCAATACCACAGGAACAAATTCGATAGTGGTAATATTGCAAGACACAAACACAATATGTTGAGGTTTGCTCACAAAAGTGTCCGGGGTAGCCATGTCCACAAAACTGGACATAGATTTCACATGGTTTTGGAGTTGTATCTGCTTTCACAATTCATTCAATCTAATCGTTTCTAATGTTTTGTTGTCACAGGTGAATGGAGTCGCCAAGAAAGCCAAAGCAGACAGCTCTTCAGACTCGGACAGTTCCGACAGTTCTGAGGAAGAGAAGGAGGCTCCCAAACCCAAGACACCCACTCCTGCATCTACAGAGAAAAAGCCTACAGGTGAGCTATCGTAAACTCATTCAACTTTGTCTTGTGAAAGAAGGGAAAGGAAGTTTGGGCATTATTTGGTTTGTGAACAATGCTGTAGTACAGCAGAAGTGTAATAAAAATGCATATTTGTAGTGTCACTGTGAAACCTGCAAAGTTAAGAAGGAAGACCTGGGTGTTGATAAAGAAACATCCTAAGACTGAATAAAAGAAATAATAAGTATGGACGATAAAGTCTTCTGTCTTTTGTCACAGCCAATGCTAAGAAAGCTGAGAGCAGTTCATCAGAAGAAAGCAGTTCAGAAGAAGAGGAGAAAAAGACTCCAGCCAAGACACCGGAGCCCAAGACCCCCAAGACTACTCCTTCCAACCAACAGGCAGAGAAGAAGACCCCAAACACAGTACCCAAAACAAAGAAACAGCAAGAAAAGGTATCAAATTATAGCTTTCTTCTTTCATATTACAGTGTTAACTGTTATTGAAGGAATTAAACGATTATTTATTTTGTTTGGAAAGTTTGTACGTACTTTAAGATTTCCAATGTTAACATTGTTTCTTAATGAAACATTTTTTGGTACAAGTAAGCATTGCTTTAAAGCAATGGAAGTACAAAATGTACATGTAATGTATTGACATAGATAATTACAACACCACTTTTCTGCCCACAGAAGAACACCCCTTTCCGGAGGGTACGTGAAGAAGAGGTTGAAATTGACCCACGTCTGCAGAACAATGCCTTCGAGTCCAAGGTCAGTTATCCTACAGAATTCTTTGTTTAAAATTCATTTAATATTTAACAATATACTAAGTACCACAGGCTCATTACCAACTACATTGTAGTCACTATATCACATTACCAAATTCTGTAATGTTCTTTTTTTATTCCACAGGGAGGCGATGCATGGGGTGCCAAAGCCAACAAGGACCTGAAGTTCACCAAGGGAAAATCCTTCAGGCACGAGAAGACCAAGAAGAAGCGGGGATCCTACCGTGGTGGTCCTATAGACATGGGGGTTAACTCTATCAAGTTTGACTCAGAATAAATAAAATCATTGAATGATACCTCTGTCAAAAATGTTTGAGAATTTATGTTGATGTTCTTTTCCCTTGATTATTTTACTTTTAACAATTAGAGAATGTTCTCAAGAAGTTTTGTTTTTGTTCTGTCAATGGATATTTTAATGGTAGATTGTAAGATGATTGTAGGATGAATTAACGTTTAATACTGTTAAAACAAACACTGTTATTATGTTACAGTAGTTAGTATGTGTTGTTTAACTATCTAGTGATTTACTAGTGATATCTAGTCACCTTATGAAGGGATTTATATGGAATGTACTGGTACTAATTTGCAGCCTAGGCAATAGTGTATTTACAATGGCAACATTTGATGAAAACTTTATAATTCTGACATGGATTATGTCCTAGACAAAATGGTTTAATTTTCTGAATGAGCAGAAATGTACACATGTACTAGCATTCAATTTCGTATAATGCATATCAGTGCCAACTTGAATAGGCCACAGAATTCTGACTGCATGACACTCCAAAACTGATATGAGAGTGTAAAGGAAAACCATCTACCGGCGACCGGTATTTTATTCTTGTACTTGTAGCAAACAAGTTTGAAATGATGTTTTCTTGAATTTTGTAGAATCATTGGTTAAGCCCTTAGTTGAACTGTTGAACTAAAGTGTATTGTGCTCAAACTAGCATCTTGACTTGTGGCAACTAGTTACCTGGTTAAGAGCATTGTTGTACCATTCAGGATTATTCTAATCTAAAGGGTTAGGAGAGAAATACAGTATTTCTTTTTATGGGGGATGGGAGGGACAGCTCATCTCAAATCATGACTGTGTGATAATGGTATGATATGATGCTGATACAGTAGAAACACATGTATAAAGCCTTGATTGAATCAAACCTTACGTGTTCTCTTGCTTCATCTGTGTTTTGTCTCACTGTTATTTACAAGACCTGTGTCCAAAAACACTAACACATCATTAAGTCTCCAAAGCATTATGATTGGCACAGAGTTCATAGTCACCAATACAGGCACCTTCAACCAGTGAAGGTGACAAATGCACTTGTTAATGCTACTTATACATTTTGTATCAATTTTGCCCCAGTAGCTCCCATCGATTTGAATTTGGTTCGAGCATGGAGTCTCCTTGGTCTTTTGTATACGTTTTGTAACCCACCAGAAAGGAATATCTGGGATTGAAAGCTATTATAATTTGTTGTCCTTTCCGTACAAAATAAAGACACCCTCTAACTGGCTAACTGCTCTGGCAGTCTGACCAATTTTTACAGCAACCTATGCTGAACCTTGCTTAAAATTTAATGTTGGGGTCAAAGGTTAAATCCCTCCCTGTTCTTTGTAATGGCATCGCCCATCGCCCGCAATGCATTGTGGGTATCTTACATTGGCTTGGCGTCATCAAAATGGCGACTTCCTTGGGTGCAAATACGTACAACCGGCAAAACTGGGAAGATTCGGTAAGTACAGGTCTCTTACACCATATTCAAGTACAGTAACCGATATACAAAGGTCCAGGCTAGCCTTTTCCGTGGTTACTTTGGTCTCAGCTAAGGGTACCGTCGTTTAATAGCGCATGATATGGAACGATCACACCAAACTCGATTTTCCACAAAACCTCATGTCGCATGGTCTCCATACGCCGAAAAAACAATTATTATGTTGCAAATATATGTAGATATGTATTTACCTACGTATTGGTGACCACGGGTTTCAGTAGGTTGTGAATACTATGCTTGGGAGAATGGTGGATGGTGGGAACACTTGTCAAAGTTCTTGTCTCTTTCCTTTATCTTATGTATAAACGTGTTTCTGATTTTCCTACCCACAGGAGTTCCCTATTCTGTGCCAGACATGTCTAGGAGATAACCCCTACATACGGATGGTAAGTAACCTGTCTTCAGAAAGAAATATTTGCTCCAAAGTCCCATCAGCTCTCTCAACCAAGGAGGTTGAGTACAAGATTTTAAACCTCCTTGCTGAAACTCAATTTAATGTATAACTGCCTGAAATTATACTAGTACGATGTACATGTACGAGGTAAAGTAGTCTGGCCATGGAGGTAGAAATATTTGATTCTACCTCCATGGTCTGGCTTACATGCTGTCTTATACATGTCTGTTTTGTTTTATTGTTACACTGTCTAGTACAATGTAAAACATACGAATTCAAACATAGTGTGGTTGAGAATCTCATTCTAAAAATTTTCTTTCCCTTATGTAGACAAAGGAGAAGTATGGAAAAGAATGCAAGGTATGTGAACCTCTTTGTTTTTGATGGTTACATTGTTAAAAATCACATGTTACATATGAAAAGTACTTTCATAGATGTGCATGATAACATGTATTGTTTGAGGTGCTTGTACTCTTCTTCATTTCTTGGAAGGTATGCAAGCCATTCATTCCATGCAGTGTTAGCTGGTGTGTTACATCGAAGGGCGGTTATACCGGCTATACCGATACAGATACAGATAAATACCTGGTAGCACACTAGCACCACGCAACATGATTTGCTTCATTACTCAGCGAACGCACCACACAAGCTGAAACTCCCCTGAACTCAAACTTTGTCAAAGGTGCAAGCATTCACTGTGCAAGCGACACCAGGCGGCGCTCACATGAGCCGAGTCAGGGCTAGATCTTCATGTCGCAGCATCTCCAGTTATCTCCACAAATACAGCGATACACTAGCACGTAAATTTCTTTCAAGCACCGCGCATGCCAGCTGGGTGCCAGTCGGTATGCAAATCTTGCATGACACATCTGCATTACGCGCCTCTGCTTGGTTGTTGACAAACCGGGGAGGCAACCTAAAAGTCTGATGTGCTACCTAGTTTTTGCCCTAGGTAGCTACCAGGCTCAAAAAAGTATTTCGAACACTGCCATGTCTTCCGTAGATCTGCCAGCGCCCCTTCACAGTGTTCCGGTGGTGTCCGGGAGCGAGGATGAGGTTTAAGAAGACGGAGGTGTGTCAGACATGCAGCAAGCTGAAGAACGTCTGCCAGACATGTCTGCTGGATCTGGAGTATGGTGGGTTTCTAAGCTTCTATAAGATTGAAGTGGTCATCTTTTAGCATTCTGAAGACTTTGTGATTTCAGCTTTTTGTGGCTTTTACATAGCATACTGTACCAGCAAGTGTTTTTTTTGTCCAGGTTTGAAAAAGATTCTTTATGATCGGCAGGCCAACAATTTTGAAACCTGCAATAGCTGTTAGCTACTGAAATGATAACACTTTGCTCATGTTTTATACAGGTTTGCCAGTGGAGGTGCGTGATCGTGCCCTACAGCTGAAGGATGATGTCCCCAAGTCTGACGTCAACAAGGAATACTATACACAGAACATGGAGAGGGAGGTATGTACATATATATCAACCTTACTTATTTCAAGAAGAAGGAGAAGCAAGTGTTTCTTGTCTGTGCAGAAATCATGGATATGGACAAAAATATCCTCAAGTTATACATGTCAACAATTTGCTCACACATACAGAGCACACACAGAGACACATTTGAGCACACTTGTACCTGTACCTCACCCCCGTACTTTATCTTTACAATTCATTAATCAACTTCTGTCCCCTCCAACAGATTGCCAACACAGATGGCTCCAAAGCTGTGGGACAGTTAGGGAAGGCCCAGGCCCCCAGTGACATGTTACTGAAGCTGGCCCGCACCACGCCCTACTACAAGAGGAACCGCCCTCACATCTGTTCCTTCTGGGTCAAAGGTGAATGTAAGAGAGGAGAGGAGTGTCCATACAGGTGATTACATCATCTTTTGTAGTAGCTTAGGAGCAAAGGGGTAATTTGGGGACGAAAACCAATTTTCAGCTTTAGAAATTTGACTGAACTATACATATTTGATTAATTTTGAACTTAACTGAGATTTTGTCAACTTTTTTCAGGCACGAGAAGCCAACAGACTCCGGATGACCCCTTGGCAGACCAGAACATCAAGGACCGCTACTATGGGGTCAATGACCCGGTGGCTTACAAACTGCTGAAGAGATATGACAACATGCCATCTCTGAAGCCACCCGAGGACCGTTCCATTACAACTCTGTACATAGGGGGGCTGGGGGATAAGATCACTGAACAGGATCTTAGGTAGGATATACTCCTTCACAACTATGAATTTTTTTCATTGCAATTTGGTTCTATAGCAAAGACATTTGTGTTTTATGTCAAAGACTTCACTGATCACTGTTTGGTAACATGTTTTTACATTTTTTTACAGGGATCATTTTTACCAGTTTGGTGAAATCAGGTCGATCACTATGGTTGCTAGGCAACAGTGTGCGTTTATCCAGTTCACATCGCGGCCCGCAGCGGAGATGGCGGCAGAGAGAACCTTCAACAAACTCATCATCAACGGGCGCCGGCTCAGCGTCAGGTGGGGTCGCTCTCAGGCCCAGGGGAAGGACAAGAAGCCAGGAGAGCACTCGGAGCTGGACATGAGTCTGGCACCAGTACCTGGGCTACCTGGGGGTGAGTACTCATTATTCCAACACAAAAACTTGGAGTTACCCAAATTTTCGACTGTACAGCTCTTAGTCTTTATCAAGGAATGAGCAATCCACCACTTCTGTGATGTCACGTTATGCAAATGACACATGATTTGGTGAGCAGTGGGTCATAGGTTGTTTATTCCTTGACAAAGACTGGAGTTGTACAGTCAAAAATTTGGGGATGATTTTTACCAACACAGATGAAATTTCAAGATAAAAGAAAGAATATCTCTTTGTCTCTAACTTACAGTATTGCAACTAAAAGAAGTGAACAGTTTTCTATGAGATGAAAAGCAAATTCCTTTTTTTTCAGCTCTGCCACTACCCCCTGGTGAGGTGACCGTGTCGACTCCCAACTACTTCAACCTACCCCCGCAGCCCCAGCCCCCTCCCAGCTCAGGCCAGATGCTGCCACCCCCTCCACTGGGCATGCCACCCCCCTTACCACCAGGCATGGCACCACCAGGTAAGGAGCACAACATACATGTAGGATAAATGATAAGAAAATATCTCATTGTCAATCATCATCAAATATCAGATATTGTCAGTAATTTTATGACAGCTGACAGTGGCTAGCTTGATAATTATGTGTAGGTGCCCATCCTATTTCTGTTAGTCTGTTTACATACATATATTTGTAAATTTGATCTGTAAATGTAAATTATTCATTTACATTGATTAAGGCCATATTTGTATGTACAAACATGTACTAAGCCCCTAGACATAAAAATGCAATGAAGACTCTTTCCTTGATGATCCACTAAGTTGGTTTAAACGACACCTTTCCCACAGGAATGCCTCCGCGCCCGTTGATGCCAGGTTTCCGAGGACCTCCTCCTGGCCTCCGACCACCCGGCTTCCAGCCGCCTCCCATGATGCCGCAAGGCCAGGCTCCGCCCCCCATGCGAGGCCCCGCCCCTATCCACTACCCCTCCCAGGACCCCCAGAGGATGGGCTCTCAAGCACAGCAGCCCCCCGCACCAACCCAACCCCCTCCCAAGAACTAGATCGCTGTAGGTCACAATAATTAAGGTGTTAGCTATTGACTTTTCATACTGGTCGGTTGAATCTGGAAGAATAAGGCCTAATGTTTGCAGTGTATTATATGTTACTCTGCACTTGACTGCAATGGCACAAAATGTAGGAAGACATTTACTTAATTTCTAGTATTGTGTTTTTTGTAAGTTTCCTTGATATTATGTGCTTCAAACCAAAAGTCTAGCATAGGCTTGCATGCACTTTTTGATATGGTGTACAGTGTACATTGTTTTGGGAGATGTTGAAGAATCAAAAGCAAGGGCACTAAACTGGTCTTTCCCCATGTTTAGGTATAGAACATCAGACTTCTAGTTTTGTGACTGAACACATCAATGCTTGACCTATGGATATGGTGGTTTTAGGCAGTATGTTGGCTTTGTGTTTTTGACCTTTAGTATGCTATGAGCCATGATTGTGTTGCTAAGAAAGTATAGCCGTACGTCTCATTATTTCTTAAAACAGAAAGAGAAGGGATCAATTTTTAGTTGGAACCGACAGTATTTCCTATATCTGTATTTGCTGATGTTATACTATTAGTACATGTGTAATAAACTTTAGGCCTGTTATTGCTATTTACGAACTGTAGAATAACACTAAGAAAAGGGCATTTTAACCTGTCTCAGAAATGCCAATTTTGTACAAGATAGACTATGGTTAAAGCATTTGTCTTTCTTCACTGTGTACAGTCAACAGAACTAACATAAACATCACAGAGCACATCCACAACTTCCATGTGTTTATTTGTATTACTTGACATGACTGTTGGGGTAAACTAAACAATTGCTTCAACTAGGCACCTTCCAGAAAATAATACCATAATTCTCTTCTCAGGTTTTTATATCACCACAATGTCAGGAAATTTGGCATAATACATCATTGATACAATACATGTATGTAAAAGATGAAGTACAGTACATGTAGTACACGTGCGCGCGAATCATTTAAATAGTCTGTAAACTACATTGAACAGTATACTAGTACATGTAGTTGATTAGACTTTATTGAAGACTCTTGCCTTTACACTTACACTCAGAAATGTTTATGCCCTAACTGTCAGTGTCTTATATAAACAGTGATTGGTCCATTTCTAACCAATGAGAGATTGTAGTTTGCTCCCTCTTAACCAATCAGATATCCTAAGACCTTAATCTATGGCATTTTATCTATAAAAAGTCATCATGCTGACATCAGGAGTCTGCAGTGATGTCTGCGTCTGACGTCTGGTCTTTCCTCAGCTCCCATATCTGGGAAATGAAAAAGGAAGAAAAGTTTTTCTCTCAAGAATTGATGAAAATCATTACTTTCAGAAGCCTTTAACTGAGAAACATGATCTTTAGGTATACTGTGTATGAATGTCTTGTTCATGTAGAAGAAAGCATACCTGTATGTAAGACTCTGACAAGGTGATCATCTGAGGTAAGATGTCGGCTACATGGAGATCCTGCATCTCATACCACTGGCCTGAACCCTGTGGTATAGAAAGAATAGATTCAGGCGGTGGTGGAACCCTCCCACGTGACCGCACCGGCCAATCAGAACGCTGGGTTTTGCAAAACTTTTCTTTAGGTGGCTATTTTTCTACCCCAGAATCTCGTTGAATTTCTCTACAATGGGATTATTTTGAAAGTTCAGACTTGCGCCAAACTGTCGAGGAGACATCCCTTCGTCGCTGGTAGGCTATCGCTGAACACAGGTATAGATTGGTCTTGAAGAAACAGATACATGAACACCTTCCCACTTGAAGACTAATGCAATGCTAAAGGAAAATCTGTTGCTTGCAATGCAATGAGTTTATAGTTTACAGTACAAAAACCAGCAAACCTTGTGATAGATGTGGACTCTGTAGGTTCCCTTGCCTGCTCCAGGCAACCCATCATGAACAATGTTAGCTATCAGGTCATAGGTCGTGTTGGGGTGCTTCTTCTGGATCTCTGGGTCCTTAGACAGGTATTCCCTCAAATCAATGTTCCTGAAATAAAAAAAATATGTATCTTTTGAAATGTTTGCATCATATTCCTCAAGAATTGAAGGGGCTATACCCCCAATACATGAAAGAAATTTATGATAGATAAGACCTGCTTGTGGCATTCTGAAAATAAAAACAAGGGCAACTACCGGTATACCAAAAATACTAGTTCTCTACTTACTTGACTGGGAAGGTGACGATGGTTGGATTTTTCTCCACGTAGAAGTTGTTCTTGGTGAACCGCTGCACAGAAAATAAAATCAACGTAACTACATAGCAGTGTGTGACAAGCAGCTTAATAATGATCACTTCTGAAGTTTGATTTTGAAAATGTCCTGATATGGTTGTCTTTTTCTCCACAATGTGTTACTGTGCTTGAAAAACTTTAAGCAGGAATATTTGGGGTAGCCTTACCTTCACATAGAGGATGAGATAAGGAGGCAGCCTGGTTAGTTCAAACCTCTTCAGGGTGGAGTCTTTGTAAGACTTGTACTCCTGGATGTGTGTAGAAGTCAAATATTCAACTGATTACAATCATTATCCTATGGTAATTCTTCACCAAATTCTTACAACACAAAGCTCTTGTATGGTCTTCTTGTAGAAATGCTGCAAATTAGATGATTCAAAACATCAATGAATTTCAACCTTCTCGGTTTCCCCGTTGAACTTGGCGAGCAGGTTTGCGAGCGGCACCTGCGGGATGATGTTCTGCTCGTATTCGTCCTGGAACAGCGGCGGCGGGGGCAGGTCAAGGGTCAGGTACATGAAGGGTGATGTCGTCACAGTCTCTACAGAAGATGAAATTATAGAAAACATGGATAACTTGGCTGATGGTAAATCTGTGCAAATGTCAATGTGTTTTAGCACAGCAACATTACAGATAAGGAAATGATGAATTAAAGAGTTATTCAAAGCACACATTTGTTAGTAACAATCCAAAATGTTCAACAAATTCACAGAGTAGCAATCAAAAATGGTTTAAAAGATCATGTTGATGAGCTGCCAAGAGGATGTTTCCTCGAAACAAGCCAGAAAAATGCAGGATGTGGAATTGCAAAATTTTTTCAATGTTTTCAGGCCATTTTAAGACATAAATAAATAAAACAGTGGTTAAGAATAGACACTTTTAGATAATAATTTTCGTGTACTTTTAGATAGTAATTTTCATGTTCAAAAGATCATGCCATGCTACATTTTCATAAAATGCGTATGCCAAACAAATTATGCAACGGCCCCCACCCAGGTTAGTTATCAAGTTTGATTGTTGCATTTAACATTGTCATGACAGACTGCTTGAAAAAGAGATGAAACATTCAGTCCTAGTGTAGGGAAATAACAGACATCTACAAACCTGGCCCTTTTTCAGCTTCTTTTTCTAGAACACAATCATGAATGAGACAAAATCATTTTAATGAACAAACCATTGCAAGGGCTAAAGGAATGACAATACAAAATGTATTTTGTTTCCCTTTCAGAACCATTAACTCTTGACAGTATAAACATGTACTAAAACAGCCCAATTCTATTTTTTTCTCATAAGAGTAAGAAAATTGACAAAATCCTCAAAATCTTTCATTATTTCTGTTAATTGATATCAAGAAGTTCTTTTCTGAACCAGAATGGGCCTGATCATACATGTAATTCATATGTAAGAATTTTAACAACTGATTCGGGGGGAACACACACAGTAAATTTTATACTTTAAATTGTGTCTGCTTGCATTTCCCTCACATGTATACAAATATTAAATAAAAAGCAGAAACATAGGAAAATACACACTAACCTGATCCCTCTGATACTTTGGCCTCACCAGTCTAGTCAAAAGTAACAAAAATGTCTACAGTTACATGTAGCTTCATACTCACTACTAAGTATACAGTTACTGTGTATTATGATACGTTATCATGTAAATGTATTTTCTAATCACAATCATCCACAGGCAGTGATCGAAAGATACGTTGTACCCATATTTAAAACAAATACATGTATAATCTTTTTAGCACATTGATCCAAAAGGTCAAAGCATAACCACTATTTTCAACATCTATTGTGTTCTAAGACTTACTGATAACCACAGTTTGTATATACACTACAGAAAATGTTTTTGCTTCCATATCTTATTTGTTTACAGGACTTACATCATCTTTGGTGATGAGTTGTCTTGAGTAGATCTTCATTGTTCCACGGAACACCTTACCGACTGAACCTGGAATACCATGTAACAAAGTTATATTCATGCATACTGAAACACTTTAAAATGAAGCACAGTAGTAGAGGGAAAATGTGTAGGGCTTGGACATAACAAAAGTAGTTAGGGATAGATGAACTTTAGGGAAGGGAGTAAGGAAATTTGCTACAGACAGGAGCATGTTTACAACTGCTAGAGTACACACTCACTTGACATGACTTTCTTGTTGCCACCCAGTGAGGCATGCATGGCGTTCAGGAACCATGATAGAAAGTCTATGGGGTCACCTGGCGTGGCAGAAGAAAACAATAACATTATTCATCAATAAACTAACTACATGTCTGTACCTTATCCATCTCATTGTGCATTACACAAGATAAGTACCTGTTGTAGAATTAAGTACAGTTACAGAACACACACACACACACACCATTCCATGTTAATATATCCCACTTCTGACACCATTTTGTGTCCAACATAGACATCAATATCTTCATCTTAACATTCGTACCTTGTTCAGTGATCTGGAACCTTTTCTTGCTGCAGAGTACCACAGCCTGCAGCATCTCATGAGGGCTGACGTGGGCCTTGAAGTTCCGAGGGTTCCACAGTTTCCTCATCAGTTCTCCAAACCTACACAAGTGTCAAATACTCCTATAACTACAGGGGTACTTACAAACTACTTGCTATGTTAGAGCTGGTGTAGCAGGCCAGAATGTACCCACGATCAGGATACATTCTGGCTAGGGGTACAGCTCAGCCTGTTACACCTGTTATCTCCAGCTTTATGTTCCTCTATGGTGATTCATGTGTCTAAGTTTGTCTTTTTCCAAGGTTTTTCATCTCTTGTACATGGACATGCTTTTTGTTACTGGATTTTGTGACTTAAATCTTGTGTTTGACATTAATTTGTCTATACAGATTTTACATTTTGACGTTTCCCTCTCATATTACCTCTGTACAATAAGGAACATAATATCCCCTGGAGGTCGCTTGATGTCCTTGTAATTCTCCTCCTGAAGAAAGTAGTCCCTGAGCGGACTGACATGTGACAGGGCCTGCAGCACCACGTTACAGTAGTCATTGGCTTTGATGTTGTTGAGACCCACAATCCCCGGCAGGTACATGGTGCTGTCGTACGCACGGGACAGCTTGGAGGACCCATCCAGCTGCTCAATGTGGTCTGTTGTGAAGGTTGGGTTCAACACATACTACAGGGAAGAAAGGGTATACATGTACAGTGTATTAGTATTCATACGTGGACACACCAAAATTAACTAAACGTACATGTAGGGGATGCAAGGAGATCCTGTTCAAGTATCAAACTCAAGGTATCTATCTGTATAGCCAGTATAACTGCCCTTTGGCATAACACACCAGCTTTGCAGGCACATGGAGTGAAGCTGGTATGTTACTTTTGGTTTGGAACATTTAACTAGCCCTGACAAGTAAAGATAGCAAAAGTTATCCAGAGAACCATGTAAAGAAAAGGCAGCATAGCATGCTAGATCCTTCAAAACTTTACCACTTGTTCCTTTGGCCAAGGCCTACCCAAACATGACATCACAATAATTTATAAATGTCTCCTCTCATCTTTTGTAATTAATAGGTTATACATTTGTAGTACATTGTACCTTTATGTCATCCAGGGAAGAGTCAATGACCTCATAGTTGTCAGGTAAACAGTAGAACTTGAGAGTGTGGAGGTTAAGGAACACATGGTGATCCACCTGCACACTGTGGGTGTAGGCATGGGACTTCTGGCCTCTTCCTGCAAAAATACAAGGGGAAAAATTAACAGGAGTCTTGATAAAGGTACATGTATATATACTTGCAGACAGTATTGGCTGGAGACACTGAACAATTGTGTGCTACACTTAGCTATCAGTCAGACAGACCAAGAGGTACTACTAATGCTGTATACCTGTATACGAAGCAGCCTTAAATTTGCTTGAAACTTTACTGACTAAAGCCACTAAAAAATCTCACACAACAAACTACAAATTAATGCTTAGAATCAAACAGAATGTAATTTCAAAACAGTTACAATAGATCAATAGGATGCTGTATGGAACTGCTGCCTACCTTGGAAGTACTTGCCACACACCAGGCAGGCATACACGTTCAGGTGGGACAGGGAGACAGAACACAGCTTCTCAAAGTCAAAGTCAAGTAAACTCCTACAAAAAACAGATCATTATTAGTGACTTCAACATTCTCTTAACAAGAAACTAAGTGAACTTCACATCTTTCTCAACTGCACACTGGAAACAAACAATAAAACACAGTTACAGCTATATGGCCATATAAATTATATCATGTACACACACACACACGCGCACATAAATGTATGAAATTGAAATACAATGACAGCTGACCTGTTGATGGTGTCCAGGTAGGGGCAGTGCCGACTTCTGGCATCACTCCCTCCGCGGACCCTACCTGTAGTCAGAAAGTGAAGGCAAGGCTATAGTTATGAAGTAATACTGGACAAAAGACCTGACTTCTTTCTTTTCAACGTTGAGCGCCCCCCTCCCCATCACTGAAATATATGCAAAATAACTACTGCAATGCAACTTTTGACTACATTGTTGCGAGCATAGCAACGTCTGTGATATCCTGACATGCATCCAATCATATAGACAAAGATAAACTTACGGGTAGGCTCGTTTTCTTCCTCATCGTCCGAGTCGGAATATTTTCTCTTCACGGCGGCCGCCATTTTCACCAACACTGCATCAAATGAAAAGAAACAGAGAACATTTCTGGAAAGATAACATGGATAGCAATACCCAAACAAAACTAACTGATATAGAATGCATTTTATTTTTGTCTGTATGAAAAGAAAATTTTTGTAGCATTTTTGCTCTAGGCGACCCTTTACTCTTGGGTTTTCAGTTTTGCGTTTTTCTGTTGTGGCTACTACAGCAGGTCAGTAACCTCTGACCTGCCATCATGGCGGACGCGGGATCAGACGAACGTTTTGAAACGGAAACTCTGACAGAAAATATCGTTTCCAGCAACATTTCAAAGGTTATATCTCACTATCTACAGTCAGCAGAACGGCAAGGCTCGTACGTGACTGGTTATGTTGACGGGAAAGCGCAGCTAGACGCATTTCTGGAGGACTTTGACAGAGCGGGGTGTACCGGGTTCCCTCTCCGGTCGTCCACCTCGAGAGCCAAGTACGACTCCAGGCCAAAACCTGTCCTCAGCTCGGGAGGGAGGTTACCGCGCTATGCCGGGGAAGGTGCGACAACTTTCAATCCTATTGAAATAGAATTTACTAGTTGTTGTTTCATCTCTGATTATGATCAACGTTTTGTACAAAAAGGCAAATTATCAGAGATGGCAGACTTCACCCCTTTATTTGCTAGTACAGTCTAAAATATACGTAATATACTAGTAAAGTATAAAACTATGTAATAACCAGTCCAAAATATACGGCTTTACTGACTTCCAGTCTCACAGAGAAAGATAGCAACACTGTGGATGTATGGTAAAGATTTGTGTATATCAGATCTGATTCAGGAATCTTGGAAATAGATACGGCAAAAACATATTAATCAGGTACAAATGTATTAGTTTGTGCACCAAGCTCAGCTTTTGCTGAGGCTTGATAACAATCTGCAAAATAACGTAAAATGAGCCATCCCCAAACTAACTTTGTATTGGGAAAAAAATTCTAACTCAATTTGCAATATAAGACTTTGTAACCTATTGATTCTCAGAACGTATTGTGTGGTCGTCCAACTCTGGCAAGGTTCCCATCCCCGACACAGACACACCCTTCATCATGGCAGGCACCAGGCATCACCACTGTATGTTCATCAGTGCTAAGAAAAAACCACAGGTAGGTGTTTCTTTGATAAAACGATTTTGTGTGTATCTGGACTCAAGTTATGAAAAATAAAACTTGATATACATTTGATACTTTATATACAAAATATTACTACATTTGATGCTAAACAGCTTTGTATAATGTATATGTATCATGCAGTACTCTTATTTGCAAGACTCATTCCAATGATTCTATTTCAACCAGTTGAACAAAAGGAGTGGAAAGGCCACTTTTGGAAGGTCCATGTGCAAAGCAGAGATTCATGTTCGAGAGATCCGCATTTTCCTTGACTACTCTGTTGGTGTTACGGAGCAAGGCCCCTTGCCAACGTCTAGTCAGAAGGCATTGTTACGTAAAAGGTGCGTGAATCGTCTGACGGATGATTTGAGAAGCGGAAAAGCTTCACCTCCAGTGATGAGGTATCACATCAGGGTTCCACTGCCAGAGGCTCATTCAGACCACCCTCTCGGTGAGGCAGCAGGCTGTGTCCAGAAAGTTCACCCTGCCCTCATCTCCAAAATAGGGCAGCTTGTACAAGCAGGCATCAGCGATGTCCACGATGTGCAACAGTACCTCACAGCCTGCACAGAAGAACTGTTAGAAAATGCCGTGGTACGTCCTTTCCACACCGACCGTAGGTACTACCCACTCATTAAAGACATTCAGAACCATGTTTGGAGATTTAAGTTCAAACTCAAAGAAGATCAGGCAAGAATCATTGATCTAGAAGAGCACGACTACCTTGGGTCCATGGAGGATTTCCCCATCACCGACCCTAGAGATACCATGACTACACAAGCTATGGTTGGAGGTGGACTTAATTCTATTAACCTGGGTTATGACAATGAATTAGATGATGTAAGTGATGAAGAAACCTGCTCCAGGCCTAATGTTGCCTCCAGCTTCCTACAACAGCACACCATCCAGACTGGAAACCCAGTAGCAATAGATTGTGTGTTAGGCGATGGCTCTACCATCCCGTACATGTTAACACCAGTAGAGATGGTATCAGTAGGTAGTGAGACAGAGATTAGTACAGCCGGTGTACAGAGACACCTCGGGAACACTCCCATGCTCAGCAACTCCTTTTTAGATGATGACGTTGAATACTGGCAGAAGGCAGCGTTGACAGAGATAGAGAGACTGCAAGCTCTGACATCACTCTGCACAAATGCTGCAAAACTGAAGGAGATTTCAGAGAGAGTTAATCACATGTGGTTGTCTCTGAAGAAAGAAGTCCTTCCAAACGATTGAAAGTAGTAGACTAACTTTTAAGACACAAGTTAGAATTTAACTCATTAAGTCTAGATAATTCAAAGTTAATGGCAAAACTGAGATAAAGGACAGCAAATTATAGTGACAAGGCAAGAAAGTTTTGTAATAGACATGAAGACAAATGCTTGTGCTTTTCAACAAATATGAAATGTATAATCATGTTCATATGCAATAAATACCGATAAGGGATAGATATTGTGCTGAAGACTGTAATACAATGGGAAAAGGTATTGATATTTCCCCCTGCCGTTAGTTATTGATCACAAGAATATTACTGTCAAGTAATATACTACTTTGTGAAGAGAGCCCCCTATCTTGTATTGTCTAAACTACAGGCTGACATCGCCATATAACTATCCCTGTACATGTACATGTATTTAGACCAGAAGGAGGGTCTGCATGGGGGGGTCCTGGCAACGGTTAACGGTGAATTCAGCAGGGCCGATAACGCTTAACGGTAAATTCAGGACGGTCGGCAACGCTTAACGGTAAATTGACAGACTTTTTTTCGTTCGAGCTGCACTGGATTTGGTATCTCGCTTTGTGAGAAAAGGTGATCACTGACAAAATTACGTAGATCTTACATGTAATGAAGCACGCATTAAAGGTATGTGTACCCTGTGTTCCCCACATGCCCTGGTCCTCGAGTGCGTCCACAAATAAAGGGGAGTCCGAGTCGACGTCAGCCAGCTTGCATTTTTTCAGTCTGCCCAGTGGATTTTGAGAAGGGAGCGTCGTAATCTAGGGGGGTCCGGGGGAATGCTCCCCCGGGAAATTTAGGATTTTTTAAGCCTTCAAAAACGCACATTTGAGAGGCAAATTATGGTGTTGAGAGTGTTTGTCGGTCCTTCTGATGTTTTCATATTTTACTCAAGATTTTTGTTAATTTGCCTGTCAAGGTTGACGGATTCTTTTTAAAAAATTCTGTAACTCTCCGCAAACTTCCGGAAATTGACAGGAAAGCTGGTTCTGGCTAGAGCCGAAGAGACCGAGCGCAGAAGCGCGAGTCGAGCGCCAAATGCGCGAGCAATGTAGGGGGGTCCGGGGGCATTCTCCCCCGGGAAATTTTGTATTTTGAACCTTCAATGACGCATTTTTCTGCACTTTGAAAGGCAAAATTAGGCGTAACGAAGAATTATTCATTAACGCTTAACGCTGAATTTAGGATGACAAATAACGTTTTACGTTGAATTAAAACGACCAATAACGCTTCACGAGGAATATACTAATAACGCTTAACGTTAAATTAGAGCGGGCCGGCAACGATTAACGGTAAATTAAAATAGCCCATAACGGTTAACGAAAAAGGGCATGCAGACCCTCCAGAAGGGATCAGACACAAACCATAATTTCATAGTAACTATCCTAGCATGATCTGTTCTGTCTCTGAATCGAGAGCATGATACCTGTTTTCTCATCCAGTGGCTGACTCACATCAGCTTGGATATTAATTATGATAAAGCAAACAATGCACATCTCAACACCAGCTGTTGCACAAATGTCGCAACAGCTTGTCCACACGCACATTCACAATTACCTAATGGGTAGAACTCCTCTAGTATGAGGTTCACAACATGTTTATTTCCCTACTACTACTATACGTTCTTATATTATCCCAATCTATCCTCATTTGGAACTGTAGAAGTTGACAGTTCGTTAATCATTACCTGGTCAAATTGTTAAGTGCATGTTAAAGCCCATTTACGATCCATGTGTTCGAGTTAAGCGCGTATACCATAATATGTAACACACGCTGACACGTCAAAGATTACGGTAGCGATGCTTTACCCTTGCAATGGCACCTTGACACAGGCCGTTTGGAGCGAACGCTACTGTTTGTATGGTTCTGTCTGACACGCTTTAAATCGTGTCATCTACCGTCTGGCTGGTTACGTGAACGTAGCCCTTAGCAACTAAAACCGTTACGATTTGAATGTTTGCTTCTCTCGACCTGCGCAGTCTCGTCCACTTCTAAATGTTTGGATTATCCTTGAGGACGTTGTATAATTACATTTTGTGTCACTTGTTGTTCCCCGCTTCATTCTTTTGTCGCATCGATTCTTGAGACTCTAATGAACGCGTCCTGTACACGGTAGACGGCTGTTTAATGCGCCCTTGGGCACAGGCCACGTGCGACGACGGTTTTGAATTAGCGACGGGCACCATCTGATTGAGTCACGAAGGAGGCACCTGTGCCGAGCCCGCCATGTTTGACGAGTGGGTTCCCTCCGAGGAATACGTCTGTATTTATCCGTACATGAAAGCACTGCATCACTGTCGCGTGTGTGATTAGGCGTCGGTGCGGCGCGGGGATTATTGCCTACCATTACGGACGTAGCGGAGCGGAGCTCACGACTGGGTGATCGAGAACGTCTGTCTGGCTCTTCAGGAGAAGGACATGGAGAATCCGATGTTGTCCGTAAGGGAACAGTCTCAGCTGATCTCCCGCGAAGTAGCGTCTGCCGGGCGGTAGGTTAACCAACGTTCGTCACGATAATTACCTGTAGTGAGAGTCAATGTCACGCGGCTAGCTGCTGTTTGTCAAGCCGCCGCGCATCGGGTGATTCCCCCCTCCCCTTTCGCGCGTAAATTTTCTTCGCAGTAGTCGGTTAGGCGCCGTCCTTCAGTCCAGGGGGCTTCTTGGTTCCAACGAACACTCCTTGTTCAAGTTCACCCCCTCACATGCACGCTAACGCGAACCCCACTTCTTAAGAAGACTTATAGGGGACTAAGCGTCAGGTATTGGAGATATCTTGATGAAATCAGTGTAGCGGTAATAACGCATATCTCTTTAGATCGCGTCTTTCCGCTACATTGGCTGCTATTACTTTTCAGCTGCTCCGCGGTCTTTGTGCAATATTTTCATCTTGTTACAAAAATCGATTTTCCTGGAAGAAGTGGACTTAGCGGCGACCTTCAAAGGAGGGGAAAATTAGGTTTGCTTTTATCTGCTAGTCTTTCTTCCAAGCCGGGCCTCGCGGGAGACCGAAGATGGGCGGTGTAAAATTAATAGTGTTCTATTCCAGATGAGCTGATCGATGTAAATAAC